GAGACCATCATCTCTTTTCTTTGTTTCCTTTGTAACCTTTTCCTTTGTTCATTTCTTACCTTCATCTCTGTTTCACGAGCTTTCTGATGTTTTCAACGGCTGGTATAACTATGGGCTTCAAGGTTTTGCTTTGGGGAAACATTGGGAACATCATTGGAGTTTTGTGCGTTGCATATGCATCCCCCCACGAGGATACCTTCGCTGCTGGAAAATAGCGCGAAAGGGGATTGGCGTTTTTTGTCTTTTGTGACTTTTTTGTGATGGGGATGATTGGAATGGCTTCAATGTCTCAAGTAGGGATGTGTGGGTAGGGTGATAAGGGGCGTTGGAACGGAAGATGGATTGGGTCTCTCACGGATTGGGGTTGGGAAGGGGCGTGGGACGGTGGATGGGAGGTTTTTTTTTTGGGAGGTGGGATATTCGAACGGCATATTGAAAGACAAAACAACAATATCACTCACGATTTTCCATGCCCATATTACTGTTCCAATATCTTGCTTGTGATATCTGTGTTGCGATGTTCAGAGAGAAGGTGATAACCCTTTTGCCTTGTCGTCACAGTAATGACGAGGACGTGATGTAAGAGAAGGGACTTGTTGCCCTTTCCACTTCCCTCTTCCATATCGAGCTTTTCCTTTAAGTAACTTCCTGTCGCCCACCCACCCCACACACGTCTTCCTTTCCTTCTCGGCTCTCCCTCTCCTCGAAATACATACAAAGCATCGACTACAAACCATGTATAAGTCCCCACAAGATTTAAAAAAAAACCCACCTTTTTATTTATTCTGGACATCACTATCACATCTACTTCATTTACATATTTACATATACTAAAAATTCCTCGCTGAACAACCAATCCACCACAACACCTCCTAGCCATACCACGCTCAGGAAGCATAGGCATGTGATATCTCGATCAAGCCTATTAGATAATGAGGAGCTATGCGCTATTTCAGAACTATATCTAATGTAAAATCACCCAGTCCTATATCAGAATACCTAACGGACACCTTAAGATATCTACCAGAAATCCTATGTATCAGAGAACCATCTAGGGGAGCTAGTAAATCGTGATAGGAAGTATATGGAGGAGCATGTAAGTAACGCCACGCCATTGTTCAGCACCGCACTCATGCCCCTCCCTTAACCCTCTTCTCTTCAACGAGAAAAAACAAACACCAATATAAAGCTTACAAACTTCAATACGTCACAAGTGTAAAATTCACAATCTAGGCTATGCTGGTACTTTTCCATCTTAGCAGCTGTTACACTGTGTAAAAGTAGAGTACTTCATTCTCAAATCTCTGCCGGCCCCGAATCTCTCTCTCGATAAAAAAAAATGTGTATGCTACTACTATCTATCTCCACACCATTCCGTACGTAGAACCGTTTAGTAGTACTTTTACGTGCAACATCCGCCCTATGACAAAAAAGCGCTGTATTAACCTCTTTCTCTTTCTCTTTCTCTTTCTCTTTCTCCTCTAAGAGAAAGAAAGCAACACGTAAACCACAGCTTTGCCCCACAATTACTAGGGTAAAAGTAACAATACCTGGAAAAATTCGTACTGCAGCAGTTTGCCGAGCTTGGTGAACATTGCTATGTTTTTTTTTGGCTGGTATAAGAGGGGTGGGGGTAGGGAAAAAAAAGGAATTCCATATAACTTTGCAGGTTGTGGAATCATTAGAGTAAATACTATGCTTGTACGCGTACTTGATCTACTGCTGTCGTTTGATGTAAACTTGGCCTTGGGTTGGATTGCCGGGAAATCCGGTTTATTGCGTGGTTGATATGGTGAGGAATGGTGTTTCCGCTGGGTTTTTGGCAGGTGGGTGAAGGGCCGGTGTGCGACTACGATTGCACACTTTCTTCCTAATCTACGTTCTTTGGTTGTTTCCTCAGGCGTGTTCATGAATAGGTTTGGTAAAGCTTTTTGTAGACTGAGGGTTGTATGTAGACATGTGATTAGATCAGAGCTTAAAGTAGAGCGAAAAGCTTGGATGAGATCTGAAATATGGCTGCGCTCAGGCACTGCAACGTTGCGTATGCTTGGTGCTTACATGACCTTTCTTTTTTCTAGTGTTTTATCCTGCTGGGGATATTGATATTGCGGAGTCTTTAGAACTATATATAGTACAGTATTGAAGAGCTATGTGCCTAGCTTACTTATTTTTATTTGCCCTGTTCCTTTAATACTTCCTCTCGTTTTGCATCAGTTTACAGTGATAAACGTACTCAGCACACCACCTTGCTATGAGTAGCCAATGCAAGACTATTATGTTTAGTTCCGTACAGCAGTGGTAGGTAAACGTGTTGTACTACAGAGACGCTGAAATAATATCTTCCCAATGTAGGCAGAAACTCGGCGAAATAGCCATTTTCCGATGATTGGATGACGGAATCTAGTTTATATACGCAGAGTAGGAAAACAAGCCCGAGTGTAAAGTGTTATGCTTACAGCCGGTAAGCGACGATGAGGAGAGGTTCAGGTGCAGCTCTAGGCATATATTACTTTGCCTACCTGCTGCTGTAATTGCTAGCTAATTTCCAGCAGGTTGAATTCCAGCGAGCAACATGACGCGCCTGTTCCATTAACTTGTTAATACGAATGAGCTCTTTGCTAATTTTCCATTCAGGCTTAATCTAATACCTTTCGTCGACTGTAATAATCGTCTAGCTTATCCGCAGTGAAACGCAAGATACAATGCAAACGCTTTATTAGCCAGTGCATTATTGTTTAGTTTTCTACGTATGAGGATACATATTTCAAGATCGAGCCAACATTCAGGTAACTAAAAAAGCCCAACATATAATTTTAAATCAGTGTTAGAGCCTCATCAAGGCTAATTTAGCCAGGACAGTATAGATTAATACCCTTCTGTTGTACGGGTGGAGTATACGCGAGACCATGATATTTACCACAGAGGAGAAATCCTTCTACTACGCTTCTCGAACATACTTTTACTATATCACCAATTTACTCTATCACAATATGTTAACATGTAATCGTCTTGGCCCCCCTTTGGCACCTCACATACATCTCTGCGGTACTCTGTTGATTTCGCTGAGCTGCCGGTGGTGACAGACAAGGTGAGTTTTTTGAGAGAGAGAGAGAGAGACAAGGTACGGGGAAATAGAAGCATCAGTTCCGTGATGACATTATATACTCTATTCCAAACAATACATTTGGCCTAGAATTTTAGAATCGCATAAAGTGTTGAAAGATGTATTTTTAGACGTCAAATCCATCCCATCCAACTATGACATTAAGCCACAGAAGGTAGTAGAAGAGATTTTGCCTTGATAGGACACTTGAGAAGTGGAGCAGATAGGAGGACTTGCGAAGAAGAGATTTCAACAGATAAATTTCTGGGTTTCGGTATATGCATAAGTGCACTAATAGTGCTTGCCTGTGCAACTTTGATAGCCCACTTGAGAGAGTTACTTGGGCGATCCACCGGTATATGAGCAGTTAGGTAGTTAATCAATTGCAAATCCACGTTGTCGGATGTTTTTGGTGTTATCTGGTCAATGGGATCAACATCACGGGACTATGTCTTGAAGCTTTGTATTTATCCATTTATCAACAGAAATTACCATAGCGTTGAGACCCTAGAAAGGATTACTTCGTATCACCTTATCGCATGTTCGATCCCGTTGCCCCCGTGCCGTAGCCTATACCTCAAGCAGTAAATTATTCCGTACTACCACTCTGCACAATGCAGCCACGACTCAGAGATTAGTCAATAATGAACCAAAGTCATGTGACTTGAAAACAACCCGCGTGGGTAAAAGGCAAACCATCCTTCGTGCTGTCACATCTGGCGCCACGTCGTGTTCGCAAAAACAATTTTCTTGCCGCGTCTCAACAGGCCTTCTAGAAGGTCGCAGGCGTCTTCGAGAACTTCGGCAATCCGTCCCGTAGAGTTGGCGCAGCATGGATCTCGAACGCCCGAATATTGCTTTTCGACGAACTTTCCACCGAACGGTATAGTATGACGCGAGAAACGTGGAAAATACAACAGCTGAAAGGAATTAGTTGGAAGGATATACTATTGAGGATGAAGTCCTATGCCGAACTGGGTTGAGACGGCCCCGATTTGATATAGCCATGTGCTTTGCCTACTCGCCAACCGGCACATAATGGTGCCGAGAGGGCATGGCGAACATGCCACACCATAGTTCTTACATGGGTACGGGACAAATCGATCGACCTTGATCTACGCCAGCCCGATTGATTGATGCAGCGGCACGGAGGCGTCTCACAATCACTATGACCTTACCTCACCGGTAAGATGGAGGCTAAGCTTCACGAGGACTAGGGTGGCCCTCGCTTGGAGGCATCTGCAGCCCGACTCAACGACGTCCTGCTTACAATGCACTATTTATTCTACTAGAGCTTTTGCGTCCGGTCTTGCCATACTGTTTCTATTTGTGTATCCTGGGCGTTTGGTGGCAACGGCTTGAATTCCTGTATACTGTCCCAACCACCGCGAGGCTGTACACTGCTAGGGTGTTGTCAATGCTCCAAAAGCTTCGGTAATTTGCAAAGGGCAGACCCCTGGTACGCAGGGAATAGGAGCCAAGAAAATATCATGGTCTGGGTTGTCGGCATGCACACGTTGGTTTACAAGGATTCATATAGCAGCCTGCATGCGGATTTTTAGCTCATTATCATAGGCTGTCTTGTGCAAAATGTATGCATCCCAAGTAAGTGTTCGCTGACTGCATCTACAGCAAAGAGCGTCGCTTTCGTGATCTTCAAATCAGGGTAACACGGCTGCCTCACATGAGTTGATTGTAGCAGGTAGTACATAAATGTAGGAGGGTCTTGCAGTGGAGCGGGGTTTCCAAGACCCCACGGGGCCACCGCGTCATGCCTCGTCGCCCAAGCCACAAGTGGGACCCATATCCGGGCGTGACCGCTACCCGGTCTGCATAGAGCTTACCGCCGCCAGAATTTGTTCTCAAATTGCATGATACGGAAGAGCAGCCAATTTCGGCGTAGGGTTACAAAACCAGTGGAGTCTCCCCGCTGACCGTGAATACAAAGAGCTGCGCAGTATCCATCTTCAAAGCTCTTCTACTGGTTGCAGCACTGGTTTTTCCTGGGTCACAGCTAAACAACACGAACTCACAATGCCTTCTACCAGATCACTCGTCGCTGTCGGCGCGACAATTGGACAAGCTTTGGCAAATGCCGTGCCCAAATATGCCCAGATTGTTGACCAGAAAAGCTTCAATGTTCTGCCTGTCGTCCCACCTGCCGTCGAATTCAATGCAACCAACGTAAGCTTTCTTTTTGAAAAAAAAGCATCTGCATTTTGTATCATCTAACCAGATACAGCTGTTTATATGGCCTGGCGCAACCGCGGAATCACTCCTAGCCAAACCTTTCCACATTTACGACCCAGAATTCTACGATGTGATTGGCAATGATCCGTCTCTGACTACCATCGCAACCTCACCATCGGATCCTCTCTTCCACGAGGCCGTAACGTGGTACCCTCCTACCAACGAAGTTTTCTTCGTTCAAAACGCCGGACCACCTGCTGCAGGTACTGGATTGAACAAGTCTGCTATCATCCAAAAAGTCGCCATCGCCGATGCCGAGAGGGTGCGCAAAGGAACTCTGAAGTCGGCGCCCATCTCAATTGTCAACACATCGAACCCTCAGATCATCAACCCCAATGGTGCTACCATGTATAAAGGAAAGCTTATTTTCGCTGGTGAGGGTCAGGGTGACCGTGTGCCATCAGCTCTTTACGTCATGGACCCTACTCCACCTTACAAGACTACTAGTACGTTATTCTTAAAACCTCCAAAAAGCATAGGTGGGGATAATCGCTAACAAACATAGCTCTTCTCAACAACTTTTTTGGCCGCCAGTTCAATTCGCTCAATGACCTTGTTGTCAACCCTATGAACGGTGATCTCTACTTCACTGACACAATCTACGGCTATGTCCAGGCCTTCCGTCCCTACCCTGGCATTCAACAGCAAGTGTACCGTTACAACTTCAACACCGGTGCTATCACCGTTGTAGCCGATGGAATCGAGCACCCCAACGGAATCGCATTTTCCCCTGATGGCAAGAAGGCCTATGTTACTGATACCGGTATTGCCAATGCCAACTTCGGCCTCAATCTGACCGCCCCTGCATCCGTCTACTCTTTTGATGTTACCAAGGATGGTACTTTCAACAACCGCCAGACTTTCGCCTTCACCCCAGCCTTCATCCCAGATGGTACGTAATCTACACCCCCAAACGCATGGGATATTTGCATTTGCTAACAAGATTCTGCAGGTATCAAGAACGACTCTAAGGGTCGAGTATACGTTGGTTGCGGCGACGGCGTCTGGGTCTACAACGCCGCTGCCAAGCTTATTGGCAAGATCTATACTGGAACGACTGCTGCCAACTTCCAATTTGCTGGAAACGGCCGCATGATCATTACTGGACAGACCAAGCTGTTCTACGCCACCCTGTCTTCTTCCACCACCGGCACAGCAATCCAATAGACGCACGTATATGTAGTACCTTAGACTTGTTGCATTTGTACAGTAGCGCAATACCGAGAAGACCTCATGAGTCGTGTATCGGGTCGATATATTCAAAACATAATGTAATGTCGATTTCTGAACCAATAGATCCATGCTGCATGTATGTGGTACAAATGTATGACGGAAATGAGTGGTGAATGCGAACAGGTCAAGTGGCGAAATCAAATTGTCACGCCACAGCTGACACTACCGCCCATGACATCCGGACCGTCCATGGTCTCCGAATAGCCAGCTTCCATTTTCGATCTGGTTAGAAGCCCAGCCGCTGTACCAAATCCCATTTCGCGGAGGACTTAGCGGCAGCGGAGATTGGTGTCACTGTGCCACGCCAAGTCTGACGGCGTAAACAGAAGGGCCGAGGCACCCCGTTCCGCCGCACAGCCCCATGGGAAAGATGCCCCTTCGCAAATGCGCAGCCTCCTGCAGCTTGTGAAGGACTTGGGCCTACGAAACCAGTCAAAACACCGCACGACACTAGTCCCTGTGTTAGAAGGAGGATTAGAGTTTGGACATGATACGGGCGACCCGTTCACCTACCGTACTTTGTACTTTTCACTGTCCCAAGTCTCTCGTGGTTCTTGGTCTAATCATCGCACATTAGGGTAATAGAAACTGAAGAATCCAAGATCTTCTAAGATCGGACGATCATACAACCCCCTTCCCTCCCCCACGAGTGTCGGCGGTACGCCAAGAAGCATGACCTGGAGGCTCTTACCCTGATGTCAGTCCTTCACATTGGGCGTTGAGGCGTTGACACACTCTCCGTGTTATTGGATAAAGGCTTTGCCTAGCCCTCTGCTGCAAGGGACGATCTGCAATGCATAGGAGTTTGGGACAGACGAGCGCATGAGTCGTCTGATGACCCCCCATCTCCCCCGCTCGCTGCATCGGCCTACCTTTACTTTTTCTGTGCGCCTCCCCGTGTGTTGACGCGCAGCAACCATGTGTATTACAGTGGTCGGTAAGACCGTCCTTCTAGCCCTCCCCCGTGCCCATGTACAGGTGTATTGCGAAGGGTGGGTGGACCAAATCCTCGGGTCCCTCGCGACAATAGTCAGACGGCGACTGGATCGGAGGATAGCATTCGACCTTCCAAGCTTGAGTTCACGCCCGTAAAACCTTGAGTTCGCTCAGGGTCTGCACGGAGATAGAAACCAGCGTGAACTGAACTGCTCACAGAGAGAGTTCACTAGATCTATCAACCTGGTGAATGGCACCTCCTGCTCTGACAAGAGTATAAATGCGAAGAGCTGAGACCTAACTGAAAGGCCCGATGTCTTGCCTTGCAATAGTTGCCAGGGGTGGCGAGGGTCGCGTTACCTTACCATAGGGCACTAGGACACGGATGGGGGGGCATTTGGTTAAGCGAAGACAAGACCTTGCCAGGTTGGCAATTCGCAACCTGAGTGAAGTGCCGAGCCACTTATTGAGAACGGCTCACCATCAGACCAGAAATGGTTGTTTAGTCCCTGTCGGCTAGACCCCCTTCCAAGGGAACAAGGGCTTGGTTTAGGGCGCTCAACTATGATGAAGCCCATCCCTGAAGGTATGGCTCGCCTACGGAGAAAACGTTGACGTTTGAGATAGTCCTGTTCCCCATGGTTGACAGGACACCCACACATGCGCGCCAAGCTGCGTGCAGGGTAGGTTCCTTTTTGAAGTAAAGTGGAGGTTGATCTCCCAGATCTGAACGCTCATCAACTCCACCTTTTTACTTTGTTCTACGACATCCTTTTCGCAACCACCCCCCCCCCCGCTCTATCAACCATGGCGATCGTCCTTTCCACCATGAAGGTCATCGCGGCCGTGTTTCTCAGCCTAGCATTGTACAACTTTCTCGAGCTTAATGTCTACATTCTCACCCTGTTCAAACGGCGCAGCGGGCTGTATTTCTGGAGTTTCACGGTTGCCACATATGGAATCCTTTTCAACTCGGTTGGATATATGCTCATGCATTTGGTCGACATCAAGATGAAGAACGTATACGCTACATTAATCCTCATAGGATGGTGTTGTATGATCACTGGTCAGTCGGTGGTTCTGTATTCGCGGCTGCACATTGTTATGCACAACCTCCGATGGCTCAAGTACGTCCTAACTATGATCATCGTCAACGCAATCTGGCTACACATTCCTGTTATCGTAATCGTCTATGGTACAAACTCAGCCAACCCGAAGCCCTGGATACCGGTGTATAACGTATACGAACGAATCCAACTCAGTGTATTCATCGCCCAAGAACTCATCATTTCAGGCCTCTACCTCTTCGAAACTACCAAGCTCCTCCGCCTGGAGCGCACTATTGGAAATGTCGGTACCCGGAAGCTTCTGTACCATCTCATCTCAGTCAACGCTCTTGTTATCCTCCTCGACTTCAGTATTCTTGCCCTAGAATTCGCCAATCTCTTTGAGATCCAAACGTCCTGGAAGCCGCTCGTATACAGCGTCAAGCTCAAACTCGAATTCAGCATTCTCACTCGCCTCGTCAACTTGACGCGAAAGGCCAGGAGTGGAAACGGAGCCAGCTCCTACGGCAACAACGCATATGGTAACAACGCATATGCAAACCGCGGAGAAGAGGCTGGAGGTGTGCCACTGGGAACAGTGAGGGCAAAGAGCCACATGCAACGGTCAATGGTAGGGACTGGCAAGGACGAAACAGACGCCTGGGAGGTCCACGTTAGCACTGGCAAGGGCAACAACAAGGCCATGCCAGCGCAGGTGGTCAAGACGACTGAATTCACAGTGCACAGTCACAGCAGACAAGCGAGCACAGAAAGTCTGGTGGAGAGCGGGAAGAAGGGATTTGTCCACACGACTTCCACAGAGTCGCACGAGATTGAGAGGGATAGCGCGTCGTCTGTCTTGTCAGATCCGCATTACAGGAGACAAAATGAAGGTCAGCAATGGTAACACCGCTGGAAGGAAGATACCGATCGATACCAATATTTTCCTTGTTTTTCCTAACGAAAGCGTGTCTCTCTATATCCGTTAATTCTACTTCTCCCTTTTCTACATTCTTCCAAAGCACACATTTTCTTCTCTTCGTTTTTTTCCTTCACCCTTAACTTTTGAGAGCGCATGCACATCTCACGCGCACGAATAATGACACAATATTATTTTCTCAACCCTTATAATACGCGTTTCCCATAGATGACTTGTTCTCGCCTTTGATACACATACACGCACACATATGCACAAGTTTTGGTCCTGGGAGAGTCGGACGAAGTTGACTTGGGCGCAAGCATAAACCTACATACACGGCGCAGACATTGTTTGCAACGTTTGGACAAAAAAAAGACCCAACAGAGTGGCGTAAGACAGACAAAGTCGGAGCTAAGTATCAAGCTCCCACGCAAAAAAAAAAAAGCTGTTCGAACCAGTCACACATTCGGTGCTGTCTTCGTCTTACTACAATGTCTCAAATAGAAAGGGGGGGGCGAGGTGAGGGCAAGGGAGAGTCCCGTGCAGGCATGGCACGATAGTAATCTGACATTGTTCGCGTGGCTAGCCGCGAACTTACTAGCCCTACGTACTTAGACCAGACTACTTGCCCCCTAACCGCATGCAGGTCGCCCTGCTCACCCCACCCCCAGCCGTGCTTACGTTCAGAATGCTTGCAGTGGTAGTAAGTATGCCCAGGGCACGGAATACAAAAAAACTCCCTTTTAAAGTTTCTCGGTTCCAATCCTGCGTTTTTGCTTACTTACTTTTCCCCTCCCCCTCCCCCAGTATATCTTAGAAGGGTCTGCTAGGTACATCCGCACCCGAGACGCCCCGTTGGAAAGAAACACGATCGGTCTAGATGCGAATCGATCTACTTACTAACAACCCCAGTTCCTTCCCTTTTCGCTCTTGGGGGAAGATCCCAAGACCTGCTGCGTGAGAATGACATGATGGTCAGCAAGCCAGAAAAAAAAGACGAGCCCACGGTCGTCGTTTCCAGACGCATGGAATTGCGGGGAAATGATGAATTAGGCCGTTGGTGCTGTAGTACGCGGCATATACTAGCATTACTTCGGCTCCATTAGAAGTGTCCGAGGTGGACGGGAAAATGCGCAGATAACGGGGTGAGAACTCGTATCTTCACTAGGCTATTATAAAATGCCTCGTTATCGTTGAGCCTCCCCCCCCCACCCCCCGCCGTTAAAAGACTTGCTATGTCAACAGCTCGTTTAGCAACTTTCTTTTTGCCGTTTTGTGGCTGAATACCGATGGAACGGAAAATGGCTCTCCGCTGCCCAACTTTTGTGCGTATTTTTCTGGGTCGAATTTGATCGCGAGGGCTGCTCGGTCAAGAGTCGGTAATTTGCGTGAGGTAGGCGCTTTCGTTCAATGAAAGTTATTGAACGTTTGGGAGGATTGGAATCCCGGTTTTTGGGCTCTTCTCTTAATTCATCTTGTCTTGATCGAATTGGGCGTCCTTGATGCCATTGCACACACCGCTCAGTGAGACGTGCTTTCGTTCTTCTGCATCGCTCGCCGTATTTGTGTTCCTGTCTTTGCATCTTCGCCTAGAAAAACGTCGCCCATCTCGTCAGTGTCCGCTTGGCCCGCTAGAGTGTCTTTTGCGTTCGGTCGTTCGTATCCTGCCTGTAGACTGATAATCTAGGAAGTCGGTCAGCTCAGGCCTGTCGTTCAGGCTCTCGTATAGCCGGGGGCACAACAAGTATTTCAAGGTCGTCGCCTACTTGCGACAAGCATGAAACGAGGAGTTGGTGCAATTTTTCCATCTCCAAAAGATAAATCTATGCAGCAAATCACAAGTGCGGATTGTCCCGCGATTTTCTTTATGCCGTCACATATATCCTGTACTGGCCATGGGTACTCGGCAGTTGATGTAAACGCAACTGTGTTAACTATGTGTTATGTAATGTGATGCTGGATTCGCCCATCGGTACTTTCGTTGGCCGGCATTGGAAGGTCCATGTGCTTTGACATCAATAATGCATAAATTCGCACTCACAATGCCCTTTCTTGGTCGCCTATAGAGACTTAGGGTACCGTGTGTTATGGTTTCTGAATGTCTTAAGACAGTTTCGTCTTGGTGCACGTGATGGTGTTGACGGGAGGAGCGTTTGAGCGTGGTCGGAATAGAGCGGAAATGGTAGGTGTCAACGGCGGGAGATGATATTAAAACAGAAATGGTCGCCCAAAGTAAAAGGATTTGTACTTGTGTTTGAAGACATAGTCGTTCTTTCCGTATTTCAGCGCTTAGTAGCATGTACACCCTCAGTGACCGCCAGCGACTGTGTAGTTGAAACCTATGTAATGATTAGCTTCGCGATACTTTCCCCAGATTCTTCACAAACAAAATACTTACTCGTGTAATGGTTCTTACCAAGACTGGAGTATTGCTTATTGTTCTTCGATTTCTCTTAACACGCGGAGAAAAAAGGGCGCGGTGGTGCGGGCTGAACCTCCGCCGAACTCCGGTTCCAGACATGTCACGTCTCAGAAAATCATTTCGAGACTGCACACAAACCACAAAGATGGTGATTCTAACCACTTGTCGATGAAATAAACCTGCTTTCGCACAGTACCAAGCATCATGCACCATTATTTCCCGGTGAGCTACAACCGGCCGTGGCGGGCCTGACTTGCATATTACCGAGCTGCAATCTATTCCGCGCGCCCTTGATTTCCTCGTTCACTGAGTAGATTGAATTCCTTAGGCACCAATTTCCCGTACCTTTTTCCCTTTCTTTTTGTCAGGACTGCTGGCCAGCATGCATATCGTTGTTGAGCAATGATCTTCTCTTCGTACTACCGCTCTTTATTTTTCTTTTCATCATGTTTAATACTCAGAGCTGGCGATGCTCAGGTGCTGGGGTCGTGGTCTCCAAGCCAAGGTGAACTTCAAGTGCGCCAGAATGGCAATAACAACGGCCCTGATACAAGCGCATTCACTATCGTTAACGGAAGAGTTTTCACGCCTGGGTTGGGAATAATACTAGCAGTACGTCACCTGATATCCCAGCGGAAAGGCGCACCAGGCTGACAAGAAGTCACAGCCTCAGCCTTTCACGCCTATGGGCGGCGACTTCCTGCACATTGCCCTCGATGTGTCAGGTGACGGCAAATTGCCTGTCCCTCCACGCAACATTGCCGACCCACTCACCCAAGTCTTCAACTTCACTCTTTTCTTGACCTCAACAATCACCCAGAAGAACTTTACAATCTCTAATATAACAACCTCCACGCCACCCTTTGCGGACATACTCGACCAAGAGCTCGGCCAAACAGTCAAGCACATCAACTTCGAATGGCCAGACTGTCTCGTCGGCGACGGCAACGACGATGAAGGTGCAACAGCAAGAGGCGACTACAACATCAGTATCCACCAAAACTACCGACTCAACGGTGTAGATCGATACACGATTTTCAATCTCCCCATCAGTGTTACCAACAGTATCCAACCGTTCCCTGGTGCAGGCCAGTTGACTACCAAGCCTGCCCCTGGCCCACTGAGCGCAAATGGAGGCCGCATGCAGTGTGCCATGATGGAGAATCCGCTAGTGGATTTTCAGGTGCAGGTTAACAGCGTGAATAACCCACCTGGACAGCCTATGCGAGATATCCAGATCCAGACCAGCCCGCGAAGTGATGGAGGGCAGGTTGGTGCAAATGGCCAGGACGACGGATCGAGAGGGACGGGAGGGGATCAGAGTGGGGGTGTAGATGGGCAAGGGGAAATAGCGCCGAGCCAAGGCGCTGGTAGTAGTCGTCCTGCATTGGGGGCAGCAGTGAGGATGTCAAGTGAATCACTTTCCGTGGTCATGATCGGCATGTTGGGGGTTGTGGTGGTGTTGTTTACATCTGTGAGCTTGTGAGGCTCAGCTACTGACAGGGCGGTGTCTGGCCAGCTGATGCGTGACTTGTGGATATGTATATCTAAATATACTATAGAGCCGTGCCAGCATGGGTATATATAACATTATGAAAATAAAACGACAAATATATGAAGAAAACATAAAGTTTATTGCTCACTCACTATAAGATGAATATATTATGAAGCCAGGGTATCACTCTTCCTCCTCTTCCGTGCACTCTCGTCCTCCACCATCCCCTCTCCAACCTCGCTCTCTGCCCTCTTCCTCTTCTCCTCTCTCGTAACCTCCTCTCCCGCCGATTTCTCCGTAACAAACAAAGTACTCGCCGTCTCCCTAACCCCACTATTCCCCTCAGACACCTTCTCCCCTCCCACCCCCTCCTCCTCGCTATCACCACCAATCCCCAACTCCACCGTCCCCCCCTCCGGATCCGCCAATGCTACCTGGATCTTCTCCAACCCCATCCGATCCCCCTCCACCGTTTCACTGATCTCAGGATCAACCCATCCCTCCGTATAACTCCCCCCAAAGTCAATAATCCACAGCTCAGACTCCGCATCCACCATGAAATTATCCGCCTTCGCATCCCCCCACACAATTCCATGCTCATGCAGCGTTTTGATATAAACTTCGCTCTTGCGGCTCCACTCTGCGCGCGCGCCCGCGTCGACACTGGAGCGCAGGAGTTTGGTGAGGGGCGTTGGGTAGCGAATATTCTGGAGCAGCATGCCCATTGCTTGGGTTTTGCTGTTACCGAGAGAGACGAAGCCGAGGAGGTGGGGGAATTTGATGTCAAGATTCAGGGCTTCGAGTTTACGTAGGATGTGGATTTCGCGTTTGACCGAGTCGGGTTGCTCGGGTACCACGGGTTTGAAGAAGTATACTGCGCCCGTCTTTTTATGAATGACCTGGCCTGGGTGCGCGGGGGATGGCATGCTAACTTCGGATTGCACGATCAGGTCGTTGGGGTTGAGCCAGGGGAGGTTGTAATTTTGGATGTATTTTGGCATTTTGAGGCGGGGGACGAGGGCTTCGATTTTTGCTTCGAGCTCGGGTGTTGTCTCAAGGAGTTCAGGGGATAGCTCGCCGTTGGTGATTTGCATATTGTAGAAGTATGTTGGGCCATGATACCATTCATATAATGTGGATTCCTCTGGTTCTCGGTTTGGTGGCGCATCGGTTTTCGTGATATCTGCAAGTGCTCCGAGTATCCAGTTTCGCAGCTCCAAGCCTGCACTGGCTGAATCTTGGTCTAGGTCTTCTCCAACCTCCTCCTCGTCCTCCTCACCGCTCCCCACAAATTCATCATCATCACCGTCTGCTGTGATGTCAACCCCACTGTCTTTACCATCTGAACCCTCTGAGCACTCCCTGCCCTTGTTTTTGCTTTTCGCCTTGCTACGATGGACTCTAGCTTGTTGCTCTTCAGCCAACTCTTCTTCCCTTTCTTCTGCCTCACGAAGTGCTGATATCTTATCAAGGTATTCGTAATACAATGGCTCCTCGCGGGACTTTTTTAATTCCTTCGGATCAATCATGACATGGAAGCGGACATCGTTGATGAGAGTTGTCAAGGCACAGCTGTCATCTTCGTCATAGGAAAAGTGTAATGTGTGAGCCTTGGTGTTGGTAATAGATTGTGCCATTGTTGGATAGCAAAGAGAGAAATTTGAGTCCTTTGGAGTGTGTACTGTGGAACGACTCGATTTTGCTCCCATACAAGACAACTGACCGTACACACATCTATACCTCGACCCCCAACCTCCTCTGCATCCTAAAGAGCCGTGCTCTTACATAACCGTTGTTTTCTGTCACCGACCTCATCAAATTCCCAAAACGGGATGACATACCATCATGGCTTTCTTTGACCCCTGCATCGTCATCATAGACATGGTGCTAATCTTCAGGTACGATCGGTCGAGGGGCGAGCAGCGGCACCGGGAATGGACATGAGTGGCTCACCTTATCTAGTGGCTTTTACTACGCGATGTTAGTCCCGTCGATCTGAAACTGAACGATATTAGAAAGGTAAGTGAAGAAAGGGGATTGGCATGACGCGCTGACGCACGATCAGATGTCATGACGTCAAGTGGTAATGATACTACATACAAGCTGACAGAGAGCATTCGTGTTTCTGCGGCGACGGCACCAAACAATAAATCTCTCCACTTTGCTTATTTGATTTTTTCAGTCACTTGCATGTTTTCGGGAGAGGTGTTTGGAAAAATTAGATGAGGTTTAATTGAAAAGCATCCAAACGTTGTCGCATTGCTACGGAGGCGCTCGTCTGTCATTGAGATATGTCACTGGCAGACATCCTGCACTCATTCACGCGTTCAACCGTCAGATATCCCAACCGTATACGCCTTTTTAAAATAACAAATATGCCGAACAAAGGAGCGTAAGCCTACACCCTACGGTCCCTACAGTGGCAGCAGAAGAAGCGAAACATGTTTCTCTCATTAAAAAATCTCTTGACAATGCCAAGATCTTGAGAGCCTGTCCCATGAGTTCGAAATAAATGCGTCGGATCATCTCCCAGAGATTACACATACGCCAAGTCATTATACGTTCATAACATTCCAAAACAATATCATACAGCCTCGCACATGTCTTCACGTTGGGAAGACTGTTTTACACAGTGAAGTCCAAAAGGTCGTACGCCGACGAGTCCAGAGAAGTAAAGTCGCTCATTGCCTTCATCTCGAGATCAAACTGCGAGTAGGAGGTATCGGGCATACTGTCGAAGAGCTCGTCCAGATTGTCCTTGGAGTCGATCGGTGAGGTTGGTGGTGTTGTGAACTGACTTGACTGGACCGACGACCGCGAAGGCGATGCCGTTACCTTCAAAGGACTAGGCTGGATGAGCGCATGTGAGTCGTTTGGCGACCCAGCAGAATTTGGGCGCACATCAGCAGGCGACATTGGGGGTGTATGAGAGTGCTGAGAGAGTTGTTGAAGAATGTTCATAGACGCAGAGTCGTTGGCATAGGAAGTTGAGCCAAAGCTCGACTGGGAGAGGCCAGCATCTTCGGGATAAGGACTTGATGAGGTCTCAAAGCTGTATTATTTGTCAGATTTGGACGGTGACAGGATTGGTAGAGGAACTAACCTGAAAGGATCTACAGAAGAGTGCATGGAGTCATTGTAGCTCTGTGAGTCCGAAAGCAGCTGAGGGAGATCTTGTGATTGAGCTGGCTCAAAGCCAACTAGCGGTGAAGGAGACCGAGCATCCGAGTTTGGCGAACCAGCTGATGATGAAGGTGCTGACACCAGGGCACGTCGTGTTCTGCTGGCCTTATCGACGCGCTGCTCCATATCCGGCCGATTCTTCTTCGGTCGGCCACGCTTGGCCTGTCGACGAACTGCATCGGGGAATCCACCGACACACATGCCACGCTGGCGATGGCGCGTAAGAGCGTCTTGTCGTGCGAACCCTGCACCGCACGGGCACTTGTATGGCTTGTTGCCGGAGTGGATCTTTGCGTGGCGCTTGAGGTCATGCTGTCGAACGAAACACTTACCGCATCCATTGCACTTGAACTGGCGGTCACCAAGATGTGTTTGGATATGCGATCGGATGTTTTCCCTTCGTCCAAAGACCTTGCCGCAGCCTTGGTACAGGCACGTCCACTTGCCAGTTGTCGCGTCTTGCTCGCTGATGTATCTTTGAACTTCTTCGGGCGCAATGCCAGTGAACTCGTAGCTAGCGTCCACATCCAGGTCGTTGAACATTTGAGACGGCGCAAACTGCTCAATAGGTGTTTGCAAGCTGTTAATGGGCACTGCGCTTTGGGGAGTAGGCAACAAGCCGTGTGATTGCGCAAAAACCATCTCTTGGTTCTCTTCGATGTTCTCCAAGATAGATTGAGCAGGCTTTTGTCGTGGCGAAGAGACGGGCGATGGTGACAAGGCGTCGGAGGTGTAGTACGAAGATGAGTCGTAACCAAGGTCTACTTCTGGGTTCTCAAAGTCGAATGTCATGGCTTTTGAGGTAGGTTCGAGATTAATGTCGGTCATGCTAGTAAAGGCAGCCGAGAGACCGTTTTGACTAAAAGATTCATGGCTAGGCAACTGCGCTGGCTTTTGTGGGGTCGCAGTGGGTGTAGGTAGAATGTTGATGAAGACTTGTCCACATGAGCCATATACAGACTGAATGTGCTCGTGGAGTTCTTTCAATTGCTGTTCAGTTGGGGGTTTAGAGGGGGAAGAGGGAAGCTGCGTGGGAGATTGCACACGGGTTAACCTTGAGGGAGTCCGTGGTGTTGAAGAAGTGATCTGTACTGGGGATGCCAAGAAGGTGTCCTGGGGGCCCGGCTGGGGCTGTCTGTGCGTCTGCGCTACTTGCATAGAATGCTGTGATGATTGTCCTAGATTGTTAGTATTACTTACCGTACTGTCTTCCTGCTGGAAGGAGGGGATGTCGAAGGGTCCTGGTCGTTGGGCGTATTCCTGGTATTGGGCTTGTCGCGCGGCATGAATGGAGTCTAGGTTGAGGCCGCGTAGATCCAAGCTCATGCCGGTCCGGTGTGATCGTCGTATTTTAGCAGGCGATGGGCGTACTGTAGGCGCGTCGAAAACAGTTGGTGTCGAGTTTTGTCGACGGTGCTGAATCCGTTGGCGCTGGATGCCGGCTGGCATATTTGTGGACAGCATATCTTATGCAGGTCGAGTCCGGAATCGGTTCTCGAGGATGGGGGAAGTCCTATTGGGTCCGAAACTGATGCATGTTAATGGTCATGTTGCTTTGAAGTCGCGGTCTCGAGTATGCGAGCTTGGACGTTGGAATAAATGGATATCAAAACTTACCTCACGCAGTGCAAGCGGCGCTCCGCCGGGCGGTCGGTGTCCTTATGGTATCCTCAGTACAGATGCAATCTCCCAATAGCCTGCGTCAAGTAAGTAATGGGCCGAAGCCTGTGCTACTAAGTCTGAAGACAAAGAAGTGTTTTAGTGTAAGTCGCTAAACAAAGCAATTGATACTAGAGATGAAGAAAGTGTGGGTGCAGAAGATGGAGAGTAAAGTGGAGGATAATAAAAGTAGCGCAGGCGGGGACAGCTGAGTATTACCGTATGAGGTCAGGACACAACAATCGCTGGCATATCCGTCACCCCAGCGACGGCTAGCCGCCCATGTCCGAGGCTGGCGCTAGTGTATCCACCGCGCCTGGGCACAATCACGTGCTTCTCGATCTGCATCGCGCACGGGCCGGTCGCCGCCCGCCATGCTCGCTTACGAGGTCCACACGAATTTCATCCACCCGAGCACTTTCCCGCCGACTTTTTCTTTTCACACCCTTTCTGCATCACGCTGAGGAAAGCAATCACGACACGATTGCTTAGGCCACCATGCAGATCTTCGTGAAGACCCTGTAAGATGCCTCGCGCGCACAGCAGCAGCAGCTCAATCAGAACTAACACGCTGGCAGTACGGGCAAGACTATCACCCTTGAGGTGGAGTCGTCGGACACCATCGACAATGTAAAGGCCAAGATCCAGGGTACGTACAGCTGAGAGAAGATGCTCGGGCTTCGCCATCTGACATTCACCAGACAAGGAGGGCATTCCCCCGGACCAGCAGCGTCTCATCTTCGCCGGAAAGCAACTCGAGGACGGCCGCACTCTTGCCGACTACAACATCCAGAAGGAGTCGACCCTCCACTTGGTCCTTCGTCTCCGTGGTGGTGGTAAGAAGAGGAAGAAGAAGGTCTACACCACCCCCAAGAAGATCAAGCACAAGCGCAAGAAGACCAAGCTAGCTGTGCTTAAGTACTACAAGGTCGACGGTGATGGCAAGATCGAGCGCCTCCGTCGTGAGTGCCCCCAGCCTGAGTGCGGTGCTGGTGTCTTCATGGCCGCTATGCACAACCGCCAGTACTGCGGAAAGTGCCACCTCACCTACGTTTTCGACGAGGCCAAATAAGCGCGCCACTACCGGGGTACGCGACACGATCGATAACGAGTTAAGGCATCATGGCATGGCTGGGAGGAGCTGAATAGGTTCCACCGCATTGTCGGACATGTACCATCAATCAATCAAAAAAACTTGTCATGGACCAGATGAACAGTCAATTGTTGTATACGTGAATGCTCATGTTGTCTCGCCCGCACTGACGTCAGGTTCATAATCTGTTCGCTAATATGGTTGTCCGTGCTTGGTGGAATGAAGGCCCGTATTGGTGGCGCTAGGACCAGTGGGCTGATTGCTGATAACCTGATAGTAGTACTAATTAAGTGGATGTGGTCGGTTGCCTGTTGCCATGGCGTCTTGCGGACGAATGACCTATTTTTGGATGGATGTGTTTCAACATTGATCCGTTGCGTTGCTGTCATTGGAGCATATGCTTCAGCTAGTGCACTCTCGAATGATTTATACAATCATCAAAAGAACCAAAGAGACATGTGCAGATGTTCCGAAGGATGAGAATAAAGAATCAAATTTGGTATACAGCAAGGCTGTTCACATACACAGTCATGAGTGAAGTTGGAATATTTTGTTATTTAGACATGAGTGGAAAGCTACGCATTTGCATGCTTGCACCTCGCTTTTTCCCCAAGGGTAGTTATACATGATCATGATGCACGAAGAAGAGTTGGGGTCCATCGTCCTTGTCGTATCATCCTCTTACTTCCGGTTCGCCCTCTGCTCCTTGTCGGCATTACTCTGGCTAATGTCCAGACCCAGACCCTTGCTGTCGAGATAGATCTTGTTGCTACTCTGCTGCAAGATGCTGGCGATGCTCCTTGCATTCTCAAACTCTCGTAGGTCAACGTAACTCCTGCTCTTCTTGATGGCGTCACCAATCAGCTCTGCGGAACGGGCCTCACCCTGGGCGCGAACGACGGTAGCTTGCTTCTCCTGGCGGGCCTTGTCGACAACGAAAGCTGCGCGCTGGGCTTCTTGCTGGGCAACCTGCTTGGCTTCTACAGCGGCAGTGAACTCTGGAGAGAAGGCAAGGTGCTAAGGTGGGTTAGTAAATTGCGAGGCTTAGAAGGGAACTGTGACAAGGGCTACTCACTGTTAGGGAGACATCGTCAAGCATAATGTTGAAGCGAGCGGCTCTCCTGACGAGGTTGTCCCGTACCAGCCTGCTAACGTTTTCACGCTGTGTAATAAGCTGACTGGCGTTGAATTGCGCCACCACACTCTTCAAGACCTCGTTAACGATAGATGGCAGAACCCTCTCATCGTAATCCGTGCCCAATGTCCTGTAAATCTGAGGAAGCGCCTCGACCCGCGGTCTCGACAATACACGGCAAGTTATGTTAACCATTTGCAAATCCTTGGTGCCGGTGAGGGAAGCGACGTTTCGTGGTTTGGCGCGCACATCGTAGGTAATGGGGGTCTCGAACCAGGGAATGCGGAAGTGGGTGCCTTCACTGTAGATTTCCTTCTGCACGCCACCAATTCGGGTGTATTTAATTGCTCGGTGGCCACCATCGACTGTAGCGGGTCAGCGTTCCATGATCATAGGATCGAGCATGCGCTCTTGCGAAAAGAGAAAAATACCGTTGAACAGCGCATTGTTTGCCATCCAAATTCCACCACCGACGAGCAGCAATCCTCCGAGGCCTCCAAAGAGACCCTTCGGTGGTCCGCCGCCACCTGCCCCTCCAAATCGAGCGCTTCGTCGTGTCAATTCGTTTTGAAGGCGCGACCACGCTTCCTTTGGATCCGGTGCGGCCATGTTGGTCTTTTAGGTGAGAGGGCGAGGATGGGGGTGGGGTGAGGCGTCCAGGCGGCAACAATGGCGGATGAGCTCGGTGATGAGGTAGCGACAATGGAGAAAATGGTCATCGGCGAATCATGACCCCCGATACCAGGGCCCGCGCCAAGCCAGACCCTCCGCATTGCGACATCGTTGCACGCCGTGCCTGTCTTGTGCCTTGTTGTTTATTCTTGTCTGCACAAGGTCTCGATTCTTTTGCGCAAACAGGTTGAAACATTTTTTATTACTCCGTGATTGGCAGCTGAATATCCTCACGGCCTTGCCGTCTCATCTTAGAGAGGGGCTTGCCATGGCTGTCGCATCGTGTTAGCGCAGGGACCACCCAATCAATGTGATATGGGGTAACCTTAAAGCACAGCTGTCCATAAGCCTCTCACCCACGTCGATTCTTAAGTCCTCTCTCTGCCCGTCTGGTGGCACTTTTTCGATTCTTGTACATTGCTGTCCTTCTGTGATACCCAATTCCTATTTGTTTTTCCCCATATCCAAAGCAATCATCTTGTGAGTTGTGTAAAGCCTGGCGACGCGGGCGCGGTCGCTTGTACAGAGCACGACGTAGGTTTGATATTGCATCACGGAACTCAATTGAATGTGGGCTAACCCGAGACTAGTAGAGAAAAGACTTTGGCCTTCCGTACATCATCTCCATCCCCAAACCATATCATTCAGGACAGGGCTGTCACCTACCGCGACCATGTATGTCACATCGCGATCGCTACGGACCATTGCCTGGTCAGCCTTTGCAGTATACACGGCACGGGCCGACCATGTCATGGAGAATCTCAGTTTCGGGTATAAAGCGGGCGAATCTATTACGCCTGATCACCACTCGGTTCCTCACTTCGTCGTCCAAGGCACAGACGACTATACGCCCCAAATACTCTCGGATCGCATCATTCTTACACCCCCATACCCCGGCAATAGACGCGGTTCAATATGGGCTCACGACGCCCTGTACCACAAAGGCGACTGGACTGCAGAACTAGACTTTAGGGCAACGGGGATGGAGCGTGGAGGTGGAAATCTGCAGTTTTGGTATGTGAGGGACTCACAGGCGCACGAGACACCTGCAAGCTTGTATACTTCGCCTAAATTTGATGGTCTGGTATTGCTCATAGACCAGTATGAAGGCCATGGAGGATCTATCCGCGGCTTTCTCAACGACGGAACAAAGGACATCAAGTCCCATCCAGACCCAGACACGCTGGCTTTTGGCAAATGCGACTATGCATACAGGAACCGTGGCGAACTCACACCAATCAAGATGCATCATGCACAAGGCTTCCTTGAAGTTATTGTCGACGGGCAACTCTGCTTCAAGACGGACAAGGTATGGTGAACTTCTCTATGGTCTCCAGTTGTCCAGTACACTAACTTCTCCTCCAGGTCGAACTCCCTGAAGGCTACTACTTCGGAATCAGCGCCTCATCCGCCGAGAGCCCAGACTCATTCGAAATTCACAAATTCGTCGTATCCACCGTAAACTCGCACATCACCAATCCGCCCAGCCCAAACAAGAAGGACTACGCAAACTACGTAAACTCGCAGCAGCTAAAGCAGCAGAAACAGCAACAGCACCAACAACAACAGCAAGCCAGGGGTACGTCAGAAAATGGCTTCCCCCAGGTAATCGACGACGTATCTGCAGATAGCATCCGCGCCCAGCAAGAGCAATTCACCGATCTCCACAACCGCGTCCAGATGGTCGACCACCACCTCGCAACCCTCCTCCACCGCGTCTACGAGGTCAAGCAAGCCGTCGATACACTCACTGAAGAAAACAACGAGCGCTGGAAAGAGATAAATGAGCGCGTCCATTCAATCGACGCGCGCGGCTCCGGTACTATGCACAACGTCGAAAAGGTTGAACGCGCCACAGCGCAGATCCTGCGTGATTTGGAGTCCAAGGATTTCAAGGAAATGATGAATCAGATTCACCGGGCCCTCGAGAGGAACCAGGATGGCGTCATTCAGGTTCTGCCGCATTTGATGGGTGCTGGTAAGTTCTTTTTTTCTTCTTATTTGATATTTAGAGACTTTTTTTTGCTTGATCAGAACTAACTTGTTTCAAAATAGCCATTACCAGCAAGGGTCCTAGCATGACGACCTTTTTGTTCATCGCAGTCGCTGTCCAACTCACAATTACCGGCGGCTATATGCTGTACAAGAGGAGGAGAGACTCAGCGCCAAAGAAGTACTTGTAGAGTTCTTAGCCCTGCTACCCTGGCCAGACGAAACCGATTATTCATTTTTGCGCTACAAAAGCGCATAGCGACCTATGGGACGTAATTGGTGAAGAAGCTTGTACCATATGTTTCACTTCGAGGAAGAATCGGAAAGATGAGAGATTGCTTTGATCATGACTTGTTTTTTCTCTCTTGTGAGAAAAACTTCTTCGATCTTGTGAATGTTTGAATGCTCGGAAATGCCAGGAAACCTATTCAACGCCATATATGCAGCTGTAACAACAATCATATCTTGACCCTAACACCTCGCGCCTACGCACCCATCTTCCTCGGCTCAAGCAACAGCTTGCCCGACGGTCCACTCTTCTCCGAGAAACCTTCTGCGCGCGAGAAAACACGCTGACCACGTAGCCAAGTCTCGCGCACCACGCCCTTGAGCGTCTTATTCTCGTACGGCGAGACTTTGTTGCGGAAGAGCATAGTGCTAGGTTCGACCTGTCCATTTTAGTTAGCCATGTTGTCCAAGAGCCCCATATACACATCGAGCCAAGTAGGTAGTACAACACCAAACAAACGCAAGATAGAGAGAAACGTACCATAAATTCTGCCTCATCATCGAACACCACGATATCCGCATCAAATCCCACACCGATATCTCCCTTGCTATGCTCCAGCCCAACCTGCTTGGCGGTATTCTTGCAGCACCAACGTACGATATCTTCAATGGAGAAGGAACTGTTATCAAAGCGCTTGGTACCTTCAGTCCATAAGATAGGAAGACCAAGGCCAACACTCGAAATACCGCCCCACGCGCCGAAAAAGTCGCCTTTAGCTACCGAGTCTTGGGTTTCAAGGTTGCTGGGCGTTTCTGTCGACGACGATGCAGGCGCCAGATGTGCGGGTAGGAGCTTAATGTCTGGTGTGCAAGGCGAGTGGTCCGAGACTACGGTTTGAATGACGCCGTCGGCGGTGTCTTGAAGGAGTTCTTCCCAGAGGCCATCTTGGTTGGATTGCGAGCGGATGGGGGGACAGCACTTATGTCTTGTGTCTCCTTCCTTGATGCCTTCGGCGGCGAGAGCGAGGTAGTGGAAACATGTTTCTGCTGTGATTTTGACGCCGTCTGCACGCGCCTTGCGGAGCAGAGGGATGGCTTCGATGGCGGAGAGGTGCACTATGTGGAGTTGTAGTTCGGGGGCTAGATGGGCTAGCGAGAGGATCTCAGCTACGGCGCATGTTTCGAAGGCGGGGGGTCGTGATTGCAGGAATGTATCGTAGGATGTCAGAGCGCCTTTGGGGGCGAGAGGAGGCTCCGAGGTTTGGATTACGTCGCCTACGGAATCGGCGATGGGTGGAATCATTTCTGCGTGGAACATAAGGGTGGTTGCTGAGTCTTTTAGTTCGAGAAGTGCTTTCTCAATGTCGAGTGAGGATACGGCAGGGAATTCCTCAACCTACATGGCGAGCGTTAGTGTACAATGATTGAGTGTTTGGGTATACTAAACTTACGCCACTCTCGCACAAGAAACCCTTGAATCCTCGAACGCCTTCTTTAACCAGTGCTTTCAGATCGCCCGAGTTGCCTGGGATGATACCTCCGTAGAAGCCGACATCGACCCAGCATTTGCCTTGGGACGCCTCACACTTGATCTTGAGATTTTCAACCGTAGTCGTGGGTGGAATAGCATTTAGTGGCATATCGATGACAGTGGTGACTCCACCAAAAGCTGCAGCTCGGGTACCAGTCCAGAAACCTTCCCATTCTGTTCGGCCGGGCTCGTTGAGATGTACATGAGCATCAACAAGTCCAGGCAATAAGATGTGTGGAGAGTAGTCTGTGTATGGTGTGCCTTCAGGGAAGTGCGTTTGAGGAAGCACTGAGTGGAAGATGGACGTGATTTTGCCGGTATTGTTCGATACAATAATGGTAGCCTCTGTGATTCGACCACCAACAACAGCTCTTGAAGAGGCTAGTACAGTGATAGGATGAAGTGGCTGGGCCTGAGAAGTGGATGGAGGTGTCGTTGCGTGAGGAGTCATGTTGCAAGGCTGGAATTGTGTTGATTGAACTTAGGGCGCAAAGGACAAAGTAGTAGAGACAGAAGACGTGGGAATATATAACACCGCGTCGGGAAGGTAAGAGCTATATACAGCCACAAGCCGGTTTCGGCGAACGCGGGGAAGTTGGGGTGGCTGTCGTCGGTGAGCTGCAGATAAGCGTTGATAAGACGTTGTCAGTGATGCGCCAGTAAATGTAAAAGAGGACTGAAGCAAGGTTTTTGGAAGAAATTGAGTAAAATAGTACTGGTGGAGAAGTTAGGATTCTTTATTACAAAAGAATCCTGTGGTCAGATATATCGACTGTCAAAAACGCCAAAATCTGGGGTACAGTCCCTTATCTGTCCATGGCTAGGAGCCACCCCTGGGCTACTCTAGAAGCATTGTATTCAAGGTATGGGCTTCACTAACGTGAGCGCCACGGGATGGTGGGCCACCGGCGCACCCTGCGTTACATATTGCTCGATACTATCGAGTAACTACGATGAGGCGAGGCTATCGTGGCCGCTCTGACCATGCGTCTCGGCCCTGTCCTGTGTTGGTCAACATTAGTGTAGATACAAGCCAATATTTTCCCGATCATAGGTGTTTGCTGTTCCGTGTACCTTAGAGTATGTAATTCCCACACCATCTCTCCCTTAAAAGTATGAAATTGTAGTTGTTGGGATTGTAAAACACCCAGAGACACGAGTTGCTTCTCTGGCCCAAAAGGTGGTGTTGGGAGCGGTGCATGTGTTACTGATAAGCATATGCAAGGATGTGGCTCCCCTACGATAGGCATGCAGTAGATCGCTCCGATTAGGCCCACAAGGCCTAACGCAGGGCAGCCGGTTGAGCGTCATAATACCCGTGGAACCTCGAACATCCAGGACATGGTCCAGAATACACCGCCGGATATTCCTTTGCAGCTTGTGTCTTCTAGAGGAATAGAGAATCCCCTTGTTCTTGGTTATTAGCCTGAGGGATGAAAGAGCTGTGAGTCCTGAGGCCACCGGGATAGTGCCCGACATCTCCGGAGAAGCTAAGGAGATGTCAGGCAGCACGTACGTTCTATTTCTATCGAGTAACGGAAATCCAATAAGCTGGCTCTCGTCACCGCGACCGCTTGCCTAGCCTGACACGCATGGACTGGCTTCTCCCGGAGCTGCCCGAAAGGCATGTTCTCGACCGAATTCCCAAACGCATTCCGATCCTGCTGTAGTTCGTCTGCTTTCTTGCGCCCTGACGAGGACGACCGCGTTGAGATATCGAGATTATAATCTTGATTAAAGGAAAGAAGCGAGAAACACCAAGAGGTGGTCGGGATGGGTGCTCGGCCATCTCCATGGCTCATCAATATTCTGGTTGTCGGTTCGAGTCATCCAGGACAAGCGGCCAACTACGGCGTCCAGAGCTCCGATCCCAAGTAGCTATCGAGTAACAAAAACTGCAGGCTCAACGCTTCTGGATTTCCCGGTGGCGCGCTTGCACACGAGAAGCCCAGCAGCCTCGGCTACTCTCAATTTGTCGTGGTGGCCAGCATGTTCTGCAGACACGATGTGACAAATTGCCTCTGCATTGGCTAGACGTCGTGTAGCGGCGAAGACTTTGCAATCGCGTTACACACCCAGGGGTAGGTTTTGCTTACGTTTCTCTGGAAAGCTCTAGACAACGGCGATTCAGCATGGTGCGCAAACACCCCGGTAGCTGCGTTGTTGAGCATCGCAAGCGGGGTGTTTGCTCTGGGAAAAGAGGAAAATTGCTGGTTAGTACCGTCCGACAGAACCTTGGTTTTGACGCATAATCCGTAAAGGATTTGCTACGCGTTCAACAATGACTAGAAGGCACACAGGCTCCAAATAGTGGCGGAGAGAACAGAAAGACGAAAAGGGAAATTATCAGTCTAGCTGGAAAAGACTCCGTGGGGGGCCCTTCAGCGTCCTCATCTAAGCACCGTAAATGCTATCCGAGTTATCAGTGCGTTGCATCGCATGCGTACACCCTGTATACGCTATTCCTGCAACCCTCTTCTTCACTATAGCGACAGCAGAACTCATTCACGGCCCGAAACAGCCATCAAGTGTACACTGCTTCTGCTGGGTTAGGGAAGCTGACTCAGTTCCTTTGCTGTTGGCCAGCATTGAGCGGGAATTGTAAAGAATCGCTTTCAGTCCGTACTCGGCCGCATTTTCGCGTCTAACATCCAGGTAAGTATAGGCATCAGGCTTGTAGTAGATAAGTCGGCCTGCAGAGAGCAAGCCTATGGTTTCCAGCTCCTGGAGTATTCGCACAACATCTTGAGTATCTTGAAAGTTTCTGGTGTAGACGCAGACTGCGATATGCTTAGCACGAGTAAATCTGATTTCTTTCGGACTGCTGCCACACTTACTCAGCCGTTCCTCTTTTCCATCATCCGTTGCCACTTTGCAGCCAGAGCCAAGTCGGTTTTCGATGACACCTACTACGATCTGTTTCCAAACTTGAGTAACATCGACAGACTTGGGGAACAACATCCACTACACAAAGTTAGACATGAAAGAAATGAGGTAGTCAGCTCTAGTCAACTTCCACCTACTTTCCTAGAGAGAACGTGAGTGTTTCTTGCTAGGCTAGTGATGGGCTCCTGCAAGGACTCGCTTTCTTGACTGAGCTATTTGGTCACGCTTCCTCTTGGTTTCGTGGCACCTAATTCATGAATCTTACGGCGAATCTCTGAGGACTCTTGAGTAGTCGCATGCCGCGATTTGTAAAGTCAGCGCGACATGCGGATATGGCGACTTGTCGTGAGGATTGTGATAAGGATTCTCAGCCCAGATCCAGGGACATGTGAACACGGAGGTGGTCAGTGGTGGAAGGCGGCGTATAAAGTCATCGACAGACTTGCCTAGTTGCCACGCATTGAGTTGTCTTTGTAGCTGATTGAATAACTCGAGCTTCGACGGTTGTTCTGATGATGACTCTTGCTTACGCTTATTCGACATTAAAAGATGCTCCTGTGCCAAGTCTTTGTGATAGCAACTAGGTGTCTTGCATGTCTGATCTTGTGGAACCAGTGATGTTCCCCTCTTCCCTCTCTTGGACGACGTTGCACTGTCGTCGGAAGTAGGCTCTGCAAGGAGCTAAGCCCTCGCACCCATCATCATGACGTTAATATCATTGGAATGAGCACACCAGAGTGATTTTAGATCATACTTTTCGCAGCGCTGTTTTTGATGCTGTTGCTCCTCGGTGCCTTCTACTTGTCAGCGGGTGGGGCTTCAAGATGTATCCGACGTACATACCATAGAAACTGCTGTCATTTGAAATCCATCCGTCCCCGGACACCACATCTTCCTCTTCCATTTACAATACTACAAGGTTGAAGATAGTGTATGCTGCAGATATCCAGATAACTATGGCTCAAGGCAAATACAGTGTAATCAGTGATGGTTGACCGAATGGGGAAAGTAAATGAGGGACGACGCGCAAGGGTATCCCTGCAGCCAAAACGCGCGCCCGCGTTCTCTCTACGCGTTGACCGTGACGGAGCTTTTCAGCTCCAACAGACAATCCAACGCCTTGACTTGCCAGGCTCAGATCAATCCATGGTATCCACAATGCCGCACTCAACCTCGCCAGATTCGACGCCTACACAAGACGCATCGCAGACCGACAACGTCAAGCCAGAGCCAGAAACCCAAGATGTCGCCATGGAAGACGTGCCGGCAGCGGCCACAGCAGAGACAAGCAAAGTCAAACTCGAGGAAATATTCGACGATGTAGATTCAGACCCGGAGTTCCCTTCGAGCGCACCAGCACCCATCTCGCAAGAAGATGCATCGCAACCCGCCCCAATGTACGCCCCTACCCGACCCACGACAATGTTAATGCTCGACAACTGACACTCACACAGCAAGATTAATTCCAGTTCGTCCTTCTCCGACCCTGATGTCGTGCGCGCCTTTTACCAGCGTCTCTTCCCTTTCCGCCCCCTCTTCCAATGGCTCAACCATTCCGCAACCCCGAGCAACGACTTTGCCCATCGCGAATTCGCATTCACGCTGCCTAATGATGCATATCTGCGCTACCAGTCCTTTCCGACTTCTGACTTACTACGAAAACAATGCATAAGCATGCTTCCCTCACGTTTCGAAATCGGCCCCATGTACAGCACAAACCCGAGAGACCGAAAGACGTTGCGAAAAGCCAGCGCCTTTCGTCCAGTCATGAAAGAGCTGGTCTTCGATATCGATATGACGGATTACGATGATATCAGAACATGCTGCACAGGTGCAAGCATTTGCCTCAAGTGCTGGGGCTTCATCACAATGGCCATCAAGACCATCGACGTGGCTCTACGGGAAGACTTTGGTTTCAAGCACATACTCTGGGTTTACTCTGGTCGTCGTGGTGCCCACGCCTGGGTTTGCGATAAGCATGCACGAGAGATGGATGACCAGAGACGCCGCTCAGTAGCCAGCTATCTTGAACTCCTCAAAGGAGGCGACCAGGCCGGCAAGAAGGTCCATGCCCGGCGACCCCTCCACCCACATCTGGAGCGCAGTCTAGAAATCTTGAAAGAGCACTTTCAGACGTCCATTCTCGCTGAACAAGATCCCTGGGCTAGTGATGAAAAAGCGGCCCATCTGCTTAACCTGCTGCCCGACCCTACCCTAAAAGCCGCCTTGCAGAAGAAATGGAGTTCTGCACCCTCTCGCCCTAGCGCTTCCAAGTGGTCCGACATTAATACCCTCGCCGAATCCGGCGCTCTATCAAAGACGCCCAGAGAGCTTCGTGAAGCCAAACAAGACATTATACTAGAATACACGTACCCTCGTCTCGATGCCGAGGTTTCCAAGAAACTGAACCATTTACTCAAGAGCCCATTTGTAGTGCATCCCGGCACAGGGAGAGTTTGTGTACCCATTGACACACGGAAAGTCGAAGATTTCGATCCATTGAGTGTACCAACAGTCACACAATTACTGCAAGAAATCGATGACTGGACGGGAGATGAGACGGATAAGAAGGTGCAGGACTGGGAGAAGACAAGCCTGAAGCCATATGTAGACTTTTTCAAGCGGTTCGTTGCAGGCTTGCTGGAGGAAGAGAAGCCGGCACTTAAGAGGGAGAGGGAAGAGGCGGCGGATGCAATGGAGTTCTAGAGGAGAGATTTTGTTGTATGACAGCAATGAAACGGAAAAAGGTGCTTTGGGGTTGAACGTGTGGAAACCTATGCTGATGTTGGATCAAGAGAACTTTTTCCCTTGGATGTATGGGAAAGTGATTAATGAGCTAAATATAACGTGCTCTTTCGCCTCTACATATCAAGCCAAAACACATATTATTACCTACTCCCCTGATATCCCAACTGACACACCACACCATCCATAGTACAATACGGCATCTGAATCGCACTCGCGCCCACTCCCCTTGCCACCAGCCTCTCCCTCATCTCACTCAACCGCGGCGCCGCCTCAATCTGACTGCGATTCCTGCCCTCTCCATCCTTGGCCCCACTCCACAGTATCTCTGCCGCTGCCGCAGCGCGCGGCCAAACCATCTGATCCACATTCACCGCATCCGTCTGCTCAGCCCACATGTGCGCCTCGCCCCCAAGAACAAGGTGTTGCGATGCTTCCGGCACGCCGGCAAGCGGATCCAGCGAGTAGATTACGCGCCAGTTGTGGAAGGGGGCGCAGTAGTCATTGTAAGGCCAGTTGTCTGCACTAATTGAGGGGTCGAAGTTGAGCCATTGGCCTTTGCCACAATCAAGGTACTATGTCTTCGTTAGCATTTCTTCCTCCCACCAAGGTTTTCTTAGGTTTCATGAAGGTGGAAGAAAGAGGAAGTGCAGTATCTTACCCAAAAGTTGTAATTTCCAACGAGTACTTTATGGCCCTTACCCACTATCTGCGCCACGGACTCGTCGCTGAGCCACGATTGCACAATGACATCGGAACCCAGCGTTAAATTCCAATCCAGCAGCATCTCCTCCCATACAATGGGTATGAGGCCCTTGGCGCGGACCTGGTCGTGGTTGCGGTCTACAAAAGCTTGCATGAGGGGCTGCAAAACGGCGAAGTCGCTGCTTTTCACCGTGTCATCGAGGCTGTATGCGTTTTTATTTACTTCATCACCGCCCGTATGGAAATATGCCGAGTACGGATGCACACGCGGGAGTAAGTCGTCGAGGACGGTATTGAGGAACTTGCTCACAGCCGTAGAATTGAGTTTCAAAGTACCCGTTGGCGGTTCCGCCGCGTAGGTATCCCAGTTTGGCTGAATATTAAATGCAGCGAGAATGTCGGGGGAACTGTATCCAATGCTGGCTGTGTGGCCTGGCATGTCTATCTCTGTGATCATTTGCACGCCCTGGAGTGCGGCGTATCGCTGTAGGTCGCTGAAGTCGGAGGCTGTGTATACGAGGTCGGGGCTGTAGGCACCTTTGGCGGAAAGAGAGGGGATGGAGGGGATTTCCAAGGGCCAGGATTGAGAGTCTGTGGCGTGCAGGTGGAAGCGGTTCATTTTGTTATAAGCGCAGGCGTCGATTTGGCGTTTGATGTCGTTGATGGGGAAGAAGTTACGAGAAACGTCGAGGTTGATGCCTCGGTGTTGGAATTTGGGGGCGTCGGAAATGGTGACTGGGACAAGAGGTGTGTATACATCTTGTTTGTTGGAATGAAGGAAGAAGAGTTGGGTGAATGTTGTCAGGCCGCGTGCTACGCCAATGCTGGAGTTTGCGCTGACGGTAGCTATACCTTCTGTCGTCAACGTTAGGTTGTAGGATTCGTCAACTTCGCCAGCTTGCGGCTTTCCAATGTTTTGCGGATCGACAGAAAGTTGTTTGATGTCGACGCGGGAGACGTATGCACTCCCAGGTGAGGGCTCATTCCAAGCGCGAGGACGGAATTTCCACGGGTAGAGGTTTTGGTTGAAGATTATGTTCCAGCTGGATTTGATGGCAAAGTCGACAATGTCATCGCCAGAAACAATGTCGCCCGCCCCATTGTCGGCTTTGTCGGTGGCTGATAAATCTATATATGTTTTGTATATTTCCAGTGCTGTACTTTGCTGAAAATGAGGTCCAATGTCAGAGTTCGATGCGGAAAGGAAGGGAGTTTGATCCGTGAATGGGCCTACATTTCTTGCACCAGCCTTGTACCAATTAAAGGAGATATCCTTCTTGATAAAGAGAACAGCATCTCCGTGATCATACGACGTAGGGAGCGGCCATACGGCAGCGGCCAATGACGTGAAAAGAGAACAAACTACAAGGGGTTTCATTGTGCAGCAAATGGATGAAACGAATGCATGAAGAGATCAAAACTAAATGAAATGACAAGACGACATAAGCTCTGGGAAGCTTTTTGAAAGAAATGATTGAACTATTGACTAATTTGAAATGATGGCTGGTGCACAACAATGTAGGTCCGATTCGATACCCCTAAATAATATCCGCTGAAGCTGGCCAGTGATGAACTTTGCTATAGAGGCAAGCAGGGGGTTCCTAGTTCTGTTGTGTATCGCGTGGAAACTCAATTGGTTGTTGTTGTTGAGCTTGAGGTTGGAGAAATGTACAGAGTAGTACTTGGAGGGTTAGCCAAGACATCACCTACGTACAAATGGTACCATGGTGGGGCATCCGGTTGAGGCGCGATAACGTGCCGGAGTTCAGCCTCCACTTCCGCCGCAGCCCTGTCATCAGCTGTGTATAAGTGAGTGCACAGATGAGCTGTAGACGACCGCCAATCTGCTGTTTGTACGAGCATCCATACGCGGCCTCACTTTGGTGGGCCTCTGGCAATGCCGTGACGGCTGGCCTGACAAGAGATAGTTGGCGTCAGCAACCCAGAGATCACGGCACGTCGGTTACGTATGTCCCCTGCGATCAACGGCACAAGGTTCAACACTAACGTTGGGAGAAGAAACACAAGCCGACCACTCCCCAACCATCAAAAGAAGACTGACGCAGTCGTTCGCACGACGTTCAGTCATGACATTCCGCATTCGTACAGATCTGGGAAATATGCGATTTGTGCAGTTCGTCCGAAGCCGCGCGAAACATCCCCACCTTGAGTAACCAGGGTCGTCTTTCCCCGCTTTCATAACCCACTAGGTCACACGGGCCTTGTGTTGTCCAGTTTGGTTAAAGATGCGAGACAAAGGCCACTCGTGCGACGTCGAGAGCCCTCTGGAACGTCATATCCGAGGTCCAAGACGAAGGATATGCCGTCTCAATAGCGTGAACGTGGAAGCATCAAGGCCATGACGAGTACCTCTAAGCGACGGGAGAGAAGCGCCAATCCTGTGCCAGTAGGACGTCTAATTTAACAATGGCGCCTGAAAATTTCGGCATCTTTTTCCATACTGAGGAGCTAGAGTACACTTAGCCGGCCACCCTTTACGGCCGTGTTTGCCTTGCAGCATGTGAACGCTGCTACTGGGTACATATCGCCGCCTGCATCCTCCAAAGTCCCACAGCAGTCCTCAAGACATTGCCCACCATGGCTCAACTCGACACTACACATCTATCAACGCCCCAGCTCCTCGGTGCCCTGGCTGCCCTCTATATTGGTTACAGTGTCGCCCGCAGGTTCTATATCAATGCGCAAATCAATAAATTGGGCGCTCGCGCGCCGCTTCGAAGCAGTTACCTCCCCTGGGGTATTGACATAGCTTGGGAAGCCGTCCAGAGCGCGCTGGAGGACAAAACCTACGAGATGTGGACCAACATGTTCAACAGGGAGTGTGGGACCGGACGCTACACCGTTGAGGTTGGGATCGGCGATCGCCTCATCATGACTGCAGAACCGGAGAATATTAAAGCTATTCTGGCGACTCAGTTTAAAGACTATGGCAAGGGAGAGCAATTCAGAAAAGACTGGTACAACTTTTTGGGCAACGGTATGTGAAGATAGGTATTTGGTGCACAATATGTGTTCGTTGTCAACGAGGTAATAGAACCTAACATATCCCATTCAGGCATCTTCACCACTGACGGTGAGCTATGGCACAACTCACGCCAGCTGATCCGCCCGCAATTTATCAAGGACCGCCTCAGCGACATTGACATTTTTGAGGAGCATACACAGACTCTTATCTCCAAGATTGGCCATGGTCAAGAAATCGATATGCTCGACATGATGTTTAGATATACCTTGGACGCAGCCACACATTTCCTACTGGGCCAAAGTGTCGGCAGCCTGGAAGAGCCAAAGACTGAATTTGCCGATGCATTCTACAACGCCCAGCGTGTCCAGAGCATCATCGCCAGGGTTGGGTATGTAAAATGACAAGCCATCCCATCTCATCAAGCTCACAGCTAAATCTCCCTCATAGCCCCTTGAACTGGGTCGTCCCTCGCAAATACATGGGCTTCTACGACTCCATCAACAAAATTAACCAATTCGTCTCCACCTTCATCGACCGCGCCCTGGCCCTCTCCCCCGAGGAACTAGAAAAAATCTCAAAAACCGACGAAGACTACACCTTCCTCCACGCCCTGGCATCCTACACCCGCGACCGCTCCACCCTTCGCGACCAAATCGTCAACGTCCTCCTCGCAGGCCGCGACACCACCGCCTGCACCTTGACCTGGGCAATCTACCACCTCTCCATGGACCCAGTCATCACCGCCAAACTCCGCCAGGAAATCATAGACACCGTCGGCCTCGACAACAAACCTACCTACGAGAATCTCAAGAACATGAAGTACCTCCAGCACATCATCAACGAGACGCTACGCCTCTACCCCGTAGTCCCGTACAACGTCCGCATGGCACTGAAAGATACTACGCTCCCCACGGGCGGCGGTCCCGACGGCACTCTACCCATTGGCATTCGCGCGGGAACCGCAGTCGGCTACTCAACCCTCATCATGCAGCGCCGCGCAGATTTGTATCCGCCCTCGTCTCCTTCATTTCCTCCGCCATCGGCATTTGCGCCAGACAGGTGGGACTCGTGGACGCCCAAGAGCTGGACGTATATTCCGTTTAACGGGGGTCCCAGGATCTGTATCGGACAACAGTTTGCGCTTACGGAAATGGGGTACACGCTTGTGCGCTTGTTCCAACGGTTTGAGAAGGTGGAGAATAGGATGGGTGGTGTGGAGCCTGGGCTGCATGCGGATATTGTGTTGCAGCCTGCTAAGCAGATTAAGGTTATTTTCAAGTGAATAGGTAGGTTGGGAGATTGAGATGGGATAGTTTTTTTTCTTGGATATCTCTTTAGTAACGGCCGATACACTCCTCGTTTCTACGTGTTCCTTGCAAGTATAACGATAAAATGACATACAAGTTCCCTGATATACACTTGAACAACTCGATCACAACAAGCATCTCGAAACAATTCACGTTCGTTCGTTCATTCATTCATTCGTAACGGCAAACAAGCCGCCCATTAGCAGACCCACACTAGTGAGCCCTATAAGCGCCGCTAGCCATGTTCATGGTCAGGGGATCTCTCTCCCTTTTCGACCTCCAAAAACAAATCAAACTTTTTGTATCCAATCCAAACGCCTGTTCAAGTTTGCGATGCTGTATGCACATATTCTCCTCTCTTAATGAGGAGCATTGTTACCCTTTGTAATGCGCTTGCTCATAAAGTCGAAGAAAGCAAATTGGCTGGCCGATACACCGTACTCGTATACGAAGCGGCTAGCAAGGTAGCTACCGAAAATGGCACGGAGATAGTTGTCTGGTACCTGTTTGTCTGTTAGTTTCTGCTTCATATCTACGTCTGGGCATCAACACTTACCCTCTCCATAATCTTGTCAAGACCAATCTTCTCGAGCAGAATGTTGGGAAGTGCCTCCTTCAGAATCGACTCCCTGAACTGAATGTTCTTCCAGAGATCCGTGTTCTGCATCTCCTCATCCAGCTTGGTAATGGCGGTACTGAGCGTGTCACTCAGAACGCTTCGTGGCTGGCCAGTAGCCTGGTGCTCCCTCCAGATAGCCTCGAATTCGAGACGGGCGTTGTTCTGAATAGTCTTCTGGACCTCACGCACGTAGTTGTTGTAAAACTCGGGAGCCTGCCCATCCTCTCCAACACACATGTGCTTGATGAAGCTCTCGTCGTCGAATGACAGGGATGCAAGGACTTCAAGCGAGGAGGAAGTAACACCACCCTTGTTAGCTGAAGCATCCTTGTACAAGATGCAGCCAGCCTTCTCGAGACGGAGCTTGGCATCCTGAGTGATGAACAAGTTTGCACCCTCGACAATGTATGGGATAACCGACTTGCCATCAACGATGAGCTTGTTGGCGGTGGACAGGTCAATGGACTCGGGTCGGCCACCGCAAGGAACAAAGGTATCGTAGTGCATGTCGCTGCGGAGATGGAAGGTGTTGCGGAAAGTCGTACCATTGTAGACGAGATCGCCGTTTGGTAGTCGCACGTTGGTGTCATCAACCAGAACACGGTAGCCTTCAGATGAGAGTTTTGACACATCAAAGTGGTTGATCATCTTGCGTTCCCTGGCCAGGCGTACAAGCTCCTCGTGGTTGATGCCGTTCTGGTCGACAAGAACACCTGAGCCATCAATAATGGCAATGTACTTTTCGTTGCTGAGCAAGATCTCGTTTGACCCAAGATCACCGTCAGGGCCACCAGTCTGCATCTTGCGGACCTTGCTAGGATCCAGGTTGAGCTTGCGGTAAATTCCTTTGACGTACTCGCGCACAGACAAAGTAGTCATGCCGTAACGGTCGTGAGGAATACCACCCAACTTGGGGCTCTTTCCAGTGAAGAAGGACTTCCACCATGGTGCGCCTCGGACACGGGCATGCTCGGTTGCCCAGTCGACGAGATCAGCCGTGTTCTCATCGGGACCCATGAACAGAATCTCCTCCTTGCCGTGCAAATCGACAATAGGGTCCTTGATACCAGGGCTGGTGGGAGGCAGAAGCAGATCGAGAATACTGTCAATGTACTTTTCAAAAGCACCCTGAGCCTTGTCCTGGTGCTTGAAGTCGAGAAGCACGACACCCTTGGATCCACCCTCAGGAATGTCCTTGTTCTTGCGTTGTTGTGTGTTTGCGAGGTTATAGTTCTCGTCAAACATTGAGCGTGCGTTGATGGAGTATGCTTCCTGGCTCCTAGACTTGACGATACGGATACCACCACGAGCGATATCACGGAAGCGGAGGTGGAAACCACGGAATTCTGAACCAATGACAAGGAACATTCCGTACAGCGGCTGAGGGTACTCGGAACGTGGGAGGAAGCTGGGGTTCAGACGGAAGCTGATAGCAACCTTGGTGGGGGTGTAGAAGTTGGTCTTGAGGACAGAGCTGTTGAAGACGCGGAAAGAGGTCATGACCATCTCGTGGTGGTCGTTGACTACAGCCTTGTTGATGGTGTCGGTCAACTCAGCATCGGTCTGAACCTTGTCGATCTGAAGACGGAGATAACTCAGTGTTGGGAGGAAATCGTCTTCCTGGCCACGGGTCTGGACATAGTGGGTCTTTGCAAAGGGCAGGTACAAAGTATGGACCAGCTCGGGGTATTCCATGATGATCTCATAAATGTAGTCGGCAGTGAATGTCTCAGCACGCAACCTCCGCTTGAGCTTGGACAGCAGCTCAGCATGTACGCTGTTCTCAGAATCCAAGATTGCTGACAAGGCAGTGTACTCACTTCCAAGGCGGTTGAGGAAGTGTGTGATGAAGACCCAGACGCAGTGTGCGTAGATGGTCTCTTGCAGACTGAGTCTGCTTGTGGCAAAGAGAGTCTGGAACTTGTTCTGCGGGAGACAGTAGAGCAGCGAAACCTCCTTGGTGATCTGGTGAATGGACGCCTCAATGGGAGGGTGCTTGGCACCGGCCGCTCCGGGCAACGGGCGCAGGTACAAGGACATGACGGTGTAGCCGTTGGAGAACTGCTCGACGTACTTTCGCGATGTCGTCAGACCGTAGTAGTGGTACAGGTCGCTCAAGGCGCTGAAGAGACCAAGAGCACTTCCGCGCTTGAAACCAACAACCAGGCGCTTGTCCCGGGAGCCCTCAATGTCAAAATGGTCAATGACGGGTCCAGTACGCTCTACAGCGACCTGGAGAATCTGCTGGTAGATGGCCTTTGTGTTGGCAGTAGCCTTTTGCAGGAAGCGCTTGTCACCAATCTTCTCAAGGTTGGTCTCGGTCTCGCTCGGGTTAGGGTCTACAAAGTCACACTGGTAGACAAAGTAGCATCGGAGCTGTTGGTCTTCGCTTCCTGGCAGTGGGCTCTCGGAGCGGAAACTCTCGATACGGTAGGCAAGACCGGGTTTTGAGACGGCCAGGTACTTCTTGCCTATGCGTTGTTCGTACTGTGGGCCATCTATGACGGACACACCGGGCCTGCTGGTGTCAATGTAGACGGCGTGGTCTGAGGCCTCCTTGTCGAGGCGGATCTCAAGACGCTTGTCGTCTCTGGCGTAGGCGGCGACCTTTGCAGCGTAGAGCGAGTGGATGTGGTTTACGATTCTACAAGATTGACATTAGCATCGTGAGTATGGGTGCATGAGGAACAAGTGTTCTTACGCGTCGACAGTCTCGGTAGCAAAGTACATATCGTCAATGCCGAGCTCGTTGTAAAACCACTTGGTCTCGGACTCGACGAGTTCTGGGGGCATGAAGCCCTTTTCCTCGACGCCATCCATGACGGCCTCCATCTGCTTCTCCTTGCCCTCGAAGACGGGGGCGACATATCCAGAGCCGCCAGAGCCTTCTTGTGGGATGATTCGGGGGGTCGAGTGTCCTGAGGAGCCGGGTGCGCTCAGATGTGTGGGCAGAGGAGAGGGCCGGCGATCGGGTGTGTTGAGGAGCTGCTCGAGCTGCTTGTGCTGGGGCGGTTGGCTATTGGAGCCTTCATTGGGTGTGGACGCCATTGTGAGTGGTGTTTGTGTATGTGCAACGAGGGTTGACGAGGGGTAGCGGGGCAGAAAGTAGAGAAGGAGGAGGAGGGGCAAGGCACGGCCGTGTCCAAAACTAGAGAGGAGATTAGTGGACCTGTACGAGTATTTGAGCCAGAGGGCGCAGTAGCAGCAACAGCGGAAGTTTCTGTGTGTAACACGGATCCACCGCTATTCTGGGAGCCTCTGGCCAGCAGTGATGACGCCAGCTGACCTTTAGTTGAATCGCAGCTCGGATAACGACTGCAGAGGCAATTGGGCAGAAAGCCACCGCTCTTTCGACAGTCCCTGGCCTGGGGAAGCGGAAGAGGGCAATGGTGTAGACGTTATCAGACGGAAGGCCGAATGCAAGAGCCAATGCAAGGGCAGAAGCTGATGGACAGACAGACTGATTGTACGTAGTAGTTGATGTTTTGAAGGTTGCAGGGGTGTGGGTGTGTAAGTAAGTAGGGTGGTGCAGACAAGAATAGAAACCCTGCCTATACGGGCTGCAACAGTGCAAAGGGAACGCAACAGAAGAAGCCGAACGAAGTGAATGTTCTTCTCCGCCTCTCCATGTGGCCACGGGGCATGCATCGTCTTTTATAATGTTTTTGCTACATCGACTGCTGGCCATGGGGCGTATGTAGTCATGGTACCTGGATTGTCCCGCTGCAAGCCGAGCGCGCGAGCTTCCCCAGAATTTGCCAGAGACGGCATGGGAGGTGCCGGCTAGCGCTGCACCGCATCGCCCACCCTCACGTAATTCGACCAGGCCCGGCCCTCGACCTCCCCAATCCGTACTCCGCAACCCATCATGACCGGTCTTCTAGAAAAAGCCTCATCGTCCCGGCAGAGTTTTCGCATAGTCCGGCCGAGAAGAAACGTCACCCGACTGGCATCCATCGCCGCCCAGGTCGGGACTGCAGGGATGTCGCAGTAGTGCCAACCCCGACCCCTTCTGCTCCCTCTCCCCGCGACGCCGCCTGCAGAACTCACGATCCTTGGCGCTTGCTCTCTGCCATCCATGGCGTTTCCATGACTGTACGTGGCCCCTTGGGACTGGGCCTCTGCTGCACGTGCGGCCATTGTACTCTCTCTTCCACCTCCACCTCACCGCTTGCACCCAGTTACCGAGTCACGATCCCTTCTTTTGCCTGTCAGCTGTCGGTTGCACAGCGTCGAGACCGCGTCCATGGCCCAGACGGGCATCTCGTCGCCATTGTCCCTCGCCATGACGAGCCCAACTCGGCAAAATCACTCCAACGCCCATGAAAATCACGCATTGCCATTGTTTCACTGCTACTCATCCTCCTCACCATAGCCGTGGCCATTTACAGTCAACAGCACTTTGTATCCATGCCCTCCGATCCACTTCTTCTTCTTGCCCACCTTCTCCACCCTCTTCAACGCCGCCTGCAGTCCCTCGTCCAGATCGTCCGGCTCGTGCCCAAACTCAAAATCAATGCAAAGCCTCTCTTTGTCCTTTTTACTACTCGCCCACTCCACCTTGACCTGGACGCGGCTCTGCCGAATGGTCCCCGCGGGATATACACTTGCAAGCACTCCGGCAACGCTCCCCAGGTACCTGCACCACCACCTCAGATCCTCGGGAACAAGCTGCAGCATTCGGTGGTAAAAGTCCTGTTCGGTGGGGCTAATTGTGTTGTGCCCCCCGTAACGCTCACACAGCAGAATGGCGAGCGTGGCGCGTTCCTCGTGGCTAAGACCGTGCCCGGCAGAGAAGATGCCTGTCGTGGTACTCCTTAGCGCAGACCCACTGCGGAGATCTTTAACTTGGCCTCTGTGCGCAAACATGGTGTACGTGAAGGCCCTCATCATGCTGTTGCTAAACAGCTCCTTGCGCGCCGCCGATGGCGGAGCCACTACCGCTCTCCGCAACAGGTCGATCAACTCCGGACTAGAAGCCGGCGCATATGCTCTTGTCGCATTGACAATTGGCGCATCGGACATGCTCGCCGGCTCCATCTCCGCAAAATGCATTCCCTCTCTTACGCCGCCCTGGCAAAAGTAGACGTTCTTGATGCTCGGCAGTGCTTTCGACAAGCACGAAACCAAAAACGCAACGGCAGGAACTTGACTGGCCCGACGTGCTGACACGCGAAAGATTTCTGGTGTATCTTCTTGCTTGACAGCAGCCTGTACAGCGTGCGTATCATGGAAGACATCACTAGTTGTCCGAAACCCGTTGATGATTGGAATGGGATATGGTTGGACGGGATGCGTAGACATGAGCACAAAGCCCCAGCCTCGAAATCCACCTCCAGACAGGTACAAAGAGAGGCCCTCTTCCGACTTGCATCGATCAAGCAGATGTTGGGGAATCCGAATATCTTCAACCGCTCCTTTCAAGTCGGCAATGACTTCGCTTTCAAAAGCCTTGTAACTTTCGCTGCCAGAAGAACCAGCCTCCTCAAGCCTCTTTGTGAGCGCCGCAGCGCCATACGGTAGGCTTGCACTTCCCTTCTCACACATCTCAATCCGGTCGTAGTGCGTCGACTTAACAATCCAATTGATCTGCGTCGACCCACCCCCCAAATCCATCATGAGTCCCGTGACATTGTGATACGAACTCGCAACCCCAAACGCCCCAATCCGTCCCTCCATCTCCTTGGACAAAAGCTCCACCTCCCACCCTGTCGCCCTCTTAATTTCCTTACGAAACTCTTCTGAATTAACCGCCTTCCTCGTCGCCTCCGTAGCCACAATCCGCACTTGCTTCTCAGGCACCCCAAAATCTTCGCACGTAGCCTTGAACCGCAGCAGCGACTTGACTACCTGTCTGATCGTCGCCTGGGGTATCGGAACGGGTTTGCCGTCTTCAAACTGCGCATCGTACAGCGATATCGCCGCACGGTCCAGATACAGAGTCGGGAGTCCCCGTTGCGTCTCTGGCGTCAGATCCGTAATCGAGAAGCGGATCCCGTTACTCCCCATGTCCACCAGCCCATGCAAGTGTCGTGACTCGTCCATCGTAACCATAGTCTCGATGGCGTCAATTCCGGCGTGTAGTATGTGTGTGTTGCAGGCCAAGAATGTTCAAAAAAAACGGCAGCCAATAGTCCAGTTTCTAGTTGGAAAGTTTTTTTTTCTCCAGGCCTAAATGGCGTGATCAAAGCCCACGTTGTGCGTTGTTTAACGTCGTTTGCGTCGTCGGTGGTAGTTTCTCTTACCCCCAGGAAACTTCGCTTAGCGATCCGTCACTGCAACTAAAAGTTAACAAGTAACCGCGGCCCCCTGGCTTCATGCAACCCAGCGATATTTGATTACGGCCGTGCTTTGCCTCCCCCAGGTTTTGTCCAAGGAAACCTAGTTTCTATTACCCCCAGATTACTTGAGAAAATAATATCGTATGGAGCTTTTTTGCCGTGCGTCCTGTTCTCGTGATGCGTGAAAAATTTGGAGAGTTGGTAATCGGGATGCGGGTTGGGGTTGTGAGGAGGCGGGGTGCAGTTGGAGTGGTGTGAGTGTGTGTGTGGCCCCGATGCGGACAGAGTGACGTTTTTTTGCTGAAACTTGGGGTGTTCTCCACTGAGTAACAATGAGGGGAGGGAAAACTTGGTATCGATATGGAGTGGGGCTGTGACTAATCACATGCGGACCCACTTGAATGGTGTTTCGAGTTGGAATCGAAGATTCACTTGGATTGTAGAGTAGGATTGATGAAGATTTTTTCTCCTATAGAGAGTGAATGCCCCAGGTTTTCGCTACTTGTTGTCATGGTAGCCCCATGTGCAACATAAAAATATTTGTCTCAATGCTAGTAGAAATACACGCATGTTGGTTTTATTGATAAACTATTTTCTATACCAGCGTCTTGCTGCAAAATCTATACTTTAAATGTCTGATTCTTATATACTTGATATATACTCCGTTTGTTAGGATTTCTTCTCAGGCGCATCGGGTACTCGAGAAGGCCTCAGCATGCGATAGCAATCCACCAAAAAGCCACGTTCGAAAAACAGCACATGCAACACATAGATCCCGCCTACCACCCCCATACTCACCAGCTCACCAAGCACTCCAAATCGTCCCAGAAAATAAACACCGGGCTTCGTCCGCATCAGGGTCGGTACAACGGCCGCAGGAGCCGCAGCAGTAAGCGAAGGCAGCGTCTCCAATATGCTAAATCCAGAACCATTTTGCGAAAAGAACCGTCCAATGAACCACGTATTCCATACAATACGTAGAGCCATGTTGACCGTATTAGCCAGCACCACGCCATTACCACCCATTTCAAGCTGACCGATGAAGAACCATGCGCTCCCCGCAAAAAGGGCGAAGAAGATGCCCATGGCAACCGACTGTGCGTACAGCTCTTTGTTAGTAGCAACGGCGGCTACAAACGCTTCTGTTACTCCGTTGATGGCGAGAAAGGGAATGTAGTAGCAGTATGTCGATAGGACCTTCGATGCAGACGTTGCGGACCATTTTTGTCCCGCGACAATGGAAAGGAGTGTAGGAGCTAGTACTGGGCCTAGTGTGACGGCGAATAAAGATATGATGCCATAGAGATGGAGGATGGTACTAAGCACCCTGGAAGCCTGAGCTAGGTTCTCCTGTTGTTCGTGTGTTTCTTCTGGCTTCTCCTTTTCCCCGGCGGGTGCTGTTGATTTTGCATTGGCACAGAGTTTCGCAAACATGTTGCGACTGCTCTCTTCAATGGGCTGGAAGAGCATGCGCGCAATGAGACCTCCATAATTGGATGCGAGTGCGTAGGCGCCTTGGTCTGCAAGCGATGCAAGCGTTGTGATCAAAAGCGAGTCTCCCTGGGTAAGAACATATTTGAGCGTTGACTGAAGGCTAAGAGATGCAGTGAGTTGAAGTAGAGGAGCAGAAAAATAGGTCATGAAGACGGGGTTCTCTTTAGTTGAAGGTATTCTCTCCAGGAAAAGCGAAAACCCATCCGTCTTCGCAACAGGCCATGTCTTGTACGAATATACAACGAGCAACGCCACGGCGTAAGCCAGCTGCCCAACAGCAAACGGCAGAACCCCGATATCGAGACCAGTACGGCTAGCTAGAATAGCAGATCCGCAAGTTCCGATGCATCTCAACAGGGTAGCAGAACTCTCAGCCGACGCTCGGACTTTATAAAGAAGCTTCTGCTGGACTGCTGAAAATGCAGGCTCGCTAAGCAACTCGAGAAAGGTAGCCAAGCCATAGACAAACAGTGCTTCTGCAAAGAACGGCACATTGGGCGTCTCCGACCGGAACCACAGCAACGCAAGCACATACGCCAACGGCGTACCCAGGAAAACGGCGAGATACGAGAGATTGACTACTGCCTGCGTGCCATGCGCCTGCCGCTGCAGTGCCACGCGTAAGCTTTCTCGCGCAAAGTACAGCACCGATATGGAGAAGAGCTCGAGCTGGGCTGAAACGCCGAGCAGCTCCGGTGAGAGAAATCGCAGCAGAACCTGATTGACAGCGAATGTGAGGGCGCGCGAGGCAACCTGCAGCAGGATGAGAAAAGTGGCTCCCTTCGCGGAAGCGGATAGAATTGAATTCGACATGCGGGGGTAAGGGGAGGGGGGGCCGGGAGGGAGAGGGAAGGGCCAACGAAAAAAGAGTGTCTGGAAGGCGTTCCCGACGAACTGACGAAGACAACGATTGCTATAAGTGATGTAAGATGAAGACCCTCAAGAGAAGCATCTTTGATTGGCCGTTGTGTGCTGGATGCGGTGTAGTAGTTTGACAGCTGTGGTTGAGAAAGCTTCGGGGATATCGGCGTGGAAGGAAAAGCGGTTTAGCGTCCTTTTTTTTCTAACATACGCTCTCTTTTAGGCTACAATGACAAGGTACCAGCTCAGCCCTGTGCGCCGCCAGTTGTTCCAACTGGGTGCCACAGACGACTGCCAATCTGACTCTTTTAAACGCGCGCACACTGTGCCAACAAATATATATTATGATGAGATTACTCTCGATACTACTTTCTTGTTCCTGAAGCTTGCGAAAAGATGGTTGTGGTTGACCCCGGGTTATTCGTCAAGACGGAACGGTTGCTGCTCCGCCCGTTGCGCATCGAAGATGCAGATGACGTATTGGAGATGCGCAGGCATCCGGAGGTCATGATGCATACATCTACTCTCCCCTCGGACAGAATTGAAGCTACAAAGGCATGGATACAAGGTGTAAGAAGCATTTTCCTACCTCGAATAGCTTTTTGGGGGATGTTTGTAGGCTAACTAGTAGCTTCGCAGTGCCACCAAGTTGAACACAATTGGAATTTCGCAGTCGTTCTGTTGGAGCCTCACGATGGTCCACGCCTCATTGGCCTCATTGGTGCTGTCCGCGCACCGGAGGTAGGATACATGTTCAATGCTTCGTACTGGGGGAAAGGATACGCTACGGAAGCATTGCGTGCGTTCATGCCCATGTTTTTCGAACACTATTCCGGCAATTGCATTGCAGATTACCGGGATGAAGATCCAAATGGACCGACAAGCAACGGGAGTACACAAAACGGGAACAGCACCAATGGCTGCACGGACAATGGGAAGCGGTTGGCACCGAGATACGAATACGCAGAAGCACACACGGACCCAGAGTTGGTCTCAAGTCAGAATGTATTGAGAAAGGTTGGCTTCAAGCTGCATGAGAGGAAGAAGAATGATTTTGAGAACCCAATTTTAGGGATGAGAGACACACTGGTCTTTAGATTTGACAGGTCTTCTTTATGAGAGACGGCCTTGGCGATTGAGCTGTATAATAAAGCCAAGGTCCAGCTGATTATAATGTCTCAGTAAACCTCAAGCGTTACCAACCTATCTTAGCAGAATAATGATCGAGTTCTTCTCTTGTTTTACCCCGAGTGGGTCTTCGAAACTCACATCCCCGCATTGATGATTCGTTGACGCTTCTCGGCTTCTTTTGGTTCAATTTGTCATTATCCCCTGGCTCTTTTATGGAATTCGGAGTCTCAATACTGTTGTCGATCGTAGAGCGCGCGCCACCATCTTCTGTTGTAGCAATACCATGCTCCTCTTTCTCATCCGCCGTGCGTCTGCCAATATGAACTTTCCCAAAGTAGTCACTCTCTGGAATAATATGGCTTGACAGAGTAGACTTCATCGGCAAGAAGGCGGCTGGCGAGGATAGGAAACCAGTATCGTTGTGTCGCCAACGCAGGTTCTTCCACTAGTTCTGCTGCTGACGTGCTGTATATGGGCCATCTGGAGTGTCGACGAAGTGATCGTGAGCAACTATGAGATCCCCGCGTTCGCAAGCACGTACGGAGTCGGCTGTCGATGAATCCTAAGACTGACTCCCATCTGTTGCTTCTGAGATGCGCCGGATCTCGGGAATCTGGAAGCAATGAGTGAGAGGAGTGCCATCAGATGGATCGGAGCTACGTCGCCTCGAGGCATGAGAGTTCTTGACGGAGAAGTCTTCCTCTACTACGATTGATGGCGCAGTTTTTGTAGGACGAAGGTGAAGTACAGGTGGTATGCGCTGTACAGGTCGTGCATTGGTGTTTTTACGAGAGGACGTTTGGTCATCATGTTGACGAGGCTTAAGCTTAGCCCACTATTGCTTCTGTCTCTTCCACTCTGATGACATTCCGTCCAAGAACATGGTGATGTACTTGCGCCGATGGCTCCTGGGTACTGCTGTTTGGCATATCAGTTGTGAGAAAAACCCTGGCTCGTGTCCCACTGAAGAGCTCGAGCTAGCTTTTGACAATTTGCTGTCTAGCTCCATGCGCATCGCTTCTGGGGGCGGTCCATCTGCCCAGCCAGCTCCTGAGAGATCCAAAATATGCTGTTCCTGATCGTTCTGTTGTCGGCGTCTACGACTGTCATGCTCTCCTAATTTCTCCTTGAGCGACGGTCCCATACAAAGACCTGGCCAAGAACCTGTTTCGGAAGATGGATGAGCGTGGTGACCAAAAGCTGGGGAAAATAGAGATTTCGAATATGCACGCAATGCTGTAGTAGGTTTCGTATCTTTATGTCGTTCCAGGAGAGGAAAACAGCTTGCGATTAAGCCTGATGATGACGTGTAGCAAGTTGCTAGTAGTTCTAAGGCGATCAAATGTAAAAGCGCCTCGAATGAAATGAGACCGCTGTAGGGTGCCACTTGGAGAGTAGCACTCATTTTGATATGTCTGGCCAATTGAACTGCACTGGGTATCTGAAAAGGTCAGATAGACCAACTAGACTCTTGGGTAATACCACTTACTACCAGACGCGGCTGCCGTAGCCTGGACTTCCAGAACTCGTCGCATTCCTGAGACTCGAGCCAATCTGCCACCTCTTCTGAGACTGTTCTTTCAGTATCTTCGGATATGATACCGTCATCCTGTGCCTGGTGTACATCGCCCTCGATGCGTTCCAAGTACTCATTGCTCTCATCAGCTGTGCATTGCGAATAGCAGCCCTTCACTTTGGCTATTTCCAACGCCTGATTAATAATGGCTTCCACGCTCCGTCTGTCTACAGATCTCTGCATTAACAACACGTGGGGGAAGACTATAGGGGATAGTTCAGGGATGAATTTTGAATGAGATATCAGGATAACAGGCGAGCGATTCAGTGTCTACAGCGCATTTTCGCAGAAACTGTCTGATCATACATCCCAAATGCAGATGTCTAGGGTTGGCCTTGCCAGGACAAAGACCCTGGCTTTCGGAGGCGGGAGGAAGCCGCAATACATCAAAGCCCCGCAGTGATCTGCTCAAGGGCTCGTTCCCAATGATGTTACCCTCCCGCGTCATTCACGTAACAAGCATTTTGCTACTTTCAGTCAGGCTGCAAACGTCAATCTCAGCTACTTCGCTACTCAGTGATTTCAGGGAGCACCTTTGACTGGTTGTGGCAAATGTCCCCTTCTTTCAGCGAGGAGCCGATATGTCGCACGATTCCCCAGGTTTGCTCGCTCTGCTCCGTATTTCTCATACGCCTCCCATAACCGTATCGTCGTTTTCTTGCGACGGGGCTCCGGTCACAACATTTGCTTTCTCCACAACTAGACGGGACCCATCGGATGTTTTGGAGATTGCCAATTGCGACTTCTCCCCTCTCTTCAATTTTGCCTCGTTTAGTCTTGCGAGAAAGTTTGTCGACGTTGGCTTGGCCTCGCCACCGGATTGTTGTCCTTCACTTTCACCAGAAGTCGCAGCGGCCCGACTTGAACCATCACCCGCACCTTGCATAGATTCAGTCGGCTCTTGGGCATCATCAGCGTGGTTGACATCATCGCGCGGCCGCAGTCGTCCAACTTTTGCAACCAATTTTGCAGACCCCAGAGATAGCAAGTCGACCGATGGCAAAGATCGTAATGGCTGGGTCGTGTCCGCATCCGGTTTCACGAAGAACATGTCGGTTCCGATAGTCGAGGTCCAATGGCAACTCAACAACTGACCGTTATACATGACCAGTGGATTCGGCGTGTGCAATCCGATCACTTGCACTTCGCCCATGTTTGCCGTTTCTTGTCTGGCGTTTGCACCGGCTGCAACCTCGACCGGCTGACCTCGAGCTGCGTTCAGCGCGCGCAGTCGGCTTTTGAGCAAAGTTGGATGCCCCGGCCTACTTTGCGACACCATAGGGATTTGAGCTGCTGGAACGTTGGAAAGATCCAAGGGAATATAAAAGTCCTCCGTTTCCGTCTCATCGTACTCGTACTCCCATTCATCATCTTCGCTGTTAGTCATGGTGCTGGGCGCTTTCAGACGCTCAAGGTGATAGAAGATGCAGCGCAGTGGGGTCAGTCGAAAGGCATTGGAAGATGGTAATTTATAGCCGAAGTTTTCGAACCGATCTCAGGTACAGTTTGCTGTACAAAGAAACAACCAACTAATGATATATTTATCGTGATTTGATGTTCTCACATCACAAGTCCAAGCACGGCTGAAAAGTCGTACAACTCCGCTTGGTGTAGTTGGTTTATCACGTTCGACTGTAATTGCAATTGTAATCGAAAGGTCCCTAGTTCGATTCTGGGAGCGGAGACAACCATTATTTTTTTGTGTTTATATCGGGTTCAGGCTGTATGTCTCAACGCCATGCATATCTTTTTGGCACAGAGCTGCGGAAGGGTGAGGAATGAGCTTAAAGTTGGGCGTGTGTACAGTATACATTGCACTAAGATAGATGGTCAACGACATGTCCCATTCTACGGGGAGTAGAGTAAGAGTCTTTTGCATCTGCATGCATCTCGCGTCGCGACTGGATGCAGCACAGAATGGTTACCCGCAAGTGAGGCCACGTCTGACGCGTTGATGTGCCATTCATAGTCACGCTGGCTATACAGAGACACAGAACAGACTGCACAAACTGCACACATGGCTTATCTACCGATATCATGTTGTATCGATAGGCCGTGCCTGGATGCTAGGTTCATGGCATGGAGAGCCGCTTGCCTGCCGAGGCCTCCCGCATCGTCCCCAGCTAGCGCTGACGACGTACGCCCAGCCGGCAGCTATCCTGAACGCATCAACCACCACTGCGCGCGCCACTCTGCACAAAACATCTACTGCATACGTTCCTGCTTGATATATTGATCGCATCCTTTTACTAACCATTGTGCATCTCCCCAACGTGACTCTAGCGCCAATCGGCTGCCTGCGCTTATCTACTCTCCATCAGTGAGTCTGCTCCCGCCCAAGTCCGGCCATACAACACCATTTCGGGTCATCATTACCTTCCGCCGTGTCCGTTCCCCGCCGGATTTCGAGCGTGTCATTAGCTCATATCCAGCCCTGGTGGGCCTTTTCGCAGTCACAGCGTCGCTCATCATTGCGGCTGTTCCCTGCGTTGCCCATCGCGAGGCTGATTCACTGCTGCTCATGGCAATCATACCTGTCACCTGCAGCTTCTTTGTCAGCATACCGGCAGTGCCGGCTTCAGATATTCCGTATGGGATTATTCTGTGGCGTCTCCATTCGGAGCTTATGGATGAAAGCTAACTAGTCAGTGCCACTCGTTCCGTACTTGCATCATGGCGGAGTGCAGATTCCACTATCAGCAGCCCTGCCTTCGTTGCTTCCTACGCCCGAGGCTGATATACATGAATATCCCCCCGTAGCAACGTACTCCTCCGATACTTCGATCCAAAAGCCAGATGCTGCGCAAGACGCCCACGACGAAGAACTCATTCCTACCATCGATATTCCTATAACACATCCTTTGCGACAAGACTCGTCTGAGCAGGCTCACACATCCGGCGCTGGCGTTGAGAGCTCATTGAGTGAGAAGGAGACTGAAATGAAGGGCAGGAAACCTGTTGCCGCCGCTGGAGGCGCATTGTTCGGATTATTCACGTTCTCGCACTTTTACCAGGATTTCCTGTTCGACAAGTTGACACCCGGTGATGAGCGCGCAGATGAAACTGAATGGGTTGCATCGTCCAAATCTTGGCTAGATCGCAAAGCGTGCAGTTGGTTTGGGATATGTGGCCTGGCGCATCTGAACCAAGCACACTGGACTACAGCAGCATCTGGCACACAAGGCCAGACGGTTATTATAGAGGAGTCAGACAAGACCGACCTGAACGACTTCTGGAAAGATGCACGGGACATACCCGCGGACTACAATCCAGATCCCGAGCTCGAGATCCCACAATACGTTATAGACCATGCGCCTCTCATACACCTGTTCTCGGGAGAAGAATACTGGCCAGGAGATATGGCTGACCATTTGGTGCATACGACGCCTCATCTGAACTACACGCCCATTCAAGCCCAAAGTGATCACCCAACCATCAGCAATCTTGGGCAACTTAACAAGTGGGGGAGATTTGTGTACTTGCAGAGCGATGACAATGTAGAGGATCGCCCGGCATGGCTGGGTGCAGATTACAATATTCCCAATGTACCAGGAAACGGAGATGACGGTGATGATGACCTGAAGCATGATGATGGAGCCAAAGGGCATCTTACAGAAGACAGAGAAGGTAGGAAGTCGAGTTGGTGGCACGTGGGCAAGGGTGATACCAAAGGACGAGGTGGCATTCGACCTGACCCATCAGCTCCTGGAGGGCCCATTCCCACAAGCACACCCGAGGGCGACGAACTTATCGACGACGCCGATGATGATGATGACAGGTATTGGCGACCAGAATTGCGTCGTGTGCGCCGCAAATACAAGGGCAAGAGGGTCGTTGGCGGGCGTAGCGATGCACCTGTGCCATTGGTCGTGGTAGACAAGGGCGACGGAGTTGTCGACGCTTTCTGGTTCTTCTTCTACAGCTACAACCTCGGCAATGCAGTCTTCAACGTGCGTTTCGGTAACCATGTAGGTGATTGGGAGCACACGGTGGTCCGGTTTCACCACGGTGAACCAAAGGCAGTGTTCTTTAGTGAACACAGTTTTGGTGAAGCGTATGCCTGGGATGCTGTAGAGAAGAGTGGAAAGAGGGTAAGTTAATGCAAGGCTCAATATAACGGCTTAAACTGACACATTTAGCCTATTGGCTTTTCTGCCACAGGAACCCATGCCATGTATGCGACCGAGGGCACTCATCCATATGTTCTGCCAGGTGGCATTCTGCACGACGTTACTGATCGTGGCCCTCTCTGGGACCCCGTACTCAACATGTACTCGTACAGGTACGATTATCGGACAGACCGACTTGTCTCATCTAATCTCAACCCCGTCGCGCCGACGTCGTGGTTCTACTTTGCTGGCCACTGGGGCGACAAATTTTACCCACTTAGCGACCCCCGACAATACCGCTTTTTGGGCCAATATCATTACGTCAATGGGCCGTTGGGGCCTCGTTTCAAGAACCTTGGACGGCAAGAGATTTGCCAAGGCAACGGCGAATGCACTCTTAAGAGGCGTGCTGGAGAGAGGTCGCATGTTGTCAAGACGTGGGCCGACCTTGGCGAGGGCGAGGAGATGAGCGAAGAAGACGCTAAACGCGTTTTTGGAGCAGAGTATGATTCTGCATCTTGAAGACTGAAGCCATGACGACTGGAATGATTGATTGGGACGAGTATTGTTTACACTTATTGTATAGCTGCAAGGCGTTTTGTTGCATCTGTACTACTATACTACGCTGGCGTTGTTTTGAGATACCTACATACGTAGCCCCCCCGTACGCGCAAATGAAACTTTTTCTTATTCTAAAGTCAAAGTTGCCCTTTTTCGGAGCACGCACGTCAAGGCCGAGATTTGTAGCGAAGTGTTTGCCTCTGGGTGAGTCAAGGGAAATGTTTCCAGCAAAAAAAATGAGGTTCGTTACGAGGGTATGTCATACTACATTCACTGGTGTTGCCGAGTAGAGAAAGTTTAGCGGGCGAAAGTCGCCGAGACAGGTGTCATGGTTAGTGCGGAAAAGGCTCGGGATATCTGACGTCGACGCCGGTGTCTTCGTAGGTATATCGGGAATCAACAGATTGCCTAGTCAGCTCAACCTCTGGCCCCCATGGCTCAAACAGAGCGATTTCCTGGAGGGATAAGCATTGGTTGGCAGGCAGGACGGGTCTGAGGGGCGTCAAGGCCGAGTTGGGGGCACATCTGCAACTTGCACGAGGACGCGCGGGCATGGGCGATTGCGTGACGTCTTTTAGCTCTCTTCATGGCCCAAGGTCTGGCGCCCGACAACGCCCATTGAGTCGGGAGCAGACTGGGCTGGCCCTTCTTCGGACAGGCAAGTCCAACACAGAGCAAGGGAGTATGCTGCGAGTGAGTAATTGTTGGCTCATCTCGTCATCAGTCGAACCATTTGGCCGCCGTCAGACATGGGGTGGGACCCCTAAAGTAGTGCAGGTGCATGTCGTCGTTATCTTATCAGCGCTGCCGCCCTACGCCTTCCCCAACTGCATACCACATACATACATACTACATGCTCACTTACATGCACTTGAACCAACACCCAAGCACGCCGGCCTGCATCCCATCAGCTTCAGCTCCTCTCGTGCCATCGCCACGTCTCCCTTTCTTCTGCCTCTGAGTTTTGTCTCTGGGTCACAGGAACCCCGCCCGCTTCCCGAGAATTGCGCCAGATCATCCACCGCTTACGCCTGCAGTAAACAACCTGTTTGGCACTAGCGCCGCCATAGCGCCATCTGTACATCATACACCTACGCTTTCCCCTCGCTCCGCTAACGCAGCTGAAGCTCGCAAGGGGGGCATGCGACCAGCACGTCGATAACACAAAGAACCTGCTGTCCGGGCGACGTGCTCATCCCATTTCGCCCTCCCCTCAAGTAACAGCAGCACATCACCAACCCGATCATCGCTCTCGCCATCTGGTCGACGTCCACGTGCCTTGGTTCCTGACGCCGTGACTCCCCTCGTCGCCACTACCAACAAACTTGGACACCAAACTAGGCCTACCGCACTATGGCCTTCTTACAGCAGCATAGGCCACAGAGCGGCCGCCAGACTTCCTACCGTGGCCCAGAACGCGTCGACGAAGCCACACCCGCCTTGCCCCAAGTCAAGACGTCTCTCGAGCAATCAGAGGAGTGGGTTCTCTTCTCTCCCCCCGCCCCCTCAACCACCACCCGCACACACACCACCTCGACTGAGCGAACACCGCGCACAGCTGGCCTGTCGCGTTTCAGTGAGTTTGGCTCACTCGAAACTGTCGCTCGCTCGAATCAGGATGATGATGTCGGCACGTCCTTTGGCACAGAGGAGGAACTTGATAGTCTCGATGATGGCCTGCATGCTTTCCATGAACCATCTGAATACGGTGCCCCGGTGAGCAGACTGCAGGAAAGTGGAGATACCGTGCTTCCAACCCACGATGGGCTGGGCGAATTCAAACCAGACTCGACTATGCAAGAACACATGTGGCACTTTGAGCGCTCGCGGAGGCGACTAGTCAGACGGCGCTCGAGTGTGCAGCGACATTTGACCATACTTGACGATACCGACGAAATGACCACAGAACAGGAGAAGCGGCAGCGTATTGAGAGGTGGCGGTTGGAGCAAAGCAAAGCCTTGTTAGAGGAGATTGAGAGGGAAACAAGGCGAAGACGGCGAATGAGCATGGTTAGTACTACGCGGAGTCGGAGGGAAAGTACCAACGCACCCCAACAATCATCGAGTGCAGTGCCGCAGCAGGCCCAATCTGTCTCTGATGCACAGAGCGACTCATCTGAGGAAAGTCCTGAGAGCCTCACATTATGGCAACGGATAACACGACGGGTGATTCGAGATCTCATCGGTCTTGACGACAACACACTCTCAGTCATATTCGGGGAGACAATATCAGATGAATCACCAACGCCCACCCCTGGCACACCTACTGAATTCTCCGCGGATAAGGCTCTGGAGGATGCAGGAATCGATGCCTCACGATTTTCAGATGATGCCTGGCAGACGAAGCTACTTGAGAGGGTAGCCGTGGAGCTGGGAACCTTGGTCAACCAACTTTCTGAGCACCCCGGGGCTTTCTCTACATATCAACAAACACAATCAATACCAGACTATGCAGGTCTTACACCGGTAAGATCTAATACGACCCTCGCATCCGACGCCACATCCTCACGACCAACAAGTTCTCAGCCGACCACATTACCTGCATCAGCCCAGTTCGCCCCTACTTTTCCAGCCCAAGCATCCCATACCTATAGCGAAGCCTCGTTATGGGGGATTGAAGAAGAACCCAACGACGCCGACTTGTTGGATTCATCTGTTGCAACGCCCATCCCTACACCCGATATCGCCGAAGAACTTGCCCGCGAGCGCGAATACTGGGAACGCGAGATTGACGTCACGATGATTTTCAACTTTCTCATTAAACGCTTTTCTTCCCGGCGGTCGAGCATTTCGCTTCCACCGCCGTCTGCCCGCACAACCAGTGCCCCACGGTCGGGAGGGGCAGAAGACGACAACATGAGCTCAGCGCGCCGAGCGGCAATCATCCGCCAGCACCACCCTTTGGTAGATAGGACGACGACCGATGCTAGACTCCCGACGTCGTCCGCTGCTCAAACCAAAAGGGAGTCATCGTCGAGACGATACTCGACATACTACTCGCCGCCGTCGGTCCCAGCTGGACTGAGGGAAAAGGCCAAGTTGAGGAGTAGCAGTAGCTGCGCTAGCCAGAGCACCAAGAAGAGCAAGCGGAGCGGGAACTCGGCAAGAAACTACTGGGATTTAGGTGGTAGTGTAGGCAGTGGCAGTGTATTTGCTGGTGAAGTGTAAGCTTGTTGACGGATTGCATGCATATCATGAAATCAAATAGAAGAAATAGAAGTTCAAGGCACAGTAAGGATTGAAGTAAGGGGATTCTTTTTTTATACATCTACGGCTTATACCGTTGTTTATAACGATTCCGCTCTGGGGGAAGGTGGGGGGGCGTAACCATGTATGTACATATGTATGACATTTCTGGACTCTTTAGTCCATTCTATTCTATGAAATAAACAGCGAACTGGGATATTTCGGCTACATTTTTCTCCATTCCTCATGTTATTCCCATGAAGGTGGGGGGTTTTTTTAAAAAGAAAAAACTCTCTATTATACCTGTGTATTGAATCCTAATTTTACCAACATCTTAGGCCCTCCTCCTCCTCCACCACCCTTGCACTTTCCCACCATCCCCGAATACCCACCCAACCAACTACGCTTACATCCAACACCCTACCATCAGACCACCCCCACTCCTTCCACTACATTCCATCTCCCTCTCTTTGTTTTTCCCGCCATCATCGCCGTACTTCGACCCTACGCTCAATTCTTCACGTCCCCTCCCCCAAAAAAAAGAAGAGCCGAAGGGAACCCCGGAGTTCGGAGTAGTCACGAGGTCATGTATGTGTGACACACGCTTTTTCTAAAGGGGAAGAGAGGGGCCAGTACTACGGGATAATAATAAGGTAGTAGGTAAAAAATATGCAGGGTCCCGTTGTCGCCGCAGCCGCGCGCCGTTGTTACCCCGTCGTCGTCGTCGCTGTAACTCAAACTCCTTTTTTGACAAGGGACGGTTGTGTGACGGGTGCACGTGGGGCCCATGTGGTCTTGGGTGTGTCACAAGGGTCTCAGAGAAGTGTTTTTTTTTGATTATTTGTTGGTTACTGCATTTCTTTCTTTGATAATGGAAAATTTACTCCTTGAATTATGGAGTGAATATCATAGCTATACTAGACATGGAGACAATATATAATCCGGGCGACTTATTTGATGACACACACCCGTGTCTACTATCCGCATTCGTCCTCATCAAATGCAAGTACATACAAACTAGGGTTAGATGACAATGCCTTGTCAGTACATGTGCATCACAATCATTGGGAACTGGCATGATTTTTGTATGTGGCTTGGTAAAGTGCCCGACCCGTCTACGCTGAGGTATTAGCCCAGAGCAGACGCTCAGGCTCATATTTGATTTCTCCTAATCTGGTAGTCCTTATACTTTCCTCCACATGCGGCGTGCCGCAGAAAAAAGGCTAACGTGCGCGTTGATAACGCACTACTGCCCCAAATGTTGAAGCTTTTGTATCTAGCAGCCTGCCCTAGGCTGTCTCTATATGAAAAGGAAACGTGCATCTAACTTTTTGGAAAGAACTAACGGGCTGGTATCATGGGTGAAAAATTTTGCCCTGGACGCCGTGAAACACTTGTTGAAAAGGCTCTCTACCCGCCTCCCAAAGATATGCAAATCTTTCTCATGTGATGTCGTCGTCGTCATCATAAATCTTAAGTCTTTGCAGGATGAAGTTGATTCAATCCCACTCTATGCGTCGAGCATTATGAAATTAAAACTTAAGCTCCTTGGGCTTCTCCCAAGTAAAGCTCTGGTTGGTGAAGTGACCGTTCTTAGCGGTCTGGAAGTAGATGGGGTCAATGAGGTTCAACTCCTTGACAATGACACCGGGGCGGAGGTCGAAGTTCTTGTGGATAATCTCCACAAGCTCGTCCGAGGACTTGTCCGAGGTGCCGTAGGTCTCAACGAACAGGGAAAGCGGCTCGGAGACACCAATAGCGTATGACAGCTGGACGAGCGCACGGCGGGCCAACTTGGCATTGACAAGCGACTTGGCGATCCAGCGCGCAAGGTAGGCAGCAGAGCGGTCGACCTTGGAGTAGTCCTTTCCGGAGAAAGCACCACCACCGTGGGCTCCCCAGCCACCGTAGGTGTCGACAATGATCTTACGGCCGGTAAGACCAGCATCACCCTGAGGACCACCAATGATGAAGAGACCAGAGGGTTGGATCTAAAACATGTTAGCACGGGTGTATATGAAGACAGGCAGAGAGAGGACGTACGTGGTAGACGGTCTTGTCGTCAAGCATGTTGGCGGGGATGACCTTCTTGATGATCTTCTCTTTGATCTCCTCACGGAGCTTCTCGGTGGTGATGTCCTCGCTGTGCTGGGCAGAGACGACAACAGTGTCGACACGGAGGGGAATGACGGCACCGCCATCGTGAGCGTACTCAATAGTGACCTGGGTCTTGGTGTCGGGTCGGAGCCATGGCAGGGAACCGTCCTTGCGGGCGGAAGTCATGGCGGCATTGAGCTTGTGGGAGAGGAGGACGGTCAGAGGAAGGAGCTCGGGGGTCTCGTCGGTGGCATAGCCAAACATGATGCCCTGGTCACCGGCACCGAGCTTCTCGAGAGCCTCCTCGTAATGGAGACCCTGAGCAATGTCGGGCGACTGCTGCTCAATGGCAACGAGGACGTTGCAGGTCTTGTAATCGAAACCCTTCTCTGAAGAGTCGTAGCCAATGTCCTTGATGGCATTGCGGATAATCTTCTGGTAGTCGAGGTGTGCCTTTGTGGTGATTTCACCAAAGACCATGATCATACCGGTCTTGGCGGCGGTCTCGCAGGCGACCTTGGAGAGGGGGTCCTCCTTGAGGCAGGCATCGAGGATGGCGTCGGAGACTTGATCGCTGCAGTTGGTGTCAGCAGTGGTCGGCCTGAGGGAACTAACCGGCGGAGTATAGTTTTGGGCTTTCATGTGCCGCAAATACGCCGACCGACCGAATCGGAGTTTGAAAGCAAAAAGACACGTCAACGTACCAGATCTTGTCAGGGTGGCCCTCACCGACAGACTCGGAGGTGAAGAGGAAGGTGTTACCCTGGGGAAAAATGTTAGGGTCATGGCGGGGTGATTCGGGGACTTTTTGTCGAGGGTACCTTTGCGGAGCCGTTGGGGACAGTCATTGTGGTGGATGTGGAGAGGTGGGGAGAGAACGAGGGAGGTCTAGTGTAGGACTTGCGACCGCGTGTAAATTGACGGAAGAAGAAGAAGAAGGTGGGTGAGTGAAGGAGAAGAGAAGGAGGGGGAGTCGAGGGGCTGGAGTGGATTTAAGCAGCAGCAGAATGGGCCGTCTGTCCCAAATTGCCGAAAAAAACGTGCAGGGCCATGTTAAAGCGCGCAGACCAAGGCCGAACTGCGACTGCCGCACTAACACTAAGCCCAGCGTTAGGAGCACGCCATTGTCCGTCCCCCGAGCCTTCCTTCAGACAACGACTGCCGCCCGAGCCACGCCCGGCCAACCAGACAAACTCCACACTCCGCTCCCACCGCCCTCACGGCAGAAAAGTATCCCGCCGCGCCCGCCTCGACGTTTCGACCAGCCGCATGACGCGCGTTACCATCAACCCATCCCGACTGCGACAATGAGCAAGTATGGCACCCTGGTTATGGTAACGGCCCCCTTTCCCCACGATTTGACCGCCATTCCGAGACACTGACCGCTCAAAGGGCCCGGCCGGCGCGGGCAAGTCGACCTTCTGCACCGCTCTGATCCAGCACCTCCAAAACACCAAGCGCCCGTGCTTCTACGTCAACCTCGACCCTGCCGCCGAGGAGTTTGCCTTTGAGCCCGACCTCGACATCAAGGACCTCATCAGCCTCGAGGATGTCATGGACGAGATGAGCCTCGGCCCCAATGGCGGCCTCATCTACTGCTTCGAGTTCCTCATGGAAAACCTCGACTGGCTCACCGATCCCCTCGAGGAAGTCACCGACGACTACCTCATCGTCTTCGACATGCCCGGCCAGATCGAGCTCTACACGCACGTTCCTATATTGCCGGGCCTGGTCAAGCATCTCACGTCCGGCTCGCTCAACATGCGTATGTGTGCCACCTACCTCCTCGAAGCCACCTTTGTCGTCGACCGTCCCAAGTTCTTCTCCGGCACCCTGTCCGCCATGAGCGCCATGATGATGCTCGAAATGCCCCATATCAATATACTGAGTAAGATGGATCTGGTCAAGGGCCAAGTGGCTAAGCGCGACCTGAAGCGCTTCGTCGACGTCGACGCAGACCTGATCGATGACGACCCCGCGCGCAAGAAGACGTCGCCTGAGGAAGAGAGTAAATACAGAGACCCGGCGTCGACTGAGAGCCTTATGAGCGGCTCGTCGTTTCATAGGCTGAATAAGGCGGTTGCGGAGCTCATTGACGGCTTCAGCATGGTCTCGTTCCTCAAACTTGACGTGCAGGATGAGGACAGCCTAGCTGCGGTGTTAAGCTACATTGATGATGCCATACAATTCCACGAGTCGCAGGAACCAAAAGAGCCGAGGGACATGGAACCCGAAGCAGACATGTAGTCTCACTTTGCGGATAGACACATTTTTGCGTTGGCGGCGTTTTTGGTTTTGGAAAAAAAATCATCCTAGTGGGCATTAGAAAGGTGTGGCCTCGTATGTTCCATATCCTGAGGGGACCAACAAATGCCGTTTATGAGACAAGACTTAAGATACCCAATATATATTCATGTACCAAAAGTACATAATCAAGTTGTAAGAGCTGCAAATGGGAAGTTTCATTTCCAATTTCTGGTGTGCGGTGTGTAGATAGTGACAGGAGTCACGAACAAACAGCCGCTGGTAAGGTGAAGAAAAAACAGTCATTGATACAACAGTCATGCACATTAGCTACATTTTCTTCTTTTCGTACACACCACCTTCACTCGCTCAGTAATGCCAGAAAACCCCAAAAACCAAAAAGAGAAAAAAACACAGCAATGCTTCGCTCCCACAACACCTCGGAGTAAAGAAAAATAAAAGCGATCTTTTTACCTTCCAACCCATTTATTTTCTTCCGGAGTCAACACAACACAAACCCCGACCCCCATCCCCGGACAATCCCCGGACAATCCCCGGCTTAACCCTTCATCCCACCCTTGAGACTTCCATGTTCACCCCCCTTTCCAAGCCGAAACCCAAAGCTGACAGCGACTGCGCAAAACAGGCCAAAGCAAAGCAGCGTAGGACCCCATCGATCATGGTATGTCACCGCCCTTCGTTCCTTGATCTTGTTGACACGCCAAATGTACAGTCCAGCGCTGTAGCACAGGGCCAGACAAGCAATGATGGTGAAGGACCAGGCAGCAGCGAAAGCGAGGGAGTCACCAAAGTTGAGGAGCGTGGCAGCAATGGAACCGATGAGGATGGAGAATTCGAGCCAGGACAGGAAGGTACGTTCAGTGGCCAGCTGTACCTTTGGCTCAACACGGACAGGGACGTGAATACCTGGTTGGTGTTAGTATGATACTCTTCAACAGAATCTGCTCCAAAAACTTACGCTTGCCCTTGGGAGCCTTGAAGCGCTTCACCTCTCCCCGCTGTTTCCAGCTGGGTACACCGAGTGTGAAGCCTCCGTCGCCAACATCAGTAGGTGTTGGTTTAGGAATAATCGCCACAACCGTGTTGAGAACTGCACTGCCTACGTTCGAGGCGGTTCGCTCAACCCACTTTCGAGCATAGCGGAGACCTCCCTCTCTCCTGGCAGCCTCAAAGTCGTCGTCTTCATCATCATCGCTGTCCGAATCGTAAATGGGGTAATCATTGTCGGTTGTGCGTCTAGCGGCAACTCGCTCTTCGATATCAAGCACGTTGGGGTCGTTGCCGTTGGTCAGAGTACCGTAATCACGGGCTCTCGCCATTTCATTCTGTTCCATGGTGTCTCTAACTTCGCGCAGCCTCCTCAACCGATCATCGTCCTGATTGCCATTGGAAGGGGGGAGGTCAGCGGCCAGATCCTCGTCCTCACTGTCATCATCGTCCAGGTTGCCGCTGGTACTGATGTCGTTGCTCGCACCGGGTCGTTCAATACCAAAGTTGTGGCTGACAGGCTTGCGGATGTCAACATCCATCTGGGGGTACCAGTATGGAAGCAAGTGGATGCGCTTGGGGTTGAGCGTGGCTGTACCGTGAATGTACTTGGAGAACTTGGGTACGGCCTCGACCAGATGCGACGAAGTAAGGTCCCTGATCCATTGGGGTGGCTCACCTCCGGCCTGCGTCTGTAGCTTAACTTCGAGGACAGCATAGGGGAAGAGCTCCTTGTCCTCCTTGGGTAGCTGCTTAAAAGGCCAGTCCACACCAATGTCGGTACGACGCCAGTTGTCACCAGAGCGGATCTTTCCGTCCAGGTTGTCCTCGCGGGTCATGGTAAGCTCAGTGTCAAGTGAGATACGGACACGAGCGTCTCCGGGAAGTTGAAAGGCAGTTCGGTGGTAGAAGGATCGTGTGACGGGCTCCAGCTTGCGGGTAAGCACACGGTACTGGATCTCTCGTGCCAGCTGCTCATCGGAGGCAATATCCTTTTCTGGTCTCTTTTGTTCCCTGCGCTCCTTTTCAAAGATCTGTTCTGGCCTGAGCTCACCACGGAGGTATGCGTTGACATTCTTCTCCTTGAGCTTGAATCGTGCCTTGACCGACTCTTCTCCTGTCCAGTCTTCGCGATGCGTCTTGCGTTCGATGAAGATGGTGTCGCTTGACATGCCTCCATACCAACGTAGTCGGATAGCTTCCGCACCCTCGGTCTTCTTCAGTCGACCCTCATACAGCTCCCATGTTTCTGTGTTGTCAAAGTAAATGGATGTGATGGCAGCATCTTCCTCATTGAACTCCTTGTTAGGGTTGAAGACGAGCACAGGCAGGTGCTTGAGGATGATGAGCTTCAGCTCGAGGATATTGTCTGGGTGCACCCAGTACTTGGTGGTCTGTCGCACAAAGTTCTGCTGCTTTCCTCCTGCTGAAGAATCGCCCTTGACCGGGTTTCCTCGAGTGCGAACAATGTCGTAGAGCCTCGATAGCTTGACGACGTACGAGTCGTAGTTGTCTTGGAAGAAAGGCTTGCGCTTGAGGCGGGCGGCGAAGACGGGTTTGAGGAACCAGCTAGTGTTTTTCTGGATCGAATTAGTACCAGACAATACAATCTGTATTCTGTACATACGTCATGTTTCTTGATGATCTTCTGGAAGCCCGTGTAGTTGAGTTGGGTAAACTTGGCGAGGTCGTGGACGTCGGCGATGATGTCGCTCAGGTCTTCCTCGAGCAGGTCAAAGTCCTCCTCGTACTTGTCGGGGTTCCCAGGATCCTGCTGGGCGCGCGCAACTGCATCGCTGACCTCCTTCTCTGATGCTGCGATGCGACGAATGATTTCCTCGGCCTTGACGCGCTGAAACGTGTAGACCTTATCGAGCTCCTTCTCGAGCTGTTCGACGAAGCTCTGCTCCGACTTTTCGTCCCAGACGTGATGGACGCGCAGCGAGTTCTTCAGGCCTTCATAGTCGATGTAGTAGAAGACCCACTGCTTGTTGAGCGATTGCTTGAGCTGCTGGCCGAACCTGCAAACGCGCATTAGCTCCCGTTGACATCATTTACGCGATGTGACGATTGGATAAGGCATGCGCGAGCATTGCTGAGGGATAGGCGTAGCGGACAAACCTCATGTTGTGTGAGAAGCGGGCAATCAATAAGCACCGCAAAGTTGGCCAAGAGAAGTGAAGGTGGTGTGTTGGAGATGCAAAAGTGCAGTCGAAGCTTCAATGCATCAATGCAGGGCCCCATCAAAAGTTCCGACCCAAGAGTGACGCTCCCCGCGTACCAGTGCCTGCCTGGTGGAGCTCCGGGCCCCTAGCGCCGTCTGATGGAGACAGAAACGGGTCTGCCGTGGCATCCAGCCATTGAGAAGGCCCGATGCTCCCACGTGAAATCAATACAACAGGCAGTCTGCTTCCTCCATGTAAAAATGAGAAAAAAGCTTTCTGTTATGCCCTCTCACAGACGTCATTTGCCTGCATATGCGGGTGCATTCTGAAACGGAAAGACTGCCAAGTTTGCTGGCGCTTGAGATGGCATCACCAGAACATCTCGATGTACTATACTACATATATCGTGCACGAAAGCAGCCGCCTTGAGCCTCTGGGTTATGCCTGCGTCTTGTTGACTGGTCTAGCACTCCGCTCGGCTCTTTTGCTGCGATCCCATGTTCTCAAACCATGTCCTAATTCGGGCATGCAAGGATCCACTGTCGAAACAATAGCTCTGCTTGCTTTCTGACCATGCCGTGTCAGGCTTCGACACAACAACATCCCCGTCTGGCTTGTTGTTATTGCTGTCTCACATGAGCTCTGCTAATGCAGTCATCACATTGTTCTTGCAGATTTGATAGCAGTCATACGTAGGAGGAGAGCCGTGGCTCATGGGATTTTTTATCTGGAGAGCTAATTCTAGCACCCTTCCAAAGAGAAACTAAAGATACCAACATATTCAACCATGTATCGCGAGGATACCATAAACTCCATCTAGCGCCGTACTCCAAAGCCGTGCTTGGCGGGTATCGAAGATAAATCATAAGTGGACCAAACGTATAGTTGTAAAAGAGGGCGTTAGGTGAGCGGCATGCATAACCACTAGGCATCGCGATCATGCAGCGCCTCATTAGGAAACGTGCCTGCAGGACTAACATGCTGGCTGGTTTCTGGACTATTGTTTTTGCTTGATTCGGGCGAAGGGGTATGTAACCGTGAGACAATGTATAGGTCGTCGTAGCTGCCCAGGATCATGTGCTTCCACCTTGCCAGCGTGGGCAGGCCTACGTTGGCGACCGAGGCCTTGAGGGTGGGTTTCTCTGCGTACTTTTCGCGCTCCGCGGGCGATAGCAGATCTTCGTTGAGGATGTCGAGTCGACTGTTACCGCGAGGTATAGACTTTCTTGTAACACGTAGAAATGGTAATGAGGGGTCTAGTTTGCTAGCGTTAGAGTCACCATTTTAGGCAGAAAGATGGGTATAGGCCAGGCAGCACTTACCATTATCAAGCTCGGCGCAGAGCTCGCCCTCTGTTTTAAACTCTAGGCCTTTTGCACCAGAGCGATATTTGTATACGAGGATGGATTTTTTGCCATTTTCGTCCAGGTCAAACAGCGAGCTTGCCTTGCTGGACTCTGAGCCCGATGTTGACACTGACTTGAACGTCATGCTGCCTTCTAGCATTCGTGCGGTGACTGAAGGAGAAAGGTGAGGAGGACTAGGGAGAGAGTAGGGACCGAAGTGAGTGGAGCCTTGGTATGGGGTGAAGATGTTTGGGTTTACGAAGGACAACCAGGTGGAGTGTGCTTTGTATAGCCGTGGATGGCGGCGGGTCTGGTGAGTGGAAAGGTGGGTGTGGAGTGATGATGGTCTAGGTCGTGGCTGAACCAGAACCGTCGAGCCTTCCAGCAGCGTCACGCCTGAGCCTTGTTGGGCGACAGTGCTGCGCCCCGTCCTGTGGCTGACGGTGACATGCTGTCATATCGATTGTGCGGCCGCTCGACACGCTCATTGGCCGACAGCGCGGCTGTGCCTTGGGCAGCGCTGATTGGATGCCACGCAGCCCCACCGACGTCTATGCTACCCAACTCAACTCAAGCCGACGCAAACCCTCTGCAAATCCACGCATATCGTTGCTGGCCAGGATGGAGCGATTACAAAACATTGTCGCGCATCTTCTACACCGAACTGTGCAGGATGACGCTTTCTTGTGGTGCGCATGACGGGCAGGCCAAGCAAAGGGGTGTTAGGCGAGTCACCTGCATGGCGTTCTGATATGGGCGCGTGCCCAAGCTCCCAAGGTTTGTTACATCGCTCTGGGGAGCATTGTGGAGACATGGCACGGATGAATCTGCTTTAGTTGTCTTCGGATTCATGCGTATTTACATGTTCACTGCCCGCTCGTAGTGCTGCCAGCTGGTTCACAGCCTTGTTTGGCGCCGGGCTAGGTTTGCCTAATTGCCTTCTCGCGCCCCTGCATTTCAGCTCCGCTCGACGTTCGTATGTAGAGTAGGCAGCGATAATAGGGACAGAGAGCATAACGATACTGCTCGTTCTGTCGTCATAGAATAAAGTCTGACCCCTGGGTGATGCAGTATAGGCAGTCGAGCTAACTGTTTTTTTCCTCCTCCCCACGTTACACGAGTACAGGAGCCCCCGGGCCTGTACGAGGGTCATAACTAACATCTGGAGAAACATTCCTCACGACTGCAAAAGCTTGGCCTCTTATTCGTCGCTTCGCCAGCGGCCCCGTTCACTAGCGGCAGAGCCAGCCACTGCCGCAGCCCACCCTTCCACCTGCACCCTGACCGCGCCCTTCGCGGGAACGCGCGAGACTGTCATGAGGCTCCCTAAAGCCTTATATCCACTTCAATATCGGTCTTCCCCCTCGCACCACCTAGCACCGTTACCCGCCGAAAAAATCACGCAAGGCTAAAGATCTACCTGTGAAGCATTCAACCCTACACACCATCCACGCGCCCAGCACTAGGTATACTCGAACCACACTAGCTGAACCCACGCGCCGTCAACATGTTGCAACCGCCTCGAGAGCCAGCCTCGAGGCCGCTCAGCATAAGAACAACTGGCACCACTGCGACTCAGGGCGACAAGACTGGAGAAACCTGGAAGATGAACGTCACCGCCGAAAACTGCTGGGAGGACCTTATACTTACGTTGGGTACGTTGGATCCTTTTATAGCCTTGTAGCTTTTCTATCTGCATGTTATCCAGCTGGCGACTCCTGTAGCTGTCCAGCACTCTGGTCTTGTCTGAATGTCCTTTTTTCTGGTCGGTGGCAGCTTTACAATAGTGTAGTCAGCGGCTAGTGCCATCTATCCGTAGTCTGACATGCAGTTCCCCAAAGCGTATGTTTTCCATGCTGACGTTTCTTTTCATAGATGGCGGGGGTATACGCGGCTATTCGAGCCTCCTTATCATACAACAGTTAATGCACGAGATCGCCGAATGTGAGCGCCGAATACAAGAACAAGAGGGCCCAGTGCCCGGCACCGAACGTCGCGAATTCAAAGAGGACGAGCTACTCCCATGTCATTACTTCGACTACATGTATGGCACAAGCACTGGTGGACTCATCTCTGTTATGCTTGCCAGGTTGCGCATGACCGTGCCGCAATGCCTCGAAATCTATCGTAAAGTCGGTAATGAACTTTTTGGGCATAGGAGGAACATTCTTCCCCTAGCTACAAAGTATGACCACAAACCGCTCGAAAAGGCAGTACAAGATATCGTAAGACAATACTGCAAGGAACATGGAAAATGCACAGGAGACGACTGGTACCCTTGGAGCTCGGAGGAGGATTCAGAACAAGTGCCTATGGAAACATCAGGTGTCGGTTCTCTACGAAGTGCAACCACATGGGGTAGCGGTGCTCCAGCTACCAATTTCAAGCCAGTGGAGCGCATATGTCAATCGTAAGTAAAACCCTCTTCCCTACCTGTAGTTTCCTACCCATCTGTAATTTCCTACTTTTGTGCTAACAGTTGCTAGTATCTGTCTGACGGCTATTCATTCCGGTCAAATCGACGAAGCCTATCTCCTTCGCTCTTATAACCATCAATACGACCCGGATATCGCTCCAGCATGGGTTACACCATACAATACTGGTGCCGACAAGATGAAAATCTGGCAGGTGACAAGAGCAACCTCAGCTGCACCATTTTACTTTGAAATGCTTACAGCTGAGTTTGCAAATGGTGTGAAGAAGAATTTTAAAGACGGTGGAATTCGCGAAAACAACCCTTCATATGCTGCTTACAGCGAACACGCCTCACTAAAGGGGGATGACAAGGAACCAGCACTTCTGCTCTCAATCGGAACTGGGCGCCCAGATACATCCAATGACGGTTTCGCCACCGCCTGGCCTGGGCCGTTGGGAAAAGTCAAGGCACTGCAAAAGTGGAGTGAAAAATTGGCAGTTTTCAAAAATCTCTTGATCAAGTACACCGAAGGTGAAGACCGACACAAGATGATGCGTACAATCGCCAAGGGAGAGCACCGATGGTACAAGCGTCTGAATGTCGACAAAGGACTTGAAGGGCTACCACTCGACCACTGGGTCAAAGGAAAATGGATGAACCCTCAAACCAACGAAACGAAAGTAGTGAATGGAGGAAAAACCCTTACGATCATGGAGACAGTGACTAGGGCGTACCTTGAAAGAGTAACTATTGCAAGCCCCGGAAACCTAACCGAATACCAACCCCCCAAAATCGTTCTCAAGCAAGTCGCAGAAAGACTGGTGCGCCATCGAAGACTCAGAGAAGCCACTAAAGGAGAAGACCTCACGAGGTGGCAAACACACATGGGACAATGGCTGACGGGCGAGCTTAAACCCGAAGACGCGAAATTTGAGCGAGTTGCACCAAAGTCAAGGAAAGGCTCTCGAGCCTTTCTCTCTTCATCACGCCCAATGACGCCCACTGGAAAATGAAGAGAACACCATCCCGGAAGCAAAAGATCCATGGACTGCCATCTTCATCATCGCCTAGCCATCGCCTAGTGACTGCATTTTGCAACTGCAACACATTACACATTGCTGCACTTTCACCATCTGCAACAATGTATGTAGCTGCCTAGCGTAATCAGCCTTACCGAAAACACCTTGACCCTATTGCCGGCTCGGTGTTCCTCCTACGTCGAGTCGAGCTCTGGACGCACTGCTCCCAGTCTTGGCATATTCCAGACTTCACTTTGCAATCAGCGAAAGGTCATCACACTTCTCCATTGAAGAAGTCACATTTGAAAAGGTGGTAATGGTTCTGTTATTGATTCGTAAATGCAATAGTGGGAGCCAAAGGCGATGCGACAAAGATATCAATAAAGGCAATAACTCCCCATTCCACTCCAAACCAACCAAGATCGTTAATGCTGATTACCGTTCCCCCCTACCACCACATGATTAACTGGATCCCCAAATTACAAAAAGAGACCGGCAAAGCCAACAAGACCGGCAAAGGCCGCGGCCAAGGCGACTGTGGGCGCGTTGGCGGAATTACCAACGGCCTGGGCATTGCCTTGGGCACCACCTTGAGTACCAGTGCCGCCGTTGTTGGCGTTGCTTGGGGTGTTTCCATTAGGGTTGTTGTTGTTGTTGTTGGTGTTGCCTGGGTTGTTTCCGTTAGGGCTGTTGTTGTTCTCGTTGACACCATTGGGATTACCACTGGGGTTGGAGTTGTTGGGGTTATTACCATTGGGATTGTTACCACCGGAGTTGTTGCTCGGTGGTGGGTTTGTCGGGGTGGGGCCTGAGCTGGGACCTCCAGGCCTTGGTCCAGTTGGGGTAGGACCTGAGGGCGCGCCGCTGACTGGAGTGAAGCCACAGTCACGGACAAGATCTTGAGCGTCTACAAGGAAAGCATTAGTCACGTGTGAGGAGCAAGAGGAAGAGAAGAAAAGACATACCATTGTCGAATTCGCCGCCGTTTCGCCAGATGCAGTCAGCACAGTTGGGGATCTGGGTGTTTGCGTTCTGGGCGTTGCAGATGCATTGGCGTTCAGCGAAGTCGTTGTCGTCTGAGATACAGGTTAGTATGGCAGCTCACATGATCAAGGTGGTTAAGAGATGAAGACTTACTTGGACCTCTGTCGTCGCATCCGGTTGTTAGATTGACGACGGGTGTGCAAATGTCCATGCAATTGCGTGGGACATCCTCGAATTCGAGTTTGTCGGCGAGGCCAACGGCGGAGAGGGCAAAGGCAATGGCGATGGTGTTGTAACGCATTATGGCTGATTTGGGTATCTTTCAAATGACAAAGTACTGAAGAATATCAATGTGCGTATACTGTATGAAACCTCTTTGGTTGTTCGTGTGTGTTGTGCTGCTGTGTGATGGAACTTATTCTCCATGTCGGGATACAGTTACTTATATACGAAACGTCCAACAGCTGCTCGTGTGCTTAATTTCCCGTTTCAGAGCATGATTGATGCCGGCCCCACGAGGTACACTATGCAGCATGCAGCCCATTCCGCACACGGACACCTACCACCACCACCACACACCCCAGGTACCAAGCAAACGCACTGACATGACGCAGATGACGACTGGCACAATGGCAAAGCAAGACCCTCCTGCTCTTCCCTCCCCCACTCCTCATCGGCCCGTCGTCGGTAACGACAAGATCGGCGGGTGGCTTCACGGGCTTCATGGCGTCGCAACTGGGCGGAGGCGGCCAATCCAGTGTAGCAGCATCCCTTCAAGACCCGCTGGGCGGAAGACGTTGTGACCGCTTGGCACGGCTCTACTATGGGGTATGTGCAGAGTGAGAGTCGAATACCGCTGATCTTCCAAGTAAACCACTGCGGCTTCGCCACTTACTACCCACAGCCTCACGCGCAGACGTAAACACACTTGCACCTTTCACCACATGCACCACATGGCCTTGTTTTTTTGTTTTCTTGTTTGCCAGGCACATCCATCCCCCTCTTGCCGTGCGCTGTCGATCCCCGGCTAATCAAGATGGAGATGCTAAAGCGCAAGGAGAAGAGATGGGCCATGTACGTATACGTTGTGTAATGACGGCGGCAAAAAGAAAATGACAATCGTAGGAGAGCCAAGCAAGAAACTCCACCCCCGGACGACTCTACTTTCTTTCTAGCAAGTATCCTTGAAAGATGGGGGGAGGCTTAGAAAAGTCCCCGCCCGGAGGGGAATGCACACACTCGCCGCCAAGCCCTGACATGGAGTCAGCCAAGCAAAAAGGCAAAACAAGACGGTGTGAGTCCGTTGCTGTCCTTTTTTTGGACTATTCCTTTTTTTTGCCTTTCGGTCTGGGACCCTGGGAATCTTTTTGGGTTGTTGCGCTGGCGTCCCTCTCCGCCCTGGTGCCCTACGCTACGCGCGTTCCTTTGCGGCAGTGCATATATGACAGCCCCCATGTGACTTTCTCTTTTCTTTCGTCCGCCCACTGTTTTGTAAATGATGTATTTACATGAGATTTTATTGGTTGGTCAATTGTGAGTTTTGAGGGAAACTTTTCGTTTTTTTTTAGCGCCCAACGGGCTTGTAGGGCTGAGATGAGATAGAGATGGAATGTTCTGTATGGTGCGGAATGGGCAAGATTTCATCAAAGGGCCATGCAATTAAACTCCCGTCATTCGTCACACTTTTTTTTGGCACTTTGCTTTACTGCCGTTCTTTTCTCTTTAACATACTGCGTACTCTGGATTTCTATTTCGCCGTACTTTCCCTTTCCTCCTACTGCATACATTAATTCTTAGCTAGTAACATTAGCGCTTTCGCGCTTAAGAAAATAGGAGGCGGTTTTTTCTTCTTCTCTAGTTTACATCGAAGACTACTTTACGAGAATGAATACGGGAAATGACATCAATGCTCACACCCTACTTACTAAGACAGTTTGGCCGACACCAAACGGCCACGGCGATGTCACAACTTTCCTTTTTGCCAAGGCCCCGATTGCACAGCCCAATTCCTTGCGCCTCCCTTCCTCTTCTTCTCCCAAGCCCAAAGCCCAGAACTAGTCTACACGGTAGATTACCAAGACGGCCAATGACCCAGACCTGTCGCGGCAAGGTCGCGGTACTTAGTTACTTCTACCATGCTTACCTCACCAAAAAAAGCTTGAATGTAAACTGAGTAGTAAGTACGCGCGGTTTTCTTTCTTCTTCGCTTTTCTTGGAACTTTGTTAGTCGAGACGGGAAAAGCCTGGCTTTCTTTGCCTCGCCGTCATCTTTTCGAGTCGTGAGCAAATCATCAATCTTATTTTTTGTCTTGGTCTTGCAAAGAAAAACTCTTGGGACTTGCGTAAGAAAGAAGCTGTGTGTGTGGCTTAGTATCACGGGGTCCCCTAGAAGACAACATGGAAGAAGCTTGGAAAATTTAGTGTGGGTGTAGTATGTGCCGTGCTATGATTTACACTGCCGTGTGGATCTAAGAAACGGCGGTCAGGTGTGGCTCGGGAATAAGATATCCAAGGCCAAGGCCGGGGATTTTTTTTTAGCAGTGGATTGTCGCGAGTTGGCGGTGCGGGACGGGAGCGAATGGCTGCAGGTGAATGTTGGGGGATAGACTACGTCGTAAGCTGTCGCGTCAACGACATACGTGGTGCGCCGGTCAAGAAGCGTGAAACCTTGGGTTTTCAAGAGGCTACGTAGTCTGCGTGGTGCGGGTTGGGTGGGCTTGGAGTTGGGCTGCTTAGTTTTGGGCTTCTTACATAACTGTGCTGACGTACTGTAAGTCTGACGGACGAAGTGTGACTCTTGATTCCTGGTTTGCTCCTTCTCCCATATAGCATCAGTAATACATCTTTAGGATAGCCTCTACGTGTGTGGGTGGAAAAACAGCTAACTTTTCGTCTTCCTGATATCATCTGTTCCAAGTGCCAGAGCTGCGTAGTGCAGCCTCAGGACACGAATATCCATTGTAATTTCCACAAAAAATTATCCTTACCAGATTACTCTTTAGCAATGATATTCCCACGTCAATCTTGTGCGTATTGTGGCTCGTGGGTCATCTGTTTGCCTTCACCCTCCAATGGCAAGTGTGTATATTCAAATCACTTGCTTCCCAAGGTGCACCTCCAAGAACCCTCTGGACGGAATACATGTAAAACATTTCCGATGAATCACAATACCTAGTTTCAATCCATCCCAACATCTGTCTCAACCATTAATACCCGTCAAAGCACTGGCTCGATATGTGCTCTAGATGTCTCCACCCTCAAATGCATCCACCCACCCACTCGACTAACCAAAACCCCAAGCCCCATCACGTTCTCCCCGAACCGTGTTCAGAGCAACGCTATCGAAATTCCTTTGGCTTTCAGATGTCACGACACGTGACCCACAAAGCGGAACAAGCAACGTCCTGGACTGTCCCACGGTACGATCATGAAAGCAGATGGGGCTACGCCCTCAGTGGCAAAAGCGATATTAACCTTGGATGAAGAACAAATCTAAGCGATGCACTGGTATTTCGTGCGTGGGAAGAAAGATCATAGGATTAATATACGACTATTGCAATAACATCACTCTTTCTTCCCTTCCTTATATCGATGCACACTACACATCCAGTTTCTTCCTTTGTATCAGCATCTATCATGCAGCAAAGCTACATCGCCTAACTCGAGGTTCTTCGACCATTTTCCTATCGTTATAGCGAAGTTCATTCTATTTTCTCAGCAACAGCACCACATATCGCATGTATCCCGCTCGCTACTAGTATTCTCTTTCTCAGCCACACGTGAGCCAGCACTCTTCACGCATTCAACGAAAAGAAAAGATCAAAGAAAATGACCATGCAACAATGGCTCATTGAGCACTGTTGCCTGGGAAGCACAGAAAACGAGCTGGATACAATTACAGGACCCACTGGCAACCCCGATACACAGGAGACATCGATTTGGCCACAAAGATTACTAGTCCGAGTCGACAGCCACCATTCAACTCAAGATACACGCGACTCGCTAGGCAGTAGTAATGAATCGCGCGAATCCGAGGAAGAAACAACACCGAGTAGTATCCCTGACACATTGGATACGGAAGAGGACTATGAAATGAACGCAAGTATCATAGCAAGTATCGAAGCACTTCTAGAAGACACGGACTCCGACTCCGACTCCAACGAACCAAGCGATCTACCGACCCCTTCATCAATACCACCTTATCCAGTCTCGCCCGTCGAACAGCAAACCATGACACTCCACCAAGATCTCATCTCCCTCTTCATCCACCACCGAATCGCCGCCATCACCACCTCCACGCCGATCCCCTCCTCCCTCCTCGCCGCCGAAGAAATGGAAACTCTAATGTCGCAATACGAATCCAGACTCTCCTGCCCACTCTATTCGGGCCTCTCAACCCGCATCCACCTCAGCATCCTCTACACCGCGTACATAATCTCCGACCGCACTTTCTTCCCGCGGTCCCCCTTCGCCACCCTAGCCTTCAGCTATCTAAGTCACAAACAGTATCTGGTGAGTAGATTGAGGTGCCAGAGGGTGTCGAGCGAGATGCTGGTGGTGTTTCAGAATTTGCAGACGGTGGTGAGGGAACTGGAGGCTGTGATGTGGGGGAGGAGACGGTATTTGAGGAGGTTGGGGAGGTATCCTGAGGTTGTGGCTAGGACGATTTGGATGTTGGATCCGACGGTTACGCATAGGTGGGATGGGCCGTTGGTTTTGTGATAGGGGGCTGTGGTTGGATGTTTTAAATGGGAAAGGGGGGGGGGGTTGCAGGATGAAGGTACGGTCTACGCTACGATGGGCGTTACAGAGCGAGTTGGTTATCGTTTTGCATTTGGAAGTTTTCGTTATTTGCTAGGGTTTAATTGGGTATCATGGTTGTTTTGAAGGATTTGATTTTACGGATATGGTCGACTTTCGGCAGTTCAGATCAGCTTGAATAGTTTTCCACCTACACTATCCCATTCATCGTCCCATCTATGCTCGCTTTCTTTGAGAGCGCCTACTTTTAGTGTCTCTCTTAATCTGCCATCGCTGCCAAAGAACGCAGCCAAATGCAGAGCAAGCTCCTCGGGGCTCTGGAATCCCAGGCCATTTACGCCCTGCTTGACTAGCTCGGGCCATGCCTCGAATTTTCCCCAGCCCACGACGGGCAATCCTGCGCCAAACATGTCGACGACTTTCATTGGAAGATCGACGCCAGAGGAGGATGTATGCAGCGAGACACCGAGATCAGCAGAGGCAAGAAGGAGAGCATAGTCGGCATGGGTAAGCCATGCCGTCCTGATGATGACATTCTGCAGCTTCTTCTGCTGATTCAGCTCTCTCACCTTGGAAAGATAATAATCCCTTTGGGGCCCTTTGCCAGTGATGATGGCTAGGATCCTGGGAAGATGTGTTTTTGAAGTGCATTCGGCAGAATAGGCGACGAGAGCGGATAAGAGGAGAGAAAAGTCTTCATCGGCTGTCCAGGAGGTAGCGCTTACGATGAGTTTCCAGGGAGTCTTTGAGCTAGGTGACAGGTCCTTTGCAAATTGAGCCGTTTCTGGTAGTCTCTTGAGGAATTTGGCGCGCTCTTCGGTCCCGATGGGTTGGAATGCAGATGCTGGACGGTCATGTAGGGCTTGTGCAGTAACTCCATAGTCGACTTTGAGAACGCGAGCCATTGCGTCGGTCACGGTGATGTGGTGTGAAGCTGCCTTGGCAAATATCTTTTCATACTTCTCCGATATTCTGACGAGGGGGTGAGAGTCACCAAGTTTCATGGCCAGAATGGAGTAGCCAAAGTTATGCCAATCGATGACTAGGTCAGTGCGTCGCAGGAAGCAAACCAGACTCGCAACTGCGAGTGTTGGTATCGAAGGGGGATTTTGCACAAGCGTCCATCTTGTGGGCTGGGAGCGGTAGCCTAGTGCAGTATACAAGGAAAAAATCTGCCAGAGTACTTTGAGAGGAGCCAAGATGGGGAAGAGAAGCTTGCTGCTTGAACGCAGGCTAGCGGGCGCTGGGGAAAGGGGGATGATGTCAATTAATGGGTTTGAGACTATCTCCGGGAGTATTTCAGACTCTGAGATGCGGTTAGTTGCTGGGAGTATGGGTACTTGCAGATATGGTTCACCTTGGTAGCCGATAAGAGTGACTCTGGCGCCGTGTTTAGCGAGGCTCAGGGCATGGTATTGCATGCGGGGGGATCGTCCGATATCGCCCAGCACGACAACCTGAACGGACCGCGCATTCTTCCATCGCGGGGGCTCTTTTCCATCTTTTGTTGTTGCTTTGATCTCTATGCCATGCTCGTCGACAAACTTCAGCGACTTGTCCTTGTAAGGATCATATTGGCCAGGTAGCGTGAGTAGCAAGAGAGTAAAGAGTGTGGACAGGATGACGACGACAGTCAGCACGAGGGAGAAGAGGGTAGCGTACTTGTCTGCTGCCGCTTCTAGCGTGTCGTCGAGCATGTTGGTGTTGATAGGGGGTTAAGATAGTGTTGGCCAATTGCGATGTACATGCTCATGCAGGAGAGATGGCGCCACATGCGTCAATGATGCCAAGGATTGGAGTGGCGGTGCGCACCTGCACCTGCCGCTGCGGAGAGCTGGGGACCGGGGGGTGAACGGAACCAAAAAGGGAAGGCGGCTAAGGACGATAAGTGTTGCTAGGAATATGGATAGGTTATGTAAGAGACACCCCTGACAAGACATGTGGTAGAGAGAAAAGACGCCCCCCCCCAATATTCAGACGTCGTGGACATACCGAATTGCGCTCTTCTCTACTCCCCGTACGCTGCTCCTCTGGCTAGTCGCCCATCCACGTTGCGACGCGACTGAGCCTCGTTTCACCACCGCCAGTTGGCGCCCCTCGTCTTGGTGGGCTGCTTGACTGCGAGCCACGATAAATCCTATCCTCGCAGCACATGGCGTCGACATATGCCCTGCCCGTCACTCCGCGGTCCCATACGCACAGCCATGGACGCTCGTCGTCACAGTACACACCCGAGTCTTCGTCGTATACGGCCAGCCCCATCAACGGCGCATCTCCCGTCAGAAAGCACGGCCACAGACACAACCGGTCCGAGGTGAACACCAATGGCCAACTATACGGCGCAGTGCGTTCCCAGTATGCTGAGTACAATGGCCACTCTCACTCTCACCCCCACGACCATGCCCATGAGCACAAGCACGCCCACGCGAGATCAGCCTCAAACGACTCTACATACACCCTGAAGCCCTTCCTCAATCCCGCCATGGGCAGGTCCACAGGCAGGCCGCGAGGAGAGTCTGACCTTGGGCGCCCTCCGTCAAAAACTCCCCTTGCCAAATATGGCTTCTCGTCAGTGTCGCCTATACATGAGACGCCTCCACATGCGCCGTTGCCTTCAACGTCCTCGTAAGCATTGCTTCAACATGCCTTAACATAGGTCGACTAACACGTATTACAGATCATGGCTGCAACTCCCTGAGGCACTTACTGCCCTCCTGATTCCCCTCCCATATCTTCTCGCCGCCTTGGCATACCCAAACAATGCTCGGTCCTCACTGAAACCGCCATCGTCGTTGTCAGAAGCCATGGCAGAAAGTATACCTGCGATAGAATCCATCAAAGCCTTACCCGGGGCGCCACTATTGCACGCCCTCACTCTTTCTTCGGCGACACTACTGTTAGTAGGTGTGGCAGCCAAAGTCAGCTCCACGCTGCAGCCGTTGGATAGACGGAAGGAAGACAAATTCACCCCAAAGGTTACCAATGCGCCTAAGCGCATTGCCAGCAATGCTTTTAGCGTACTCCTGCCTTTCTACGCCTCCATGCAGATTGGCGGCGCAAAAACCGCCCTCATCTTGCTCATCGCAGTAGCAGCAGGGATTGGAGCGTTGGATCAAAAGCCAGGCAACCACACACTCTGGGACGATGCCCGACGGACACTGAGGACGCGCAAGATGACTTGCGGTGCGCTTTTCCTAGCTATGTTCGCAGATGTCATGACTTCTGAAAGTATCTCAAACCTTCTGATCGGCTATGCAGCCCTTTTGGCTTCGATTTTCTGGGTTCCCCCACCTCTACCTACCGCGGCCTGGTCACTCATGACCAACCCACAGAACCAGGATTCATTCACGAGCCAACGGCCTCTTCGCGCCTCGCTGCCAAAGCCTTCGTCCCCACTAATCAACACCTCCGAAAACCAGCTTCTTACACTTGCTGCGGGTCTTGTTCTCCTCGTCAGCACCGTTGTATACTCGTTTATTGCTCCTTCTGGATCCTTTTCTCTGTCTCAACATACTGTTGGCTTTTCGGCCCTCTCAATTGCATCAGCGACGGCGCTTGTCTACTTTTCTCTTCCAGCATCATTGCGGAGTCAGAAGCAAGTCGGATTACGGCTGAGCGTTATTCTTGTTTTTGCTTTTAGCTTTTTGGAACATGGTGGCCATCTGAACATTGCATTCCCTTTTGTGTCCGCAATACTTATTGCAGCCGTCGCTTTTGATACACGCTCTCCAGTACCACATTCCCATGACCATGCACATGCTCATGATCATGGCCATAAGCATGACCATCATCTCCACGGAAACCACTCGAGAATATCCGCATTTTTGATCGCACGCTCTACCCCTGGATCTATTATACATAGCATTCTGATCGAAAGGGATTCGCGGCGCATTGCATACTTTGGCGTGTAAGTCTTATCCTCAACATGATCGGTGACCACGGATAAATAGGCATCTTTCTGACACGGTGTAGACTGAATCTGGCCTTTATGATGGTCCAATTCTTCTACGGCTTTGTGAGCGGCTCCTTGGGCTTGCTTACGGATAGTATTCACATGCTCTTTGATTGTGCTGGTCTTGCTGTAGGTCTTGCTGCTGCAGTCATGAGCAAGTGGCGTCCAAACGCACGTTTCCCCTACGGCTATGGCAAGATTGATACGCTGTCTGGGTTTGCAAATGGCGTTTTTCTCTTGTAAGTGATTTTTTGATCCCACAGCAGTTCAAGCTAACTTGTGCAGACTTGTCAGCGTAGAAATCATATTCGATGCTTTTGAGCGCCTCTGGGAAGGCCATGAGCTTCAGCGCCTGAACGAACTGCTAATTGTTAGTATATTGGGGTTCTTGGTTAACATAGTTGGTCTTACGGCTTTTGGACATGCTCACCATGGCCATGGGCATGATCATGGGCACGATCACGGTCACGATCACGGACACGGACATTCGCACGACAACGAAAACATGCAGGGAATCTTCCTTCACATCCTCGCCGATGCTCTCGGCTCCGTGGCCGTCATCATCTCTACGCTTCTGACCAAGTACTACGGCTGGTCTGGATGGGATCCTATTGCGTCGTGCATCATTGCCATCTTGATCTTTCTTTCGGCCATTCCTCTTGTCAAATCCAGTGGAGCGAGACTTATGCTCAGTCTATCAAGTGATGTCGAGTATGGTATCAGAAACGCATTAGGAGAGCTGGGTACATTGAGAGGTGTGGTGGGCTATGCGGTGCCCAAATTCTGGCTTGAAGATGAAGGAGCCGCGCATGGTGAGGCTCACGCAAAGGAACATGCTTGCGATGGACAAAAGCACGGAGATGAACCCCATGACCACCACGAACACGACCATTCGCACTCGCATTCGCATGATCACAACCATGACCACTCTCATTCTCATTCGCACTCACACGATCATCATGACCACGACCATGGCCACGACCATGACCATGATCACGCACCAAAACAACGGCGCATTCTTGGTGTAATCCACGTCATTGCCTCACGTGTTGCAGATCTGGAAGACGTCCGGGAGCGCTCGTACCAATTCCTCAAGGACCGTGGCATGGACGTCGTTATTCACGTGGAAAAGGAAGGCGAAAGCCGATGTTGGTGTGGCGGTGGTAACGACTACAAGCAGAGTTAGTGTATTACTTCTTTGTATGAATAAGAACTAGAGTAGAGTTGAAACGAGCATTCTTCTTCGTAACGGCAACATGGTATTTGATTCATGACTGCATTTCCACCTTCATTTCCTCGAGTCCATTAAACACCATCTAATCTTGGTATGATATCCTCTTTAAGGCGAAAAAAAAACACCATGTCATACACATCTATCCTTACCCCTCCGTCCTCACAATTCCCGTATTAGTCCTAACATCAAACTCGACCCACCGCGCCTTCCCCTCCGTGCGTCCTCTCCTCCCCCCACTCTCATCCAAACTCCCCGGATTCATAACCGTACACCCAAAATACTTGACCACAAACGGCGGGGCCTCGGCATCCGCAAGCACTACGCTCGTAGGCAGCGGATACAAACTCATCGCATGCGCAAAGTCCCAATGCAAGGGGCGCGAGGAAAGCGGGTAAGGGCTAAGATGCGACTGGGAGAGAATAGTACGAGTAAGTGTGCGTGCGATCTGCGTGTCGAGATCGACATCTGACTGCTGCTGTTGTTGTTGTTGGCGTTTCGGCTGTGGAGGAGGCGGATGCACCAGATCCAAATCCATGGTATCTTGACTCTCTAGATCCCGGGCTTGTTGGCTGGGTGCAAATGGCAACTCATCGTCCGCATCGGGCGGTGGTTTATTAAAGCGGATTGAGTTTCTCTGGAGTCGACCCAGGAGGTCATCTCTTAAGATGGCCATTTCACCCTTGACACCGAACCAAGTGAGGCGCGAGGGATTCGAAGTCCAAATGACTTCTCCCTCTTTCCCTTTTGCCTTTCCTGGCCCCCATATTTCGCGGTTGGCTTCGGCAACGACTTTGCGGATGCGGGTGGTGAACATGTTAGGGATGGGTTTGCGGGGGAGGGGGGTTGCGGCGCCGGCGGAGAAGGCGCTGGGCCAGGCGTCGTTGTCACCCGGGACGAGGACGAGGGTTGTGTGGGCGATGAGGGGTTGGAAGTCTGCAAGGACGGAGGCGAGGGCATCGAAGTGCTCTTTGTATTCTATGCTGCCGGTGCCGGGGACGCCGGCTAGACTGGCTTTGGAGCTGAAGTTTCCCATGAGGATGATGGCGAGAGGGTAGACGGGGTGGGGGTCGGTGGTATCAGGTGTATATGTGCGTAGGAGGGTACGGAGGGCTGATAATGTTGAGGGTACGTCCAGGTGGAGATCTGATGCTATGACGATGTTGTGTGCTCGTTCGGGTTCGAGCAGTTTGGATGCGATCTTGTTCATGCGCGCACCAGTTCCACGCTGTGAACCAACGCCCAAGAAATCAGTCCAGCCGAATGCTGGGCCAGCCAGACTGTTCTTGTCAACTTCGTCAGCGCCGCCTAGCGTTGCTGTTCGACGTTCACAGGGGGGATGTCCGACCGAAAAGCAGAGGAACTTTCCGCCTATTGTGCCACCGATACCACCACTGCCTCCTAGTGATGAGCCTGCTCCTGAGTCTTCTTCATAGCTGCCTTCAACCAGTACGATCATGCCTGGCGCAAAGTATGCACCCTTCTCAGGTATCGGTCGCGCATGCTCAATGTCAAGCGCAATTGTTCCCGTAAGGTCAGAAAGTGAGAGCGCTCCGGTTGCTGAAATAGTGAGCATACCCAGCAACAGGTGCGTGCTTCCGGACCGCCCAAGCAAGTTGGCAATGGGTGTGATTGTGTTCATTTGCGAGGTTGCAATTGATCCTGTCCGACTCAGAGTAGCCGACCTAGCTGTGCTGAAAGTGGGTGCTTGAAACGTCTCATTGCGGAGTATGCGCTGATGTACAACGTGATACCGCTGGCGGAAGAGCTCAGTCTTATGTAAGGGATCTGGGAAGAGCGACGGTTTCGCGGTGGATCTAGTATCGTTAGTAGAGGCCATAAAAAGTCCCAACATATACTCACTTCTCAAAGTGTTTTTGATTAACGTTGTAGATCAGCTTAGGTTGCTCGAAAGCGCCAATGACCTTCATCCACTCTCGCGGGTCTTTTAGCAAATCCTCTTCATCCTCCTTGTCTTCCACCTCTAGGTTCGATATGCCGAAGCTTGAAGTAGTGTCCAAGGATCCATGTGACGTCTGGCCGGATATATCTGGGCCAAAGTTGAAGCTGCTTTGGCGTCCTACTGTCGAACCCTGGACTATTCTGCCCCCACTCATGGACCCTTCTAATGTCTTGAGTATGCTTTTGAACGTCTCATGGTCTCCTTCCACAATAACCTGTCCACCGCACTTCTTCCAGCTCTTTGCAACTTCCTCGAGGACCTTCTCCGCTAAGCCTTCCTCTCGCCATCCTGAACCGCAGTGCTTTCCAATAAATGTTGCTAGGGCCTGGAGGGCGGAAGATGTGAGGGTAAGGTTATGTTTCTTTGTGAAGGTCCTGAATGCCAGCGGCCGTAGTGTTGCTGGAGGCAGTAATATCGGAAGAACAGTCGACTTTGCAACAGGCTTGAGAGAGGGCGGGGCGCGTATTGGGGCTGTCCTGCGGGGATTAATTGGGTGTACTGGTGTTCCAAATGCGGGCGACGATGAGGGTATGGCATCCGCTGCCACTGCTGAAGGCTTTTCTGGGCGTCTTGCTGTGGCCATTTCTGTTGTAATGACTGCAAAGGTAAATGCGTGTTGTATAGGCACTGGCGTCGTCGGTCTGGAATTCCACTTTACGCGCGACGCGGTCGCGCTTTCGCGCTAAAAGTAGCCCGCTTTTCCTAGCAACCACCAACATTCCCATCCAAACACAACACACAACACCTTCACCTTCAGTATTGAAACTGCGCAGTATCAATTCTGCAGTCGCATTCCCAACAAGAACCCCACAGACTCACCGCAACTCACACAACATGGCTGAACCCGCCACTGAACCACTTGCGACCGTCGCTGAGACTGACGACATTCCCAAGACCAAAGAGAAGCTATCAGAGCTGTCGCAAGTCGCCTCTATTCACTATTCCACCAAGAATTTTCCCGCCGCTGCAGAGAACTATGCAAATGCTGTCGAGATTCAAGCCGAGCTCAATGGCGAGATGGCACCTGAGAACGCCGAACTACTCTTCTATTACGGGCGCGCACTATACAAAGTCGCAGTTGCTAAGAGCGACGTGCTAGGCAACAAAGTCGCACAAGAGGAGAAGAAGAAGAACAAGCAGCCAAAACCGAAGAAGGCTGCAAAGACAGAGACAGCTGAAGGCTCGAGTGCTGCAAAGAGCGAACCCAAGACAGAATCAGTAGCGAATAAGCCATATTTCCAGCTCCAGGGTGACGAAAACTGGACCGATTCCGAGGATGAAGACGACGAGGCACAGGACGGCGAGCAAGAAGAGGACGACGACGACTTTGGCAATGCATACGAGATCTTCGAGCTAGCTCGCGTCCTGTACGAAAAACAACTACAGGCACTCAAGGAAGGTGAATCTGAAGACAAGGGCAAAGGGAAAGCGCAGTTGAGTCCTCGTGAGCGCATCATTAAGGAGCGGATTGCCGACTGTCACGGCTTCCTTGTCGAAATCTCATTGGAAAACGAGCGCTTCCACGATGCTGTAGCAGACGCCCGCAAGTCGCTTGCACTGCAAGAAGAGCTGTATCCCTTTGAACACGAAAACGTCACAGAAGCACACTATTCGCTTTCACTGGCGCTCGAGTTTGCATCCGTATCCAAGGTCCGCGAAGACCAGACTGGACAATCAACAGATGCGCCCACAGAGACAGAGCAAGGAAAGGAAGACGAAGATGGCGTCAATTGGGAGTTACGGAAGGAAGCCGCTGAGCAGACTGACCTCGCCATCCAGAGTCTGGAGACGAGACTTAAAAAGGAAGAAGCTGCGCTCGACTCGGACGCACTGAAGCCAGAGCAAAAGAAGGAGAAGCAGGCAATCATCAACGACAAGAAGGGTATGTTGGAGGACCTCAAGACACGCCTTGTAGATCTCAAGTCGGACCCCACAAAGCAGCAATTCGACAGCATTGACTCGTCAGTCTTCCAGGGCTTGCTAGGTGGAATGATGGGTGCGGATGCAGCAACCCAAAAAGCAAAGCTTGCCGAAGCAGCCAAGAACGCAAACGACGTCTCAGGTATGGTGAAGAAAAAGGCGAAGCCAGCTACACCGGCGGCAACGTCCGGATCAAAAGATGCAGGTAGCAGTAAGAGGAAACTCGAGGTTGATGATAGTGGCGCGGACGAAAAGAGGGCAAAGACTGAGGAGCCATGATCAAGACCTACTTTCCACAGGATGGTTCGTTGTTATCTGCCGATAAGGCGTATTGGATTGTACGGAAATGTTTAGCGTCATGAAGAGAAACGTCAGCTCCTGGGTCACTATCTACTTGCAAACCCTGGACAACACGTCAATCCATGTAGAATAAGAATCAAATGCACGTCAATGAGCCCCGTTATCCACCAACTCGGCATTAATGCATATAGGTGTACATCACAGTCTTGCTTGGCATAAACTATCGACCGTTGAAACTCAAAACAAGCCACTAGTGAGGGACCGTTACTCAACTTCCAACCGACCTACAACTTACTACCCGAACTTGTATCCTTGCCCTTGAGTCCCGTCAGGACCGCACCACCATCAATCTCGATAGCATTGCCAGTCATATGCGCGCTTCCAGCACTACTCAAAAACAGCACTAAACCAGCGAAATCACTAGGCTTGCCCACCCTACCCGTTGGCTGTGTCGCCGTTAGGGAATCTGCATATTTCTCCAGTCCAAAGCTCGTCATCCGCGAGGGAAAAACACCAGGGCAAATAGCATTACACATAATATTCTTTGGCGCGAGCTTCGAAGCCTGCATCTTGGTAAGGTGGATGCACGCCGCCTTTGCTGGACCGTCTGGATCACACACCATTCGTCAGCAATTTTCCATAGTACGGGGGTACTGTATATCCACAATTTGTGCAAACCTGAATCGGAAAACACAAGAAAAAAAAAACTTACATGAGAAAGTGCCAGTGCCTGGTTTACTCAGCCCGCCAGTCTCGCCCGTTGTGACATCCATGGTGCCTATCCCTGCCATGCTTGAAATATTAATTACTCTGCCGGGCGTATCCGCGTTGGCGCCTTTGAGCAGCAATGGCTCGAGCCCCACCGTCATATAAAAGATACTCTTGACATTAAGCGCGTACAGCTTGTCCCATGCGTGCTCGGGGTAATTGTAATAGTCGTCGCCCCAGCTGACGCCCGAGTTGTTGACGAGCACCGTCAGGCGGTCTGTCCGCTTCTTCATTTCCTCGCATAGGGCCAGGCATCCGGCCTTGTCTTTGAGGTCGGCGACTATGTATTCGCATTTGCCTGGACCGAGGGCATTGAGGCGCGCAGTCGTGGACGCGAGCTCCTGTTCTTTGCGAGAGGCGATGAAGACGCGGGCGCCATTTTGCACAAAGGCCTGCGCGGCCATTTCGCCGAGGCCTGTGGCTCCGCCTGTCACGAGTACGACATGCGAGCGGAAGTCGAAGAGGGTGCTGACTCGAAGGTCGTCTTTAGAGGCGGCGTGGGCCATGTTCTATTGGGCACGAGTTGCGATGCAGTTTGGGGTGTGCAAGATGGGCTGGTCAGTCTTCGCGTGGAGGTGAAAGATAAACCCAGCAGCGAGCCTGCAGGTATGTTGTCACTGTCCAAGAGCCTAGATTGAGATAGGAAGGCGACGGGACTGAGTTCGCCATAATTCTCGGTACTATTGGCATAGCAATTGTAGATTGCTGGGGTTGAGCCGAGGTTCTCGTATAGGTTCTGCTGTGGGGTTTAAGCGCCGAATCCTTCGAGCTTGGCCGCAACTTCATGTCTCGGCCTTGAATACGTAAGCGAGTCTGTGAAGATTGGTCCAGATGTTGAAAGAGTTGTCATCATGCACAACTCGAGTATGAACACTAGATGAAGTATGCAAATAGGACAAGGTCGTCTCGAGGTACCTCTGGAGTTACTATCTGTCTGGCTCTAGTGGACCATATGCACCAATGGCATGGACTTTTCCCTTTTGGAGGATTTCAAATCCAATGCCAGTAGAAGGTGATTCTTTTATGCACACTTCAAAGATACCGGGGACTACCATTGGTTTTTTGAAGTCTACTCGCATCTGCAGGGGGATATTGTTTGGCAATGCCCTGTTTCCAGCGTCAGGCAAGCTCTGTAATGCTTTTGCGGCTGCATGATTTCCGTGTGCAAGCTTTCCGGGTAAACCAAACAGCTTTGCAGCGAGTCCAGACAGATGTATAAAATTGTAGTCCTTGCATAACATTGCCCATTTCAACGGATCGTCTTTGGATAATGATATTTGCGTCCTAGTGCGTGTAGATCCTGATGTTGACGCATCATGTTTGATTTCATCCGAGCCTTTCGAAATGAGGCTGCCTGACGTCTTTTTGAATTCCAGCATGGTGAAAACTTGGCGAAAAATAGTCTGATACATCCCATTGTTCCTATCGCTGGGTGCACTAATCGTTATTTCGAGAGCCCACTCGATTCCACGCTTTACTCTTGTTGGTTCTGCGTGCATTACTGCATCAAGGTACATCGAATCCATATTTGTAAGCTTCTCTAGGTCGCATAATTCCGGACAAATCAGCTCGAATGTGTTGCGGACGTTAACTGCACCCAGGGGATTGATAGGACACCACGGGCTGGCGAGTAGTAAAAGCATGCCCGGCTCAGTCATGGCCGAAAGAAACAAGACTAGCTGGCCATGTTTCAAGTGTGAAAGTTTACCTTCTCTGTGTCCGACTGCCGAATGAAAACGAATAATGTCTTCGGCACTTATGACGAGAGGCGAGCGGAGATGCAATCCCACAGGCGTTGGGCCTAGCATTCTGGTAATTGAATAAAACATGGATTTAAGCATCATTGCAAGGATTGCTATCACCACTTCTCGGATCCGCAGCGAGTTTGGAGAAAATGCCAAGATGCTTCTTTTGGACAGTAGAGGCAGCAGACGGTAGCCGAGTAAGCCAAGTATTCCAAAGGCCGTGACGAGGGCGGATAAGAATAGCACAACGGCCATGATTGGATGCGGTGACGAATCGGGTAGCCTGGGATGTAAGTAGACCCTTCTGCCGTCCTTGGAGTTTTTTTTAAGAGAATACAACGAAGCGAACGCGTGACGTCACCCTTAGCGTCGAGATCTGGCGGGAGGCTTCTCCGTGGGACGACGGGAGGCGGCTAAATTGTGGAGCGGATATGCCGATTGAGATGTGATAGACTCGGCATCACGATCACCCCACTAATGATCGCTTTCGCGTTCGCCTCTCATAGTCCTATCTCCGCCAAGAACACAACATCCGCCAAGAGGTATCATCTTTTCCTCCGGCTTATGTTCAATCTCACACCAGAAACACGCCATAAGACTGCTGATCCGGGGAATTCGACAACTTAAATCTACCCCAATAGGCCGGGGTGTTTCGAATTGAACAGCGGGTAATCACCACACCAGCTACTGCTGGTCCGCCCTAGCTGGCAGATTGATCCACCCAAACGGCCCGTTAGGGACATTTGGTGTTGGATAGACGTCTATCTACTAGTACACATGACCCACAATGGCCTTCTGTACTTACAAGGGAGCAAGAGGAGATTTTCAACTAAGTAAATTCAGCCGAGTCCGAACGAGCTATACGGGGGCCATGCTGTAGGGCTTCAGGGGTGAAGCTGAACATTACCTTGATGGGTATTTGACATTGCCATTGTGGCTTGAATCGTCAAATCAAAACCTGTTTCGAACCTTGAGACTTGCAAATCCATGTTTGCAAAGCGTCCAGTACGAGTTGAGACGAGAAGGATGGTTGGACTCTGGTGGGTCGACGCGCTGGTTACTTGTCGATTCTCTTCTCATTCACAGAAAGAATTCATTGCTTCACAACAAGGTTCATATATATACGTACACAGCCTATACGATACGCAATATGCATCTTATTCCCGTTTTGCGGTTGCCGACATCATTTCCGTAAGGTAAGCACTTACGGGTCCTCTCCTGCAGCCCTAACGCCGATCCATGTATGATGCTGCACTCACCAAAAATACACGCCATGCCATAGGCTCGTCTTGGAAATTCTAGGAAAAACTCCAGACATTTGATCCGTCACACCCATGCAAGGGCAAATCCGTTGCTACACGGGAAAGTTAGTCGCATCCTCGAGGCTGTGCAGCCATTAGGCCGAGGAGACTCTTGGAATGCGGTTAGTGTCCCCAACCCCTCATGGGTTAGAAGCACGCCCCTTAGGTTTGTGCATGCGGAACAGCTTGGAAGCGGCCGTTGACCCCGTGATCAGCGGATGGAAGACACGGCTAGCCACGAAACGCGTCCTGGCTTATAGTAGTCTCTTCCGTTGACTTCCTGAGCTCAGTTGTCCCGACCTTATGTGGTATATTCTCCCCTAATTCAACTATTCCGGAACCCACATCTGGATCCGTCCTTCTCGGCCATTCCCACGTCTTGCCCTGAGACACGCGTGGGAGCAGTCCAGCTCCAACCGTGAGCAATGCCCAAAAGATCGACTGGCTGTTTCGAATGCAGAAAAAGAAAAGTCCGCTGCGATGAATCTAAGCCCGAATGCAACACTTGCTTGAAGCGCGGGACAAAATGCCCAGGCTACCGGCCGACGCAGGCCTTCATCCTTCATGAATTCGACACCAAGAGAGACAAGCCCGCACTGATCAAGGAGGATGAGGACCGCTACAAGTTCGCCATTCAGAGTGACTCTCGCTCAAAACAGCAGGGAAAATCGCAGAGCAACCGTGGAATCCGGATAGAAAGTGTGCAGTATGAGCCTGATATTCCCAAGCAAGTAAGTCTAGTTGCTTCGGAACGCATCCAGCATGTCAGCACCTTCGTCGCACTGTATCTTCCAAAAACTGAAGGCCAGGCATTACCAGGCCCATCTGCACTGATGCTTGGTCTGCCCAACCTGCCCGCCAACAGCCCTGTTCTCGAGGCTGCCATTGATGCGCTAGCTGCAGCTCAGCTGGCAGTAGACAAGATGAATTCCCCTCTTATTCATCGCTCCAGGTCACTCTACAGCACCGCACTGAGTCAGATGCTGCACGCTATTCAGGACCAAGAGACGGCTCTCAAAGATGAGACGCTTCTGTCTACATATCTGCTCTCGTTATATGAGGTAACAATTCAACATTATTCTATACAAAGTACATTGTTGACATTTCCTGCAGGTGTTTGTCGGCGTAACACGGGGCCATGGCTTCTTCTACCACACACAAGGTCTATTGCATCTCGTGAAGCAGCGAGGACCATCTTCCTTCGTAAGCAGATTAAGCATGCAAATCTACCATGGAATCCGATACAACTCTGTATGATAAACCCGACGTCACACGCCTCGCTACACTTGCTAAGTCCTCACAGCTAAGCATCGGCATCCTAATGCGGAAAGCCTCCATGCTTGATACCCCCGAATGGATGTCCGTAACCGCCAAAGCCGCCAAAGTCGATCCCTACGTGGCCCTTCTCGACATCTGTATCATGATCCCGCGGCTTCTCGAACGCACCGACAAACTCTCGCGACCAGACTGCACCCAAGAAGAAATCGACAGCCTAATCGATGACTCGCAAAAGGTTGCCAGCGATGCCTTCGCCTGGATCGCCGACTTTGAGCGACATGGGCCCCGCTACAACAAGGTCGACCTCGAATCAATGGAAGGCTTCATGGATATCTGTGACGACCGCGTCTTCGACCCGGTCTTCGACTTTCACTACTTCGGCGCGGGAATCTGCTACTTAATCTACTGGTCCAGTATGCTCATCTTACAAGGCAATACGTTCAAGCTCCTCCGCCAGTACCGCAAACTAGAACCCAAGCAGCTCCTCATGTGGAGTCGCCAACTCCAGTCTTTTGCCGACTCTATATGCAGAGGCGTGCCGTATAACTACCGCGTCAACACGGGCTATGCATCGAAGTTCGGGTCCCTGACTCCGCTTATGGTTGCGAGAAAGTATTACGAGATGGTAGGCGAAGAGGCGGCTGTGGCATGGTGCACGAAGGTGTATAAACGAGGAAAGGTGCCCGAGTTGTATCAAGCAGATGAGAATCTGGATAAGTATCCGCTGGAGGATGTTAAGAAGACTATTAAAGACGATCCGAGATATATTTGAAAGGAAGGGATCGTGGGAGTAACGACGACAGACGTATTCGGTGCAAAGGATCATTTAATCCTTGCTTTCCTGAGTGGAATGTCAGCACACGCCTCGATCTGTACAGCGCTTATCACTCTATCGGCATCTAAACGGTTCGCTGTATGATACACATCACCAGATTCCCGAGAGAATATCGAGAACCTATCGACATCCAAGAGACAGAGCCAAGACATTTTCCAGCAGGAAGCACCAGTGCCCAGTTCTCTCTCTCTTATGCTCGAGAAGCACGAGCAACTCGAAAGCGCACACGCGCCGACTCTTCCTGCGTACGGCAGCGATACCGATGACGACGCAAGTCCCGCTTGGACTCCACAACATGAACCTGGCTAGGGCAGTACAAGACTGAACGATACAAAGGAGGGCAGAAATCTGGGTTTTAGAAGGCCTTCTGGCGTATTTGAGAAGAAACAACGTACACATATATCCTTCAACATCCTCTTGACCAACAAATACAACATTCGCTGAACATAATCTTTTAGATTGCTAGAAATCTTTACATATATCCTTCTAAACAAAACCACCCCACCCCCTTTCTTAACCCTTCAACTCGGTTACCAACTTGCCCGTATTCCCTCCACTAAATAGCATCATCCACGTCTTGGGCACATCCTCAAACTTCGTCGGCACCACCGTCTCCGTCTCCGGTCCCAGCTGAATCTTCCCCTCCTTCGCCGACTTGACAAGTTCCCCAATCATAGCCCCCGTCTTCCCTTGCTCCATCGCATCTAGCACAATAAACCCCTTAACCTCAATCCGATTACTGACAATCTCCGCCCAGTTCTTGACTCCGCCATCGCCCACAGAATTATACGTGGATACAGCACCACATGCCGCCACGCGCCCATGCTTCTTCATACGCGTTAGCATAAGCGACAAGATCTCGCCGCCGACATTATCAAAGTAGACATCGACGTATCCTTCGGTTGCGGCGCGGAGATCCTGTTTGAACGAGGGCGACCGGTAGTCTACACAGACGTCTGCGCCTAGATTCTCGACCCACTTGCACTTCTGCGCCCCGCCTGCGATGCCGATGACGCGCTTGCAGCCGACAATGTGCTTTGCGATCTGGACGACCAGGGAGCCCGTGGCACCCGCCGCACCGGATACGACGACGGTGTCGGCGGCAGTGGCGCGCGCAATGTCGACGAGGCCGTAGTACGCTGTTAGCCCTGTGAGGCCGAGGGCTCCCATAAAGTGGGTGGGCCGGATTGCGCCGCTGGGGTCTGTCTGGATGGGGCGCACAGATTTGGCGGGGACGACGAGGTATTCGGACCAGCTGAGGCCGAAGTCCATGACGAGTTGGCCTGGTTTCAGGGAGGGGCTGTTGGAAGTGACGACCTCGCAGATGGCGCCTGAGCGCATTACTTCGCCCTTTTGCACGGGGGGGATGTAGAGACGCTCCGGCTCGATGTTGGCATTGATCCAGGCTCGTTGGGCGGGGTCGTTGGAGAAGTAGAGGGTTTTGAGGAGGACTTCATCGGGTCCTGGGGCGGGGAGTGTGGCGATTTGCAGTTTGAAGGTTGCATTTTCTCCTTTGAGGACGGGTTCACCCTCGGGTAGGTTGGCGAGAACCCATTGACGAGTCTCTTGGCCTGACATGTTGAGAAGTCGTATTCTACTGTTTTTTTCTTTCTGTATCGTTGTTATGTAGTAGCAGGAGATTGGCAGTGGGGACTGACGGTATGTCGAGAGGTATGTAGGTAGATGAGTTTAGCAAATCCAGTGCGTGGCCATGACCCACCTTAAATAACAATCGACTACAACATGTCAAGTGTTAACAGGGCTTCCACGGTCATCTGAGACTTTCTACATCTTTACACGTAGCAACGTATACGGTCTACTAACTCTGTCCAGTAACCACCGAGGTGTATCGGCTTGCGGTAAATCTCGGCTTGTTCCAAGATATCCATTTTTCTTTCCCACTTTGCTAGTTTGCACTTAGTGCTATTAAGTAAGTAGGCTAACCATTGATTCAATTTTCGTCGAGACCTTTGTGCGGAGATATCCGACTGCCGCGTTACATTGATAGGCTGCTCCATGCCAGCTCAGTTGCGGGACTGTAGTTGATGGTGGCTCTTGGTCGACCGAAATACCGAGACAAAAACAGCTCCCATTAAAACAAAAGTGTTAGTTGTAATCAGCCGCTGTTACTATAGCGTAGTTAGAAAAATATTTTATATATCATAATACTGGACTTTATGTGTAGATTGATATACTATAGAGAAGTTTATATTACTCTATAATACTAGTGTACAGTTACACCGTCTTAACATGGCACTGTTTGGGTGGGTGTAGTTTTCATCCGAATATTTCGGTCAACCAAGAGGGGTGGAATGTGCGAATGAACTGGCTTGGAACTTAAGCAGGGTAATGCTGCACGATTAGTGATTGCTGTATCATTCATACAACAGTATGTTGAATAAGGCTCGATTGCTGGCTACATGCTTTTATAGAGTCCCTGGTGGCATAGATAGATATCCTCGTCGCTCACCATTTGCCGCCCTTGCCCTTCTTCTTATTCTTGCCTTTGTCAGCACCGCCCTTCTTCTCCTGAGCGGCTGGAGTGCCCTTGTCTTCTGCCACTACACCTCCCTGAGTGAGGCCATCCATCTTCTTCTTTCCTTTTCGTCCCTTGGGACGGTAGTAGCTCCTGTCACGCATCGGCAACCACCTCTCGGGGTCTACCTTCTTGCCCTCTACATAGTCCTTTGGCATCCTTGCCTTTCGTAACCTCTTGGATTTCGACGGTGCCACATTGGTTGGTGCAAGGCTACGTTTCCGTGATTCTGCTGCGAGATTTACCGAGGTGACGTTGCCAAGGGGGACGCCAGCCTTTTCGAGTTCAACAGCGTCGATGTCAGATACTAAGCGGTTCGCCTCTGGCAGATACGCGAGGAGATCTGCGGGTATTGAGGCAGGATCTGTGATGCTGTACGCAGCGACAAGGCCAGCAATGGCCGCTCGGTCTTCGTTGTCTTGGTCATACAAGCCCTTGAAAATCTCCCCTGCAGACTTGACGTTCTCTGAATTGTGCGTGTCAAGGAGTGCTGTGCCAGCAGCAATCATGAGAGACTTGGAAGGCGCCTCTGTCTTTGATTTGTGAGGTTTCCGCCAATATTCTGCTGCCTTTGCCAGCTCGTTCTTTGACGCTCCCGGGCGCCCTTGCTGTGCGTACAACGAAATGAGTGCGGCGATCAGACCTGGCGCAAAGCGTACATCGAGATCAGATGCAGAACTGCTTTGCTCAAGACGCTTGAAAAAGGATTCAAGAAGGGATGTAGCAGCAGCGTAGTTATTTGTGATTACGTAAAGTTGTGTTATCGTGAGTATGAGGCCGACATCATTTGGCCTTTTTTCGAGTAGCGGCAATATTGCCTTCAATGCAGCTTTCTCGGTGCTCGTGTTCCTGGCGTGGGCTGCCGCATTGAGCACAGCCGCCATGTTGACAACTGGAGAAAGCGACGGGGCGGGGGTTCCAGAGATGACTTTTTGAGTAGATTCAACGACACCGGTCACCTTTTGTGACAAGAGTGAGATGACATATTCGTCCTCTCGGAGAATGTTCGACTGATAGGAGAAGAGCTGGTCGGTAACAGGAGGTTGAGGCGATGAATGGAATATACGATGTGAGAGGTAAGGGTTTGAGTGTTCTTTTGAAGCAGCAATGCTGTTCACTTGAGCGATGTAGCGGGTCGAAAGTTCCTTGATGCTGGTGCTGTTAGAAATTATGCAATACTGTTACGGGGGCATCATACTCAGCGAAAGGAATCTTCGTAGCCAGTTCTTCTGCTTCATCTGTCTTGCCAAGTTGTATCAAGACATAAACTTGCTGTACTGTAATTGGCAGCAGCTCAGCCTGCTTCTCTTCCTCGCTCATGTCCGAAAGCGCATTGCACAAGTCCTTTGCACGCTTCAAGCACACTTGCGCCTGTCCAAACTCATTGCGCGAAATACTGCCGCATGCCGCATTGAATGCTGTCTCGAAAACCTCTAGATCCTCTCGTGTGGGCTGCTTCTTCTGTGCCAGCTCGCCCTGTCCAGTCCATTCCAATTGGGCATCTACGGCTCCCGAGTTAATTCGAATGTCGTATTCCTCACTTTCGACGTTCTGGTCTGCAAGCTCCTTGTAGATCCTCGTGGCTTGAGCGAAGTTCTCAGAACGGTACGCCTGGATGCCATTAGCCACGTATACGCATTCCCGCATATCCCACACCTACCGCTTGAGCAAGCATGTGCTTCATTCCACGACCTGCTCCTGACCCTGCAGTCTGTGCCACTTCTACCGCCTTGGCCGCATTGCCTGTCTTGTAGAGCGCATATGCATATTCGAATTGCGCCTTCTTCTGGACTTCCGGTGCGGCCTCGAACACTTGTAAGGCGTCTTCGTATCGGTCGAGGTGCAAGAGTGCTACGGCCTTGGTATGTTGCGCATCTTGATCGCCTTTGGACTTTTTGAGAGCCGCGTTGGTGGCTTTGAGTACTTCATCATGGTCTTCGATGCTGGTTTGCGCAAGCAGTGTCGCGAGATCTCTTGTCGAGGCGGCCATGTTTGATTCGCAATTTACTCGACCATCCGTCGGGAAAAACCGCCGAGATGTTGGACAGGGTGAATGGCGCTGGCGGGGCGAGTGCGGAGGATGTGATGAAGGCACGCGGGGGTCTGAAGGTGGGATGGGGCAAGCAGAAGCTCGCCTAGGGTTCTGGTCGCAAGGGACTGTAGGGCTGATGGCTGACTGACGCCGTCATATTTGCACCTCGTCACTTTGCTCAACAAAGCACATAAAGCAAACAGAAAGTCTTAATACACTATGCAATTATCGTAAATTTTCGAAGAAATCCATTGAAATGGAGCCCTTCAAAGAAGCACAGTATTGGTTTTTATACAGATAATCTAGACTACATCAACTCATGCTACGCCTTGCAAATGCCTCGTCCAGCACAGCATTGTATTTCTCCAAGCAAAACCCATCTCGTACATGAAATAATGAATAGACTATAGCCCAAGGCACCCGCCAATGTATCCGCCCAAGAAGTGAAAACACATGTCATCCCCCAAACGCCCACGCTATGCAGAACATCAATTCACATCCTCAAACTCGTCTTCTTCGCTTTCATCTCCCCCGTTCGATGCTGCTGGAGTAATCACAGCGGGCGTTGCGGCAGCCGAGGGCGTCGGAGCAGCTGATGATTCCAGCTTCACGCGCTTCGCATCCGGAAGAGCACTTGGCGTACCGACATCAACATCTTCGAATTCATCCTCGTCCTCGTCTTCATCATCCTCGTCTTCTTCCTCCTGCTCCTTCCTGCGTCGCTCAGCCTCAATCTGAGCAAAGACGGCATCCAGATTTTGATTGCTAGCAATGGCATCACCTCCTTCAATCTTGATGGTGGGCGTGTCCACCCCGTTATCTTCTTGCTTGACAGCTGTAGTATTTCCGGCAGCATCTTTGATAACAGTCGACTGAGTATGCCATGAGGGCAATTGGTTTTGCATGGAGATCTTTTCTTGTCGGGCCTTCTCTGCCATTCGCTGCTTCTCGTTCTGCTCGGCACTCGATCCAATTTGAACATTGATCTTCTCTGGTCCCGTGTCAATGCCCTTCACTGCCGTCGGTCGCAATACAGTCGTCTCTATAACTTCGACCTGAGTGCCTGGGTCGACGTTCCTGTCGCGAGGCAGCTCGATCCTCTCGCTGATTATGTCTGCCGGCTCCATTGCTGGAAGACTGCCCATGCTCTCGATTTCCTTCATGGTCTCAATAAGTGGACCGAACAACTTGTTGAATTTTGCTGGGGTGTCGTCAATATCGTCTGCTTGAGCGTCTGGATCGATCTCGTCTAGTCGGAACCCGCATCTCGCGCAGAGAAAACCACTGTCGTCCGGTCCGGGGTTGTCATCGGGGTGATCGAGTGCCTGCATGGTTGTGTATGTCGATTTGCATCGCAAGCATTTGAACTCAGGCTTCTCGGTCGTGGGCTTCGCATCCCTCTTGATTCCCTCGTCGATCTTGTAGATCTTGTACTTGATCGAATCGACGGCATGGCGCCAGTCGATGTAGAAGAACTCTCTGCTCGATGCTTTGTTCGCGCCTTGGCGCATGACATGTTGAGTATACCTGAGCCTGTCAGCATGGATCATCATCAGTAGCATCGAAATACCTACGAAGAACACAAACCCGCCTCCCTGAGCTTACCCGCGACCTTGCTCACGTGCTTCGAGTTTTTGCCTGCGTCCAGAATAATGGTCATGTCAGCCACAGGCAGCGCGCCGTGGTAACATAGGGCATCCATGATCACAATGTGTTCTGTCTCGTAGAACATGCGGACTACGGTCCGTAGCAACTGCTTCACGACTTGTACGGGATCCTTTGCGCGCTTTTCTACAGGGTCCTTCATAGCGGCACCCATGGCGGCGACTGTGGAGAGGCTCTTGAGAGGGCTCTCAGGAGGATAGGAGAAAAGCGGTAGGCTTAGAAGGCTTTGTTCGAATGCGCCGGATCAACGCGCCGACGATGCGGTTCAGAGGGTATAGCCTTTTACGTGTCGGGGCAGCCGGCTCCCTCTCTACTCTTTGTAACGACCGTCCGCACGCGAGTTGACGTGACAGCGCGAGGGTGGATGAGAAGACGAGCTGAAGCTGTAATGTCTTAGGCAGAAAGCTAGAGTAAGCGGTGGTGCGGGCGGTGAGTCGTACCTGCCGCGCCAAGCCTGAAGCTTCAAGAAAATGGTAAACTGCGACCCCACAATTGTTCATTCACTTGCAGCAGCAGACTCCTTCACCAAATACCTTACTCCATGACCAGCTGCCTCCTATCTTGGGGCAAGCTTTCCAGGAGTATTCTGCGACCATGTCTGACAACGAAGGCCCCCGCCGCGACCACGGCTCGTCGAATGGCGACCGAGGTGACAAGAAGCGCAAATGGGCAGATCGCGATCGCAGAAATGCTGCGCGGGGAGGTGGTGGACGCCAACAGCACGGAAGCCGTCCGAATAAGAAGAGAAATATGGGGCGTAAGGAGCATAAGTGAGCGATTTTCTTCAACATCAGTCGGCCTGTCTAACTAAGCAAGTTCTTCCCAATTAGATCGACGGGATCGCAATGCCGAACAGCAAGCCAAATATAAAGAGCAGGACGAGAAAGGTGAAAATGAGCGACCAGCTCTACCCGCAGCTTTTCCTGCTGAAGAGCTCGAAGCCGAGGAGCGCAGGCCGAAGCGCAAAGTCGCAGTCATGATTGGTTATTCAGGCACTGGCTATAAGGGCATGCAGATCGACAACAAGCAGAAGACGATTGAAGGCGATCTGTTCAACGCTTTCGTTGCGGCCGGCGCAATCTCCAAGGCGAACGCATCTGACCCCAAAAAGTCGTCCCTTGTGCGTTGCGCTCGTACCGACAAGGGTGTACACGCTGCCGGCAACGTTGTGTCTTTGAAATTGATCATCGAGGATGACGATATTCTCGAAAAGATCAACAGTCATTTGCCCGACCAGATCAGGGTCTGGGGTATCCAGCGAACGATCGGCTCCTTCAGCTGCTACCAGGCATGCGACTCGAGATGGTACGAATACCTTATTCCGACGCACTCGTTCCTCCCACCACACCCTTCCAGTTACCTGGGCAAGAAGCTGGAAGAGTATGCAGAGATAGAGAACGATCTAGAGGGGTACCGTAAGAGGCAAGCCGAGGTCGCAGACTTTTGGCCCGAAGTCGAGGAGAAGCACATCAAACCTATCTTAGAGTCTCTGGATGACTCAATACAGCCGCTCGTTCTAGAAGCACTTTACAACGTTGACGCTGTCGATGCGCAACCCGGTCAAGACCCCGTAATCGACGCTTCAATCGACGATGAGCCCGATAAAGGGAAACCTGCGACCACCGAAGCTGCTAAGGAGACTGCAATGCCAGATGCAGACGAGACCAACACGAGTGAACAACCTGTAGATGAGGTTAAGCAGGCCATCGACGCGATAAAGCAGAACGAACCCAACGTCACTCTCAATAACTCCACCGACGGCACGCGCCCTCTGCCCGAAGGCGTCGTGAATCAGCCTGTCCTTGAAGAAGCCATCAAGACGCTCAAAAAGGCCTACATTGACATCAAGAAGGCCTACCGCATCTCTCCCGAGCGACAAGCGCGCGTCCAAGCCGCACTCGACAAGTATCTCGGAACCCACAAATACCACAACTACACCGTCCACAAGAAGTTCAACGACAAATCCGCCCAGCGCTACATCAAAAGCTTCAAAGTCGCACCCAAACCCATCATCATCAACGACACCGAATGGCTAAGCCTCAAAGTCCACGGTCAAAGCTTTATGATGCATCAGATCCGCAAAATGGTCGGCATGGCTGCCCTAACAGTTCGCTGCGGTACTGATCCCGCCATCATGGACAAGAGCTTCGGCAACGAGGTCGTGCGTATTCCTAAAGCACCGGGCTTGGGCTTACTTCTTGAGCGCCCTGTTTTCGACTCCTACAACGCCAAACTTGCCAAACAGCATGCTCGCGATCCCATCGATTTCAATAAGTACAATGATAAGATTGAGGAATTTAAGGAGAGGGAGATTTATCAGAGGATTTTCCGGGAGGAGGCGCAAGGGAATCAGTATGTTCATCTTTTTCTTTCCCGAAATAGACTTAGGGTGCTAACGAGACTAGGTTCAATACCTTTTTTACCCACTTGGATAATTACAAAGATCCGCAGTTCCTGTACCTGACGTCTGGAGGTATCGAGGCGACCAAGAGGAAGCGTGAAGATAAGTCTGTGCAGCGCAACTTTGAAGAGGATTCTGAGGATGAGAATGCTAGTGGTGGAGAGGGTTGAGCAAGTATCCAACGGAAATGATTGGCTTATGATATCATCTAGAAATATGAGTGTTGAATAAAGAACAGATGGGCAAGGCTCCAATGATAGGAGCGTCGGATTGCTGAAATTACATATCCTACGGTTTCCTAGAGAGCAAGATTACGTTATGATTCCGGATGCTCATGAATCAATAGAGTATCCCCATCCACACACCTCAACGCCTCGCATATTCATGATACAGACTATTTCAACCTCAAAGTCCCTTCCCGTCAAGATACTCCTGCACCCGTTCTAACAAATCTGCTTTCTTCCCCGCGATACTCTGGCCCCTAGCACCCAGCCACTGCTTCAACACAGCAACAGTCTGTTTACTAATTTGGCCGCTGTTATTTATATCCGCCATCTGCTGATCTGTCATGCCACCATCTTCGTCACCACCATCTGCACCCTTAGACTCCTTCTTGACCCGCTTAGCCACCGGGTTCTTTTCTTCGACGTCAGCATCGGCTCTACCGGGACGTTTCTTAGCAGTAGGCTTGGTACGATGTGCAAGCGCAGATTTTTGTTGCTGAGCGTACACTTCTTGAAACTCCTTGCCATAGTCTTCAATGTACTCGCCGCAACGCTTGTCGATTTGCTTGAAGCGCGGGATCGTCTTGTCATCTGGGTGTTCCGGTAATTCCTCTTCTAATGCGAGTGCTTGTAGAATCCGGTAGAACCATTGTAAATCGGGGTTAGGATATCGGGAAGGATCGTATATGCCTTTTGGTAGTTGGAGTTGCTCGATGATGAGGCGCATCTTGTCTGTTAGGGCGTCGGTAGTCTTGAGGGGTTCCTCGGGAGGTGTAGGGAACTGGCGAATGTCGTCGGCGAAGGGAAGGGGTACGAGCCAGAGCCCAGGTGGCATGACTTGCTCGCCTTCTTCGTTGGTTTTCTCTTCGCTTGGAATGAGTGCTGCTAGGGTAGGCGCAGCGTTACGTCGTGGAATAAACCATACTAAACCCATCTTCTTGGACTTCAGTAGCTTCCGCTGTAATGCAGAGAAGACACGCGTTGAGCCGATATAGTCTGCCTCTGATGGGTAAATGAACGTTGACTTGTTCGTGTTCGCCCAGATGGGTACGCTGGAAAGAGGTTTGAAGCCAATTATACGTATGACAGGTTCACCGAAACATTGCCGTATCTTCGTGATTTCTTCGGGTGTGAACGTTATAGCGTCACCACCGAACTTGTACGCTTTCCGTAGCTCAGCCTTCTCAACGGTCCGCGCAGTATCGTCGGCCATGTGTGTAGTTGAAGACGTGACTATCTGCGGTTTCTCTCCACCGACCCATACATAGCATGACTTGACATGCTCCTGGCGTTTGATCAGGATGTATCCCTTCACACCAATCTTCAAGTCAGGACCTAACTCCAGAGGCAATGAGAATAGAGCACGCCGAGGTGTGGCTTTCGAGTTGATTGAAGAGATGAGTTGCTTCAGAAGAGAAATGCCTTCACCGCTCTTCGCAACTTTCGTGGTAGAAGGTATAGCGACTGGTGCATCTGGGTCGGAGGGTGATGTCGGATAAACAAGATCATCATAAAAGCGTGATCTATCGAAGCTGTGATCTGGTTGTGAAATGGGGAATAGATCAACGGTGCAGCCCAAGTCGTATAGATCGCGGGCTCGTGTGACTGCAGCATCCTTATCTGCTTTAGCCTTGACCGGATAGTCGTTGTCGGTGACTAGGAACAGACGTCTTGACGAGAAGTTTGGTGCTTTGGTGGTGAAGATTTGATTTGCGCAAAAGAGCACTGTTGCTATACTGGCTCCATCCTTTGCTGGTTTGAGAATCTTTTCGGCTTCTTCCTCGTCCTCGACCATGTCTCTCAGTCTTTTAACGTCTTGCGCTGATGGAACATCTAGGTCGGCTAAGAGATAGCAGTGTTGGAACGTACTGTCGCCGTCCTTTAAGTCCGTTTCCTTTGTACCAAACAGCAGTATGCCCATCATATCGTTTGGATTTGAGATGATGCGCTGCTGCATTAATTGGTAGGCACATTTTAGAGCGGCAGAGGCTGGTGAGTCGCGTTCCGCTTTCTTGTCTTCTGACTTGGGCGGCTTCTCAAGCATACTGGGACTGACATGGATGGCGAAGAGAACAGCATCTTTGATAGTCTTGTAACTCTACGTTATATCAGTACACTCCAGAAATACCCAAAATCAATTGACCGCACAGTATCATCAATCTCCTCTTCGTCTTCGTCTTCTTCCTCTTCACCTGCTCGGCTGTCTTGGGGGTCCGCCATGTTGGAGAGCTGTGGTCAAATAGAGGTGGAAATGCCCTGTTATTGTAGCCAAGAACTCCCGCGATTTGCTTAATTCACAACTACTTCTGCAAAGCGGCGGATTGAAGGTATAAAAACAAACTTTTACAATTGTCGCATTCAAGTTGGGGCGGCGGGACGACCCCAGGCAACCGTAGGCACGCGCCTTAGCTCCGACGCGACGACACGTGACATACAGCCACAGTGGGGCTTCTCCGAGCAGCCGATCCATAGCCTCGATCGTCATCACTACCAAAGAGGCTGCGATTATTGGTCGAAGCTTTTCCTGCTCGGACATTATTCATTTTGGTGTTCTGGCCTTCTAGCAGTCTAGTACATCACTTCGAGAAGCCGCCTTCATTCTCATTTTAAATTCCACAATGGCTCTGCGGATATCTTGTTCCCGCGCTGCAAAGCATGCAACTTCCGTCACACCCGCCACGTCCATCCTTTCGTCATACAGTGCGCAATGGAGAAGAGGAAATGCCACCGTCGCCCCGACGCAGGTTACGCCGGGAGCAAAAGGCCCAACTGCTATGGTATTCATGAACATGGGAGGACCATCCACTACCGATGAGGTTCATGGCTTCTTGAGCATGTTGTTTGTATGGCTTCCACTTACTTGTCAATGGCATTAAACTGACTTGGACAGGCCGACAAAGACTTGATTCCCCTCGGACCCCTCCAGAATTACATCGGACCTTATATTGCAAGGAGAAGAACGCCCAAGATTCAAAAACAGTATGCCGAGATTGGTGGAGGATCGCCGATTAGAAAGTGGTCGGAATACCAAGCTGCAGAGATGTGCAAGATTCTCGATAAGACTTCACCCGAGACAGCGCCGCACAAACCATACGTCGCGTTCCGTTACGCCAACCCTCTTACTGAAGACACCTACAAGCAGCTGCTGGCAGATGGATTTGGAAGTGGCAAGGGTGGTCGCGCTGTCGCCTTCACGCAATACCCACAATACTCGTGCTCTACTACCGGTTCTTCATTGAACGAACTCTGGAAGTGGAGGACAAGGCTGGAGGGTAAGCGTGCAGGTGGGGAGACTGGACAGGATGTCGAACCTGAGGGTGCGATCAAATGGAGTGTTATTGATCGTTGGCCTGCTCACCCAGGTCTTGTCGAGGCATTTGCACAGCTCATCGAGAAGAAACTCGCCGAATACCCTGCAGAGCGGAGAGATGGTGTTGTCATTCTCTTTTCCGCACACAGTCTGCCGATGACCGTCGTAAATCGCGGTGACCCATATCCCTCCGAAGTCGCTGCCACCGTTTACGCCGTCATGCAGCGCCTGGGTATGAAGTACAAGTACCGCCTTGTATGGCAGTCACAGGTCGGACCTCAGCCATGGCTCGGCGCGCAGACTTCAGACACTGTTAAGGAGTACATGAAGAAGGGCCAAACAGATATGTTGTTGGTACCAATTGCATTCACCAGCGACCACATCGAGACCTTGTACGAACTCGACAAGGAGGTCATTGGTGAAGATGCTGAAGGTCACGAGGGTGTCAAGCGTGTAGACAGTCTGAACGACAACCGTGTCTTCATCGAAGCACTAGCGGACATTGCCAAAGTACATTTGCAAAGCGGTCAGGCTTGCAGCCCTCAGATGACTCTCCGGTGTCCAAAGTGCACTAGTGAGAGGTGTCTGGCACAGAAGGAATTCTTCGCAAGCCAGACGCAGCATATCGATCCTCCTACAGCATAGTTTATAGATAAAAGCATCGTTGTATATATGTATTAGTAACTTGCCAGTGCTCGAGCCCACCATGCATGTTATTCTCAGCTGTAATCTTCATCCCTGGGGAAAATCGGTTTCCCAATCATCTTTGTCTTGCACGTTGCGCTTCTCGAATCGTCTGTGGCTTCGCAAACCAGAATGATGAATTGGAACGGGTTAGGTGTGTTTGCACTAGCATACCAGAAGATCACCAAAGTATGACCTGTTTGAAACATTTTCCTGTATTTCATCATCGCACTCTGTAAGACAGCAAGATGAGTGCTTCCGGACGCGCATTGAATCGCAAGATGACGACGCCTTTCTCTTCTTGGGACCTCTTTGTGTGCCGGCGTCGGCGAACAGCTGTGGAAAGATTGTGGAAGAACTTGGATCCCTGATGTACGAAGGTACCCACGGTGCATCCTCGCTCAAGAACCTTTCTATGATGGCCGGATCAGCCGCCCATTTACCGTGTTGGATTTCAGATTCTATGTATTGCTTCGAAAGACCTAGCTGGTACACTTCGATGCATACTTTGTTTGGACAACTCTCCTTCGAGCAACAGGGATCCCGTTCCTGTGACGCTGTGCTGCTGACTATCTTGCAGGACGAGTCAGTACCGACGGCGTTTCGTGCATTTCTGCATAGTCTATATGTATCTTTTGATCCGGGCTCTTTGAGAAGAATGGGAAGGAGGCTTATCAGGACTCCTGCTGTAAGGTAAATCGCACAGTTATAGTATACTGCTTGCTCCGAATGTTCGCAGAGGTCGAGTTCGTTGATTGTTTTTGTGGAAGGCACTTCAACCCAATCTTCATGATGATTCGCCTTGATGGCGTGCTTTTCTTTGCCGTCGTGACCCCGGAATCGCTTAATGTTCAAGTACATGCGTTTCATGCAGTCAATAGGGCTATAAAAGCGAACCTCTGACGCTAGCGACGTCATAAGATCCCGAATATAATATGTTGACAAAGGTTCGAGTTGAGAGTGGGATGAGGCTCCCGAGATGCGAGTCGTCAATGACTCTTTCATTTTTATTTCGAATAAAGACCTCTTCTGCTCTGATGCATCAAAAATTTCTTGGCAGTTTTCGAGTTCAAGAGCTTGTACCATGTAAGCTACGAAGCATGGGCACAAGGAGTGTTTGAAGATTTCGAGAAGTTGGAACAGCACTTCTTTATCGGAACTGTCGTAATCAACGGCAATAGAGGCTCCATCCGAAGCAATGGAGCGGAGAGAATAGATACGGTCTCGGGGATTCTCACTCTCTCTCCCAGGCAGCAAGTGGAAAAGCGAAATGAAACGGCTACCCACGACCTTCACTGATTCACACAAGGCTCCCAGATAAGTGTAGAAAGTCTGCATCCGAATATAAACCTGGGGGTGGATATATGATAGACTGTGACGAGGTAGTAGCTTCGAGATCCCAGGAACCTTACCAACCTCGACTTCCGAGTTGTTGGCAAGAAGCCTGAACTTTCTTGCAGAGAGTATCTCTTGTGTGATCCATGCTCTTTTCCAGTATGAATTCCCCGCTAGCTCCTTCCAGTCTTTCTTCAGCTCTTTGTTTCGCTTGCTGAGATGATTGTTCCACATCCTTAGGGTGTCATGATATGTCTCGGGTTTCAAGGCGTTCAACTCGCGCCAAAATACGAAGGTTCGTTCTATCCGATCACTGTAGCCTAGCCATCCAACAACCTCTCGGGCCCCCGAGTAAATTTTATGCATCATAGCAACTTGGTGGTTGAGCTCTGAGTTCGAGCTCTTACCGTGTCCTGAACGAGAGTTTTGTTTGATGCAAATGTAATCTGTCCAAATTGCGCGCTGCGAAATGGCATACTTTGGGCGAATTGTATTCAAGAAAGTCCATAGATTCTTGCGGACTTGCAAGCTTTTGCCGTTGACCAAGATTTCTTGCTCATCTCCCTCTGGACCCCATACGTAAGAAAGACAGTCATGTTCGTCTTCCACAGTGGTGTGCCACAATTCACATTGGATGAGACCGTCGTATGAGAGCTCAGGCAGGATTTTGAACAACCGAATCGATCGTTTGTTGTGGTCGAGTTTTTCATGCTCGAATACTGGGCGATCGCGGGCGGGATGAAAACTGTGTGCCATATGCTTGAAATGATGTAAGGTTGAGGTTAGTCGGTATCAAAACAGTATAATGACGAGTAAGTTTGGTATGGGGAAGAGCAGCGAAGAGCAGGCAGTATTTGGTGAACATTTAAAGATCTAGAAAGCGGTGAGATACCCGTCATTAAAGGGGGATGGAGGCTGAGCAAGGCAGCGATATGCACGATCAAACGATTGGCCATGAGCTTTCGGATGTGTTGACCGGGAACTGTCTCAGGTAACGAAAGTGAAGGACCAAACATTGGCATGAAAAACCGGGAACTCAACTCAAGGATAGAGAGGAGGCAAACTGCGATTATTTTACCGAATGTTCAAAAAGTATCGGTTCTATGAGACAAGTCTAGTGCAGCACACTATAGCGCTTGAGCATTGTTGTGAAGTCCTTTACCTTAGGGAGAATGCGAAGAGGTGCAAGGATGTGATCCTTCGGCCTCCGCAATTACATAGTATTGTCCTTCCTCTTGGGTTTTTCATTAAATCGCCTTGGACGTTTAAAGCGATTGGCAACCGAATGCTTGTTGAGCATGCTTCTGGGTATTCGATTAGTGTGATATTGAGGTCATCCAAAGTTTAGGTGGTGAGCCAGAGCAGGCCCTTTTTCCACGTGACATACGAGTGTGTAAAACATGCACGCAAAGTAACGACGGACTAGGTCCTGAATATCTGTGAAAAGGCACGGGCTAATCCGATAAAATTTCTTACATAGGAAAAGGCCATGACATTTGTTGCGTTGCAATCTTCTAGTTGTACACGTCCAATTTCATCTTGTCTTCCATAAGATTGTTATACAGGCTGCCTTTCCGTTCGGATGGCGCACTCGGATCATTGCTTTTCGTATTGATGGGGGCGACAATGCTGATGTCCTCGCATATCCGTAATTTGCGATGTAGCGGGTTGTGTTAGTCGCTAATGAATTGACAATGTGTAAAGAGCACAGAGATGACTGCGCAGAGAATGGTGATTCTAAAAATGGTCATCAAGACAATGTTCATAAGGCTGCATGCTCTGAGATGTTGTTGGGTCGGAGAAGATCGGGATATGGTCAGAATTGGCGTTGAGCGGAGCCTAATCGCTTAGCGCGAAAGCGGATCCCCGAGCTGGCGGAGCTGAGCAACTTTTCGAATCAACACCACCACTGCAGTCAACCCCGACTTCACCCCTCGTCCATCCTGCTCGCCCTCCAGAATGCTGTCCAGGACAATTAGGCGGAGCATTGCCTCACCCTTGAGGCGCAATGCCATCATCCCTGTTGCGCGCCCCGCCTTCAGGTCTGTCACCACCGACGCCGCTTCATCCCATACCGACCCGGCCAATGTGCCTTCAGTAAGGAATTCTCCCCGACGGCCAATTCGCGGGTTACAAGTACGCAATGGGTTACTAACCGCTCGCAGGAGGACGACAAGCCCTTTGAGATCCGCCTCTCGGACGAGGCATTCGAGACATATGAACTCGACCCGCCGCCATACACCATGGACGTCACCAAGAAGGAGCTGAAGCAGATGTACTACGACATGGTCGCTGTCCGGTATGGAGTCCCGGAATTCTAAAATCTCCACATGTGATGGCATTCTAACGCGGGAAATAGACGCATGGAAATGGCCGCTGACAGGCTGTACAAGGAGAAGAAGATTCGGGGTTTTTGCCATCTGTCCACCGGTCAAGAGGCCGTCGCCGTCGGTATCGAACACGCCATTGAACGCGCCGACCATCTCATCACCGCCTACCGTTGCCACGGCTTCGCTCTGATGCGCGGCGCGACCGTCAAGTCCATCATCGGTGAATTGCTCGGCAGGAGAGAGGGTATCGCCTACGGAAAGGGTGGATCCATGCACATGTTCGCCCCCGGCTTCTACGGTGGAAACGGTATCGTTGGTGCTCAGGTCCCCGTTGGTGCTGGTATCGCCTTCGCATGCCAGTACACCAATAAGAAGAACGTTACCCTGGCCCTCTACGGAGACGGTGCTTCCAACCAGGGTCAAGTCTTCGAGGCTTTCAACATGGCTAAGCTCTGGAACTTGCCTGTCATTTTCGGTTGCGAGAGTGCGTAAACTATCCCGCAAATACATGTGAAGTTTGCTAACTGAGCATAGACAACAAGTATGGTATGGGTACCGCTGCCAACCGCTCATCTGCCCTCACCGATTACTACAAGCGTGGTCAGTACATTCCCGGTCTGAAGATCAACGGCATGGACGTCCTTGCCGTCAAGGCCGCCGTCAAGTACGGAAAGGAGTACGCTGCCGCTGGCAAGGGTCCCCTCGTTTACGAATACGTCACCTACCGTTACGGAGGACACTCCATGTCGGACCCCGGAACCACATACCGAGTAAGCTTATCTACTGTGTGATGTATGCTTCAAATACTAATAACACCTAATAGACCCGTGAGGAGATTCAGCGTATGCGCAGCACAAACGACCCTATTGCCGGCCTCAAGCAGAAGCTCCTTGACTGGGGCGTCACGTCCGAGGAGGAGCTCAAGTCCATCGACAAGCAGGCCCGTTCTGACGTCGATGCTGAGGTTGCCGAGGCGGAAAACATGGCTCCCCCCGAGCCCACCGGCAAGGTCCTGTACGAGGACATCTATGTCCGCGGCTCCGAGCCTGAGTTCCTGAGGGGACGCATTCCCGAGGAGAACTTCTACTACACTGAGCACGACATGGGTGGTGAGAAGAAGCCTGTCGCCAGGACAGCATAAAGGCTCTCCCTTTTTTACGAGATTTAGACATCCCCGCACATGAGCCGTAGGGGAGCATGTGGCGCAGGGAAAGAAGGGGAATTGTAATTCTAGGATTTTGAAGGCTTTCTACATGCGTGTAAACAGCCAAGGAGCATAGTTCGTGCATTGAATGACATTCTTGAAACCATCCCCTTCTTTCTATTTCATGGGCACAATGATGATTTTTGAAATTTCCAATCTCCGTAATTTTAGCAGGGTGACGTATGGCGTGCATGTTTTCATGTTGAATTGCGATTATATTGGATTTTAGTATGGCTTCTTTGCTCACCTATGCATGATGAAGGTTTATGTATCTTTCGACTCGTAGTATCGCGTAGCTTCACTATCGAGTCGTTGACCTCAATGATATTATGTGTGAGACTAATATGTCAGATTGACATTACGAAGAATGCCGGGGGATCCCTTGGCTTGGTCAGCGCATCCATTATGTACTAAGGAGAGCTAGTTTAAAGACCGCAAAGATTCTGTAAACTTCTTTGCTAGAGTCAATGATGAATAGCCAGGTTCATGGTGTTGTGGTATTTCTCAAGGTGCGTCGAAGAAAACTGCTTATGCGTCCTCATATCTTACGCCTGATTCGAGCACTATGAATGATGATACAATGGCTATCTTGTCGACTATCCATTTCTAAAATGGAATCTAGTACCGGTGAACTTGTATAGGAATGTGATGGCGTGATACCAACCGAGTGAATATTTTCGGTAAGTGTGTATTGGCAGCGTGGAAACGACGGCTGGGACTGACTTTTTTTTTCAATCTGTGCGGTATTTTAGCATGTATGATGAGGTGATGAGGAGAGCAGTTATGGAGGAGTATGTGAAAAGGGGGGCTGTTTTTGATTTCTACTAATGTACGTATGGGGTTATATATATCTGTGTGTATATGTAATCTAGAGGCATGGTGTTTTATATACGTGTTTTTGTGTCGAAGCGAGTACTTGTGAAAGTGTTTTTCCGGCCCAAGGACCGAAATGAAGAAAGGTGTTCAGGAAGTGGACGGATGCTTGTTCGCATGAAGAGCATGCGTTCCGTGGTTGATGTTCCGTTTTCCTGGGTTGACTTGTTTTTCCCAAATTCGATTTCTTTGGGTTTTAGGTTCTTTGATATGATTGAATTGGTGTCGTGTGTCGTTGGGCTTGGGCTTGTTTCATTCTCAATCCCTTCCCTACGCCTTTTCCCTATTCTATGCCAAGAAAATACGCGACCGAAGGACCAGATGTCTGACAAACCTTTGGCTGCTGCGTTTTGCCCATGTGCAACCGAGAGTAGAGATTGCTGGAGGCAACGAGAAGTGACGCGAAAAGAAGCAAAGGAGGAATGAGTCCTGGATGGCGTGCAAGTAAAGAAAAAATAAGATGTGTGCGATGGCTAGTGCTATCAAGATGAATCGCGGACAGCGAACATGTGAGATTCTTTGTCGTATTTAATCCCTTGATTGAGCTACATCGACACATCGTCTTGGTTAGAAAATGTAGTACAAGAGAGCGAAATGGACTAACCTGAGATATTCGGAATCCTAGCCTCAGAATTCTTTCTATACGGTTCTTCACAGTGCTCGCTGGCTCAAGGTATCGTTCTTCTTCATCACGCTCCCTTTCGAACCATTTCTTAGGAAAGTAGCCATGAGTCCAGATCAAACCTCGTGTGAGGTAGTCTTCCGGAAGTGGTAGTTCGTCAACTCTCTCACCTTCATCAGGGAAGATGCTGGAAGTAATTATGGTGTCGATGTTCCCTGATTGGGTATGTGGTTGAGATCTCGCCTGAATCTCGGTTTTGACCAATGCACTGAGGGCAGTGGCGATCAAACCCCAAGGCATATCGGTTACTAGATCAGAAACGTATGGGTTAGAAGCAAATGACACAGTGAAAGCAAGCATGATGTTTACGTGCGAAAGCACGTTCTTATCGCCCAGGCGTTGGAGCGCGACCATAAAGACTTCGTGTGTCAGAGCTTTGGCGTTCAGAAATACTGGCTGGTCAACGAATTTTGACACCTCTTCTGTGATCTTTCCTGGCACCAAGGCGGGCGGCGGTATTTCCTCTTGACCAGAGATTGCTGTTGCCCGAATGTCGTCCTTCACAGTGGTAGACGAAGTATTCTGTTCCTTCTCTTGTAACTGAGAAAGGAATGCCTGGCGAAGAGGGTTCAGGTCCATACCGTATTCGAACCAGCCCGCGATGTTCGTGACGGCGACCCATACGCCTTGATCCTTCCACCTTGCCGTAACTCGACTGATATAGCTATCCAAGCTGCCCACGAATTCAGTCTTAGCCTTCAAGAATTCTTCCGACGCCCCATCGTCCTTGACCGAACGTCCTACAAACTGTAAACCATGGGGTTTGATGAAGCTGACATCGATGGGAAGAGCGTGCGGGAGACTAGCGGTGTTGTGATCAACTACCGGATCTAGAAGAGTCCGGATTGACTCGCGCGCACTTCCAAAGGGCTTGACACAAGTCAAAGACCGGGAATAGTAGTAGATCTGCTGGAGGGCATTGGGTCTCGCTAGAATGGCCAGATGGTGGTACAAACGTCCAACGATTGGGTTTTTGTCCGCTGCTTTCGTGTACCAGGATCGTGCTACGCCAGCCCAGGTGTCACGATCACGGACGTCCTCATCCTCGATAGCCATACGGTATCTCCCCAGATCACCTAAACATTCGATCCAAGTATCTTCAAATGCAGGAACTGTCTCGTAAAGTAACGCCATCATCTGATACGCCAAATATATGAAAGCTAGCATATAATCCATGCTGTCGGGAAGACGCCGCCGAAGTAACTCCAAAAAGGAATGAATGCCATGCTTCCACATACGTGCAGGCATGGAATACTTAGCTGCCAGGCGACGAAGCGCTGGAGAAGCGGAAGGATGTTGACTAGCTAGAAAGAAATCATGATGCTCATGTAGGAGGGTGCGGTGTAAAGCTATCAATGCCTGCCAGTGATCAGGGGGTAGCTTTGTATTAGGGTCCTGTACAGCCGCTGCTTGGGCACGATCAACGTGTATACACTTATTTTCAACCATCGCAAGGCCAGCATAGATAGATTTGACCTCGGATGCAAGTTGCTCTTGTGATATTGGACGGGAGTCCGGCTGTAGCAGAAGGTCAGGGTACCGCTCATCATATTGCGGATGACTAGTAAGATTGCGTTGGCGGGGAGCAATTTGTGGTTTTTGTGTGCTCCGTGGTTGTGTACGAACTGGGGATGTAGGTTGAGGAGACTGGAGCTTAGTACTCTTTGTCGCTTCGGCTGACCACTCGCTGGATGGTTCAGGCGTGGACCGATGAGGCGACGAGGTGCCTTTGGCATTTTGTTTAGGATTAAAGAATCGCGGGTCTGGCGATTCTGATCTTAGTTTATCCGAAGTAACACGATAAGGAATTTTTCTTGAATAATCCGAGTCACTAATGTCAAGGCCGGACGGGGTTTTCCCCCGATGACCAAAGGCTTCATGCTCTGCTGGCCTTTTGCGTCCAGATGGAGATGAATTGGGAATAGACACTTTTCCCGGGCCCAAGGTAAGGGTTGCAATGTCCGGCGCAGAGTGGTCGCCTGCAGTTGCAATGGATGAATGTTCCGTCCTTTTAACAATGTCAGATGTTGACATGGTATGTCGGGGCTGAACTTTCTTTGTGCTTACTTCAACTCGGCAGCTAACATGCGAAATTTTGCCCGTGCCTGCTGCGGGTCTAATCCGTCAAAGTCCGCAGAATGCTCCGCCTTGCCATGATCGTACAGCTGGCCAAAGCTCTGGAACACCCGACCCCTGTGATCCGGATACGGACACAGATGCTCAGAGGCTGCCAGCTCAGCCCGCCCTTTCTGATTCCTCAGCGTCTTGGCGTACGTGGTGTGATGAAAGCCGTCAGCGCTCATTTTGTGGCTAGCTGTTTCACGTGTAGTTTTCGGATTGGTGTTTTCGTCTGCGAAGTTGGCGTGTGTCTAGCGATCTTGAACGTATGGTGATTGGTGGCCGAAAATACCCCTCCCACATGCCCAAGCGTTTGCGCGCACTCGAGAGGTGTCCCAAATCCCACTTATGAGCTTATTGGAATCAAATTTGGGCCTTGAATTCGCGTACTATCGTACATGGACCAGTTCGGGGCATTAGAGGGTCAGAAAGAAGGAAATAGGAAAGACGCAGAGGATCCGGTTGGAACTGGGAGGGTCTTTCAGACGACAGGGACAGCGATCGCGCGTGTGATGAGGCCGACAAGTTAAAAGAGACACTATATGACGTGAAGCTATGGAAATACCATGATGCTGTTCAGCTGAAGCGTATGGAGAGGGCATCATCTATACCTATCGCGGCTCTTGTACGCCACCAGGCAACAAGGCAGCAAAGAAGGCAAACAGGCAACAGGGCGCTACCGAATTGCACCGGATGAGGTGCGTCCTCCTTTAGCCCCTGTCCTGCACATACCAACCCCTGTCGGCTCCCGCGCTACACATGAATTTGGTCCTGGTTTTCAGCTAGGAGATTTGTTTTGCCTTGTTCCTGTGCAATACTCTGTAGTAAGGCAAAATATGATGGGCATCGCCCTGCTAAATATATGTTTTGGTGATGGGTGCCTGCTGAGGCTCTGAGGACAATGGAGTGCCTATCTCGTTCTGCCCCACTTACCTCCCGCATCTCAATACTACGTAGTGTAGGCTCAAAGACTCTGTCTGCATGGACAACTGATACCGCCGAGCTGCTTCACACCTTCGTCTTCGCCAGTTGGATGGCTACATCTCACCTGCGCGTAACGAAACACAATCATAAGCCCAAGGACTGGGTAGAAAGAGCATAGGTAGTGGAATGATCGGAACGCAGGTCGCTTTGAACCCATGAGAACGAGACACATCATACTTTCGACATTGCTACAGATCACATCTGCAGGCACCCGTCCGCATATATTGCAAATGCAACATCTCCCGAGTGGCGACTCCCGCACTTAGCATATCGTACATGTGGAGAGACTTTGTGCTCTGGAAGTGCGGTCGATTTCCAGTCATGTGAGCCGGTGTTTCCCGGTGGAATTTCAGGCAAACATACGTACGATATCAAATAGTAAGACTGCCATCATTCGGACCTTTAATGATTTCAGCCCTCCATCATGACGAACCATCCAAAGTAGAAGGAAGATACCGGTCGAACCATGGGGCCGCGACACGGCAGCAAACGCATCAGCTTCTCTGCTAGATTCAGCCAAAGGACTCCCTCTTTTCAGACACCACCTGATAATTTGTACGACACTCAAGTATGAGGTAGGCGACGCCTATATCAAATCATGCGCCTGCCATTGATATCACTCCTCGGGATCAACAGTGATGATGTTCACCGACCGTAATAGTCAAGTCATACTGCTCTCTGCCTATTGGACTCTCTCGGGTTTCTCCAGGCCACCATCCGGCGTACAACAGATTTGTCTAACTGGTTAACCACAAAGATCTATACCGAATACTTCTACCAAAACTGCTGCCTGTTACTTCTGATATTTGGTTGATTACCATTCTCGGTACTCAGTCCTGAGGTATGACGGAGTGAGCGGTGAGACACTGTTCCTTGTTCCAGATGGAACTAGATGCTGCTAGTATGGCGTACCGAGCGGCCTCCAGGCAACACAGGGTTTCACGTGTAGACAAATGTTTGAGCCACAATAGTGCAAGAACACCAATATCCTCACAGGAATATGGTCCTCTTACGAAATGATGCGTGAGGGCTGAAAGCTGATAGACCTGTTATTTGATCTTATTCGAATGTTGGCATAAAGGAAAGCGGGGTCGGGCGACACGTCTTGTTCCCCAGCCAGTCAAAGCCACCGCGGAACCTCGAGTGCTTCCGGGTCCTAGATCATGGTGTGGCCACTACTATTCGTCTGTACTTACTTTATCCAACTAACAAAGAATCATCGTGCATAGATCATAGCGTCATCACAAAGCATCGACTAGTAGTTAGTAAAGTAGCAGGGCCACGCTGGGAAGGCATATCTTGAGGCAGCAGGCTGCGGCATAAAGCATGCATCCAGTTTCAGCGATATTATACTTCTGACTGGCAAGGCTGAACGATGAACTTTGCAAAATTCATATTAATGTTAACAACGAGGCTGAAACATGTGCATAATGTAGCAAGGATAGTCGGTCAGTATTCCAATATAAAAATAAAATTCATAATGCCTCTTGTTGGGAAAACCGTTTTACGGGGATGTGCAGGAATGGTAATTTGAATGGACACGGAAAATCAAGTACCGAGATTGGGGGCCAGAATAATTGGATCTAGAGGGCTCTAGGGCTAAACTATCAGACTTGGGGCTGAAAGAGTGGGGTGGACTACACCGAACCACAGTTCACTACTAGCGCCGAACCATGCAGTCAGCGTTCCTGAACTCCTAATGTGGGTCCTCTATTATGGGAGGCCTCCGGCTTGCAAAGTGAAATATCCTACGTTTGGATCAAGGTAAGGCAAACAGTATATCAACACCAACAACCCACGCTCAAGACACCAGGCTGAGCGAGCGTATGACTGGTAAAGCAATATGCGCCTTGGATAAGCCACTCTAGACTGCAGCAAAAAGCACGTAGGCTCATATCTACGCCTATGAGTTCACCACGTGGTCACTATATATACCGATTAGTGTAGGATATCACATCATACCACCAATGGCACAGGGTATCCTCCCACCCTCCACCCACCTAAAACGGTAAGAGCCGTAAACACGTTTTCTAGATTGTTTTACTTGCATTAAACCACTATCAAGCAGGGTTTAGAGAAGTATGTATAGTCCTCCAGAATCACGATGCTGCACGATCGTGTTCGAGTGAACAAGAGTACAATAGAACGAGTGTTCGAGAAAGGTGAAGGAGACACGGACGGTACTTTACGTAGGTACGATGTGCCACATGCTGCAATCGCAATCCCGCATCTGAGGCTGCGCCAGTCGTTTGCTTTTCTACCTTAATTACTTTTCGCTCTATCACATCTGACAACGGTGAACAGATGCTTGGCAAATGCGGGAAGTTATCAGATGGTCCTCCATACCATGACGCAATTTTTCAAACTTCCCGAGCCAATAACTATTTTCTTAGCATCGGTATGATTACTCCTAAGGATGGATGGATCACGAAGTGAGGCATCAGTAGTAATCAGGGCGCGATTAAGGCCGTAATCATATCTTCTATACTAATCCTAAACCGGTATTCCTTTCCACAATTAGGCAATCGCTTGGGGCCAAAACGCCACGAGCTGAACGGATCAGTTTACACATTGGTGAGGCTCAATAACTCGAATGCGAGACATATCACGCTACTTCGATTAATCCGTAGTTCGCATTCTTGCAACCCGTCTGCCTTAATCATCACGATCAGGTAGAGTGAATGCCACCTCCAAACGCAGCTGTTGACATGGCGAATGTCTCGGTGGTCAGCTGCAAACATGTATGTCATACGGCGACTCCGAGTGGAAAGACAAATTTGCAGTTTGCCTCTGGAATAGAAAAAGCTCCCAGCCACATATTCAAGAGGCTGAAAAAGAGGCGAAAAGGATGATGATGCTAATGACGCAGTTTCCTCGAGCTGAGCATTATACGCGAAGCTATAGTAGGGGGCATGGTCCAATCGTTTTCGGCAAAAGACCTGGTCTCAAGACATAGCATGAACCTAACAATTGCCGAAACAAGAGTGGCCTATATTTTCAACATATTGGGATTAGTGCCAACATCGGATAGGTATATCGATGATGGATCCTTGTGTACCCTTTCTTCGAATTTGGTGGGCAGCGAACAGGAGTACCAGTAACACTCACCGGATCTGAAAGCACAGACAAAGTATCCGGGACAACACGCACGCCATAGTCTTCATGGAGAATAGACTCATCGACCATGATTCAACAACCTTGGTAAGTATAGTGAAAATGTCTCCCTCGTCCCCATGGAAGGACGCTGCTGATGCTATACTGTGTAGAAGTGACTCCTCCTTCTTTTCCATACTCTATATGCTCTGGAAATATGGAAAACACGCTCACAGGGACCCGAGCAAAATTTTGCACCCATTCCCAGAGCTTATTCAATTGCGCTGCTACCAGATTGCTTCATCTGCCCTCAGAGATGCTTCGTTCACAGCATGCAACATAATCTCCCTCAGTCTCTTCCCTACATCATCCGTCTAGCTCACTGCTCCAGTGCATCCCGGTCGAATACGTACGGTGAACTCAGACGAAGGAGCGGTCAGCATGCGATAAAACGCCTCTCGACATCCAAGGCAACCCCCAAATCTGCGTACAGCTCTAGCTCCGTTGCCCGCCTCCTTTATGACATTTCGGATAGCCAACGCATTCCCCTGAGAATCAGCCACGACATAGCCTTTGAATACGTGTTCATTGAGAACGGTGAATCATAGCGATAGGATGCTGTTCCAAGATGCCCATACGCTGCTGACGACGAATCAAGTGGCTGTGCCGCTTATGACCAAATGCCAAGGTGGCGAACGAATCGCCTTCACTGCTGATGGACCTGATGATTGATTCTCATTGACGCGCGCGACAGGCTAATGGCGCTTATTCAGAAGGATAAGAGGGAGAGGGAGAGGGAGACGCCCTCATGCTTATAGAGGAGCCCGTGCTCATACAGGCCATGAGTTGGGCCCGCATAAGGGTAGAAATGGTCCATTCTCCTCACATCTCAGATATTGCATACAGAAAGCTTAAGGACAGTAGCACTAGGGTAGGCTGAAGTTTGTAGGTCTTATCGGGTAGCGCACGAGAAGCCGATAACTCTCCTCAACAATAGCGCAAAGCCGAGCTGCAAATACGGGATGGACCGCGTTGCCGCTAAAATGACCGCAGAGAGGGCGAAAATTTTCAGCCTTCTGAAGATGATTAAGTTAAGCTAATGATATCATGTCTGACGCGTCAATCGACAGGACTTGAATCATCTTATCAAATATGCAGAGCGAGAGCAGTTATGGATGATCGTCGACTCGGCACCCCGCAGCGCTGCCCAGACAGTGAATCGCACTAGCAGTACCACGCAGATGATTTTACAGCCTTAGATCGTGAGGCACACGCGCACAAATCGAAACACATCGCAAAAGCCTCAAACAGTCCAAACAGAGAGACTGATTGAAATTGGAATTCAAGGAGTAGATGATATAAGCAGCAATATAGACCAGCCGAGACTAACAACGTGACAAAAAGAAGGACCGACTGGGGGGCTACGCTGCGATCTGCAGTTGAGATGCTATATGTAACGGGCCGTCCGGAATGCGGAGCATAGTTGATGCAAGAACTTAGTGTTCTGGGCACCGTAAATGACTGAGACGCCTGTCCGCAGAACGATTGCTGCACCGGGACGTCTGCACTTAGGGAGTCCTCGCCAACTCGCCCCGCATGCCATTTTCCAAGCTCAGCGAGCAACAGCAAGCTTTTATTGCCAATCGCGCCAGAGTCTGGGAAGTAAGACGCTTCTGCCAAGTCTTACCATCCGTCGCCAAATACGTGCGGGGTGCGGACACTAGCTTTACAAGCAGGCCGTCAAAGCCAGATGAGTGTCCGGAGAATGAGCCAGACGGCGCGCTTGCTGCCCTACTACGATGTCTGGTGCATCGAACGGGCGCCGACTTAGCCATGATCAGCTTGTTGGATGACCACACCCAGTATTTTGTATCAGGCGCCAGTCGGGCCAACTTCAACGACATCAAGGTCACGCTTGGTGAGCATGCCGAACCACACAGTCTCTAGACGCGCTCTTCCCACTGCCTAGGCTAATCACGCCAGAACAGACTCAACCAGATGGTATGGCTGCGAATCAGTTTCCCATCACGGGGGCTTATGCGAGCGCACCATCACAATGCAGAACCTTCCTGAAAACATGGCCTTGTATGAGGAGCTCGACATGGCTAAAGTAGACAGGACCAAAGATCTGCCCTTTGTAACAGGTGATATTGCCAAGTTTCGATACTATGCGGGCATCCCCTTGAATCCATACAGCGGCCCAAACATTGGCACTGTATTTCTCTTTTGCGAGACGCCGTCAGAGACGGGTCTCTCTGACGCGAATCGTGCGTACATGTTCGAAATAGCCTCGCACATTATCAAACATCTTGAACAAGCCGTCGAAGCATTGGAGGGCAAGAGAGTGCTGCGATTCAACAAAACTGTTGCTTCATTGCTGGACGCTGATTTGTCGTCAAGTATCACTGCTGACGCCCTGAATGAAGCCGCTTCAGGTATTCAGGCTGAGCAGAGTGAGGCCATGGTATCCAATCTGTATACTGAAGCTACCTTGCGCCTCTACCAGCTGGCAGCAAGCCTGCTCAGTGACACTTTTGAATTCGATGGTGTCAGGATTCATGAAGTAGATCAATTTGGAAGTTACACCAACCACAATCCAGATTGGAATGGATCCAAGATTCTAGCACAGCATCTTGGGCCTATGGAGCAGCCGCCTATAGATCCATCACAAGCCTTGCTTGAGAGACTGCTGGACATGTTTCCGCAAGGCTGTATCATTCAGATGTTGGAAGGTCCAGACAGCATTGTTGCCGCTACAAACGCGGGCAAAGTAGTGCTTGTGATAGACCAGCTCATCTCCACTGAACTACCTCAAATTTTTCCAAACGCCAAGCAGATAATTGTAATGCCCTTGTGGGACACACATCGCGAGCGTAATATTGGGGCGGTACTAGGCTTTGCGAACGATCAGTCCAGGGTGTACCTAGGATCAACGGATCTTTGGTCCATCTCTGCGCTCTGCACAACGCTCATGACACAGGTGCGCCGTCTCGAAGTGCAAGCCATGGATAAAATCAAGTCTGATTTTCTTGGCTCCATGTCCCACGAAATGCGGACGCCTCTGCACGGAATCCTTTCTGCACTTGAACTTCTCTCCGACACGCCTTATAACGCTGATCAACGCGATCTCCTCGAAACAGCTCGGTACAGCGGCATTTCACTGCTCAACACGATTGAGCATGTATTACATTTCAGCAAGATCAGCTCCACTGCGCGGGTTCTAGATGAGACACGCTCGAATGGGTCGAGTATGTGGAGTCCGCAGCAATCTAGCCCTAGATATACCCAGACGGCGGTTATCCCCACCAAGAAGCACACATCGAAGATTATCAACGTGTGCGAAGAAGCATTTCAACAAGAGGCGCGAAGCCTCCGCCTCAAAGATGCTATGCAGTCTCAGTTTTCTAGCCCCAATCAGCGCTTCTATAGCCGTGCATCATCACCTTCGCCATCGGTACGCTCAAATGGAACGAATCATCACCCTGTTATATTGTTCGACACGAATGTTGCTTTATCCTGCGTCCTTACAGCTGTTGCTAGCTTCCGGGCAGTTTTCACACATTTGCTAGTAAGAATGGCGCATTACGCGTTCCTGCTGTATGTAAGCTGACAGGCGTAAAGAACAATGCCATAAAATTCAACTGTCATACAGGGTGCGTCCGCGTGTCTCTGGACGTCGATGGAACGTCCTGCACGCTTTGCTTTACCGATGCGGGTAAAGGGATTAACCCGGACTTTCTTCGCCATTCCATCTTTGATGCGTTTTCGCAGGAAGATCCTCTGGTTGAGGGAACAGGACTCGGGCTTTCTATAGTCAAGCGAACAGTTACTGCGCTGGGCGGTCAACTTGATGTCGACTCAAAGGAAACACGTGGCTCTACTTTTACGGTGAAGTTCCCTTCACAGCGGGTGGTTTTTGATCCGAGTCACGTGCTGGAACTTGGAGGCAGCAGCCTACCTGAGCTCCAGCTAAGCGTGTTCGCGCCAAGCAGATGGACATCAGAAGGCGGAACGAGGGGCTATCGGTGTACCGAAATGCTTTTGGCGTCGCTTACCCGAAGTCTGAGTCGATGGTTCCAGGTCACAGTAACACCTTGGGAGTCCTCCAGCACGGACTTGCGGCTGCTGATTGTCTTAGAAGAAGACTTGGCCGACGCAAAACGAACGTATGGGGATGCATTTGATCACGCCCGATGCATTGTGCTTTGTCCGGACCTTCAGGCTTCCCCCACCCCGGGTATATCACCTTTGGAGGGCATCACTGCTATCATTGGCCCGGTCACGCTGTCCAACCTCCAGGATGCGTTGGCATGTTTGTTTCCGGACTTGATTACGGTTTCAGACCCCCACGATGACGTTGAGCCATTGCGCGGCTCGATAGGAGATTCAATTGAAACAACGTTGGTTAGAGGAAGACAGAGAGAGGAGGAGAACAACATAACGCCTGGAGATGGATTGTCCCAGGGGATGTATACGATAAGGGAAGCACCTTATCAGGGGAATGATACTATAGATGAAGTACCGTTGGAGGCAGTATCAAAAACAGGCTCCACAGAGCCACTGGATATACTAACGGCTGATGGAGCTGCGAAGTTACCCATCAACCATGTGGATGGGAATGCGCAGACAAAGGAGTTGGTAGTGCCAACGCCCCCATTGCCGCCAGAACCCAATCCGAGAGAGCCAAAGCTGCTACTGGTGGACGACAACCCGGTAAATCTTAAAGTACTGGGAATGTACGCACGAAAGTGCAGCAAGACGGCAGCAAAGTCTGTTGATGGGGGGCAGAAAGCGATTGACGCGTTCAAGGCCGCGTTCTTTGACGAGGACAACACTGCGCAGCATTTTGACCTCATCTTCCTCGACTTGTCCATGCCCGAGGTTTCAGGATTCGATGTTGCGAGGCAGATACGTGAGACTGAGGCCAAGTGGGAAAGTCGGTCTCGGGTTTACATATGTGCGCTTACGGGGCTGTCGAGCGACAAGGACCGGAACGCTGCTTATGCATCGGGCGTGGATCAATATCTAGTCAAGCCAGCACGGCTGGATGATCTGCAGTGGGTTGTAGGGAGATGGCGAGATAGTCTAGCTCCCAAGTAAATGGTACCGAGACTATGCTGTGCCCATGATGTTCTTGTTACACTTCCACTTTGATGTTGTCGGCGTTTGTTCTCGGCCGACCACCCTTCCCCCTGTCATGCCTCCAACCTTCTCTATCAAGATAAGACAGGGCACAAACTCACACAGTATATTCCCTTTGAACTTTGAAACCCCCATCAGCCAAATGGAGACGGGAAAACAATAAACTCCGATGCCGATGACTATCAGGAGTAGGCCGCGGACTTGGACAGCAAGTATGCTAGTGGGGGTGGAACTGGAGACGCATGAAATATGGCAACGTCATGACGAATATTTACAGCGAATCCTCCACAGTCACGCCCTTGCACGCCATCCTCCAAGCGAGCGCTAGTGGACGTAATGTCACGGACAAGATATCAACATTCACATCCGTTGTGCTTTCCCATCCTTCTTTGTTCCCCGTAACGCGACCCGCTCTGGGCTGTACGTGAGGCGTTCTATTCTTGGTAAGCTGAACTGCGCATTGTACCGACGCCGAAGGGCGAAGAGCGAAGACCACTGCGCCCAGTTGCTTTTTGCACTACTCGACCGCGTCGTGTCCTTTGTAATTCCGCCTATCGCTCCATGGACAGCAAGGAGCTAACAGAAGAAGCAGTTGAGCTCCAGCAATGCGCACGCCGTCGTAACCCAAATACCGCCCCGCAACAATACCCCGGATCCCCACCACAAGCGGAGTCGACGTCTGAACCAGAACAGTTTGAACACGACACTCTGTTCGACATGGCTGCGACTACGGATTCTGCATTTGTCGAGGATGTCGATATCGAGCGTGAGCTCGAAGCCCGCGTGAGGGGTTCAAGCCAGTCGCATAAGTCAGGGGCAACTTCGCCCGGCCCCAATAGCGACAACGAAGACGCGCCCCTCCTACGCGCCTCTGGAGACGATGACTATGGAAGCGCCCACGGTGACGAGCGTAATGATAGCGAGGAAGAATGGGATGGAGACGCAGACTTTCGAGGCCTTCCCTGGTGGAAGCGACCTTCGGTAGGCGCATTGAGACTCGCGCATCACAACGATGACGGCTGACAGGCACAGATTTACTGGCTCCTGCCCCCGTTCCTGCTCTTTACTATAGCATTCGGCGGTATTATCGTGCCTAAGATCAACCTCATCATGGACCTAGTTTGTGAGGACTACTACGCTACACTACAGACCGATCCGATATCCTCGCCCATGGACCCAGGCCAAGACCGCTGTCAAAACGACGTTATTTCATCCCGCTCCTCGCTCTTCCTTTTATACGCCAGCTTATGCTCTGGTCTGCTATCAGCGGTTATCAGCCCAAAGATTGGTGCCCTTTCTGACAGATATGGACGTAAGAAGTTTATGATTGCCAACACGTGCGGCACCCTCTTTGGCGAAATCATCACCATCCTCGCTGCCAAGTTCCCGGAAACCGTACATGTCAACTGGATCCTTGTTGGATATTGTTTGGAAGGCATATCTGGATCTTTCATCGTGGGCATGGCTTGCGCGCATTCGTATGCATCCGACGTGGTTGCGCCTCAGAGGCGAAACGTAGCTTTCTCGTACTTCCATGCATGTCTGTTTGGTGGCATTGCTATCGGACCTGTTCTCGCTGGGTACATCATCAATGCGCGGGAGAAGCTTGTGGGAAAGACAGAAGCTGTGCTTCTCATCTTCTACATGGCTCTGGGTGCGCATTTGTTCTTTATTGCTTTCCTTGCCTTTCTGGTCCCTGAGTCGCTGAGTAAAGCACGACAGGAGGCTGCTCGCGAGAAATACCAGGAGGAGATTGAAAGACATGAACCAGCAGCCGACTGGATCAACCAGCTACGTTCTGTCAACCTCTTCGGCCCACTCAAGATCCTCTGGCCTACTGGTCCTGGCACTTCATCTGCCGTGCGCTGGAACCTCGTTCTGCTTGCTGCCACAGATACCATCATGTTCGGTGTCGCCATGGGTGCCATGAGCGTCGTGCTAGTCTACACCCGCCGCCAATTCGACTGGCATGAATTCGAATCCGGGCGCTTCACCACAATCGTCAACAGCTGTCGCGTCTTCTCTCTCCTCGTCATCCTACCCGTCCTCACCCGCATTTTCCGCGGCAAAAACGGTGCTGCTCGCACCCGTAGCTCTGGCTCCGACCTCTTTGATCTCTCCATCATCCGCGCTGCTATCTTCTTTGATATGATGGGATATCTCGGTTTCGCGCTTGTACGCAAGGGCGAGCTGTTTGCACTTTCTGGCGCTCTGGCTTCCATCGGTGGTATCGGATCGCCGTCGCTGGGTGCGGCGTTGACGAAACATGTGCCGCAAGATCAAGTTGGTCAGTTGCTCGGTGCTACGGGCTTGCTTCACGCTGTTGCGCGTGTTATGGGACCTACTATTTTCAATGGTATATACAGTGCGACGGTTGGGACGTATAGGCAGACGGTGTTTGTGTCGCTTGCGGCTACGTTCGGGCTTGCGTTCTTGTGTAGTTGGTTTATTCGACCACATAGTAAGTCGCTATCCTGAAGACCCTGTAATCTACTGAGTTATACTGACTGTCTTGCAGTACATATCGGTGAGGAGAAGAGGCGCGATGCGAGGACTGAAGAACCGGAGATCTAGTCCTTTTCTTTGTCAATGCGGTATTCCTTCTTGCAGAGCACTTCTCTCTGGCACTTAGAACGTACCTGGACCCATATGTCCTCTTATTCTTTTTTTTCCATATGCTATCAATATTGCGGCTTCATTTCATATTAGGAAAGATAGCATGGTAGAGTAATCTCTATCTTCGTTGTAGATCTGGATTCATGTATACTTTTTGGAATATTCCGGAGGCATTTCGCTCATCCTGGGGACTAAGATTTCGGTACTGGATATACGTCTAAGGCTAGGTTGAACTAGATTTCATATCATCAATTCAACAGGTGATTGAATAGGGCCCCTTTAGATATATGCCGGCTTTGTAGTTTCTGCAACTTGACTCGTGTCCCCCAGCCATTGCTCCCAGAGCTAATTTAAAGCATGTCCATGCTAATATTAAAATCCCATGTTTAGACCCTAGATGCTGGAAATGCACCAGCGTAAAGACGAAACTCCAGACTAGAGCTTACCTAAGGAGCGGTCCTCGGCCCGCTAGCTAAACTCACGGGCCTACTTATTATCTACGTCAGCTTCCACGTTGCATCTTCTGGTGCCAATTGGCTGGCGCGCAACCCGCAATTGGCATCTTCCCTTTCTTACTCGCATTACTGAACCCTTAAAACAACACTCGTCTGCCCACATGCCACACGTTTAAAGGCTACATTCGCTTTTTCTTTTTTGTTGCGTTTGTCACTCAATGTCCTCGGCTTTTCTGTAACGCGCGCAACCCTTGTATTGCCCTCGTGAGGGCGCGCATTTCCTCCAAGTCCCCAATCTCCCTCCCCGCTCTCTACAACAACCATGTCGAAAGAGAACCGCGCTTTTGATACGGACGCGTTTGGTACTGGGTATGGCTTCGAATCGCATCCTAGGCAGTTTGTTGAAATGCCACCTACATGGGTGCTTTGTGTCGGGCTGGGCTTCTTGATAGGCGCACTTGGTTTCTGGGTAAGATATACACGCGCACGTTGGTACAGAATTCGAGGTACATGTTGCTGACTTGGTGTGCTATGGTGAATAGGTTTACGTAGCACTAAATCTACTTGCGCCAACTCCACGTCCACCACGCCGATCTGAGAAACAATACGTCACGATACTGCCCGACGGGGCGCGAAGCGATCCCAAGGAATTGCCGTGTTGGCTGGACAAATGGGCCGCAGAGAAAGAAGCAGCGAAAAGGAAAGCAACAAAAGAGCCGGGCAGCAAGGTTGTTATCCCACCGCAAATGCCGATTGAGGAGGCCGAACTATTCATGAGTGTCGTGGTACCTGCATACAATGAAGAAGACCGTCTAGAAGGCATGCTAGAAGAAGCCGTCCAATTCCTTGAGAGCGAATACGGTGACGCGCACGCCGGCGAAAAAGGCAGCAAAGCCCAAAAAGGCTGGGAGATATTGATTGTCAGCGATGGAAGCAAAGACAAAACCGTCGACGTGGCTCTCAACTTCGCAAAAGAGCACCAACTCAGCCAGCACCCAAAACCCAAACCTGGCCCATGGTCCTCTGATAGCGCAAACGCAACTACTCAGCATTCCACCCACATCCCCCATGGCAGCATCCGCGTTATCACCCTCGAGCAAAACAGAGGCAAAGGCGGCGCCGTAACCCACGGCATGCGCCACGTCCGCGGCCACTACATCGTCTTCGCCGACGCCGACGGTGCAAGCCGCTTCTCTGACCTCGGTGCCCTCGTTCAAGGCTGCCAGAAAATCGAAGACAAGCATGGTCGTGGCGTAGCAATCGGGTCTCGCGCCCACCTCGTCGGCAGCGAGGCTGTCGTCAAGCGCTCCAAGCTCCGCAATTTCCTCATGCACGCTTTTCACCTCTTGCTACGCATCATGACGCCTCCAGCTACCGCGCGCATTCGCGATACGCAGTGTGGGTTTAAGCTTTTTTCGAGGCCCGCGCTGCCGTATATTATCCCGTATATGCATTCTGAAGGGTGGATTTTCGATGTTGAAATGCTCATGTTGGCTGAGAGTGCGGATATTGCTATGATTGAGGTGGCCATCGGGTGGAAGGAAGTCATGGGGAGTAAACTGAATGTTGTGTGGGATAGTTTGGGTATGGCGTGGGGTCTTGCGCTGTTGAGGGCGTGTTGGATAGCGGGGATTTATCGGAGAGATTAAAGTACGTATATAGGATCTGGGATTCCAAGAAAAAGAGAAATAGAGATTTTTTTTATCAAACGTTGATAGTGTACATGATGGGTTTGGATATGTGGGATTTGCTCAGTCAAATTTTGCTATCCAGCCATCGCCTACTCTTTCCCCTTTTGCGTCTACTCCACCCCAGAATACGACACTGCTACCACCTTCCATCACGTCTGCGCCAAAGAAAGCTCGTGGACCGGGGTGCAGCTTTCCATCCTCGTCTAGTTGCTTGTCTGACGGAAGCTGCACCACTGCTTCTGCCCATGAGAGATGGCCGGTCTCAGCACCTACAGCAGATCTGATAGCATCCTTGAGTTTTGCAGGGTTGATTGCATTTTTAAGTGTCATAGATGCTTTTGGCTCCAAGTCGCTCGACGGGATCTGGAGGGCCCATGTATCACTAAACTGCGTTACTTGACCCGCATCTTTAGGATCTTCTGGGTCTAGGACCTGGGTTTCTGAATCAGAGTCACCTCGGACTCCAAAGAGGTAAACGAGGTAATTACGGCCCCAGCCAGTTGTGACGGGAAGCAGAGCGCCGTCGTGTCTTGCTCGCGGTCCTGGTGCAAGGGGGTTGGTCGGGAAGGTAAAGGACTCCCACTTCTTTTCCTCGCTTGGAGAGTTGATACTGATGTGATGAAGTTGGCTACTCATCGGGTCGTTACCAGATATCAACCATAGCTGTCTGTTTGCCAGCGATGCGTTCGACGTCGCTACCGGCGCCGTGGGGAGCTGTGTCCAGTAACGGGCTGCAATGTCGAACTGCCAGAGGTCTGATGCATGATCACCGGAGCCGTCGATTCCACCAAAGAGTATCACATACTGATCGTTTGTGAATAGGTTTGCGTTTCGACGTGGTCCTGGGCCAATGGTGCCGGTATCGACATCCCCTTTGGACGGTTCAAGGAGATCCCAGGTCTTCCTTTCAGGACCAAAAAGCCAGATGGAAGATTTCTCGTCAATAAGAGTTCCATTTGAATCGCTGCCACCATAGACAGCAATGTTTCCATGGAAAGCACAGGCTGCGTGGTTGGATCTTGCCGGGGGTGTCTGCTGATTCTCGGATATTGCCAACGCGGGAATCATACTGTAGTCCATTTCCGGCTTTCCAGAACGCTCGATAGTAATCACATGAACATCGTTACTCGCAAGAACATTACTTGCAGTGTCGCCACCGAATAGGTAGGCCTTGTTGCCAATCACTGTAACTGTGTGGTTGGAGCGGGCCAGGGAGCGTCTGTAGGTCAGTTTGGCTGCATTAAATGAGTGGCTAAAGTACATACGCTGATGGATCGCCTGTTGCCGTAGCTATGCGTGTGAATGCCACCTTTATAGGTAGTGTTGGCTTGGAGACAAGATAGGCCGCGTAGCCTGCTTCTGCTGTATGCTCGACGACTTCTGCTGCTACCCACGCCCCTGCTGCTACTTCGGCCATTGTGCTGCTTAGATTCAACGTTGCTGTAGGATCAAGTACAGGAAATCGAAAAATTGAATCCGGCGTCAAAGATAAGAGATAGTGACGCGGTGGAAGGCGTTGAGAGGTGCGAGGACTAATGCAGGTACGCGATGGGCATGACGTCAATAGCCCCATGGTAAGTGCATCTGTGGTCTCTGGACACGCGAACAGCTGGTCTGCGTTGGAATATAGAAACATAGATTATGTTTTACGTGGTAATAATTGGAGAGATCACGAACTAGCAGTCGAATGAGCCCTGACAACACGCTCAGTATCCATGAGCATGGTCGAGCCAGACAGTAGTGTCACTGCCCAGGGGCTTCGGCATAATCTCCCAACCAATTTCTACGTTCTCGATCTTCGCAGTGTCTGACGGCTCTCAGTGTACCAAAGGCTGTCTCTCTAGACTCCAGGTATCTCTCGACGTCTTGCGGGTTCTTAAAGTCTTTGCGATCAAACCCGCTCTTGCCTTCATAGCGCCCCAAAGACCGTAAATACTTCATGACGCCGGCCAATGACACCTTGACTTCATGAATATCTCCATCGGTAGCACGCTTATACAGTGCTGTGATGATACCAGAAGCTAGGAGGTATCCTGCACCGTGGTCCAAAGCTTGACAGGGTAGCACACGTGCCGGCTCATTATCACCACACCTTTGTGCTTCTGCAACGTTGATACCAGAGCAAGTTTGAACGAGCGAATCAAAACCACGATTCTGGCTCCAGGGGCCATTGGGACCGTAAGCATCTAGGCTTGCTACAATCAGGTTGGGATTTACTTTGCGAAGCTCCTCTACAGAGAGTCCCTTTGAGGCAAGAGTCCCGGGACGATAACTCTGGATGAAAACATCGGCTGTTGAAAGCAGATCCAAGAGCTTTACTTTGTCTTCGCTCTTCTCGATATTGAGCTGTACTGTACGTTTTCCACGCGAAAGATCAATATCTAGATCTGGAAGAGCAGGTAAAGATGGCGATGTGATCCAGATTACGTCTGCCCCGTGTGCGGCTAGTGTCTTGCCTGCAACAGGCGCGGCTATGACTCGACTCATCTCAACCACGCGAATGCCTCCTAAACATTTGTTGCCTCCAACTGCAGATGGGACCGATGGCATATAAGGCGTGACATGAGAAGCCTTCGTCATCAGGATGGGAAAGTCCGCAATAGCTTGGGCTTGTGGTAATGCATCCCATTCTTCAAAAGATCGCAGTGCAGCGATGACAGCTCCTCGCCGGAAAGCTTCATCTTCTAATTGGACAGCCTCCCATTTCATGACCTCTTTTCCAACATCATCTTTAGAAGCATCAAGATCTAGCCCTAGGATCTGCAGCACGTTCCGACGTGTATTTGGAAATGAGTCATGTATTCTCACATACCCGTCGGAAGCTTTATGTAATCCACCAATTGTGCCCCACGGCGGAGAAGCAATTTTTCCATCAAGTGTATAGAGCCTTTCGGATTTAAACTCGATACACGCATGCTCGGCTGGAACGGTCACGAGTGGTATCACGTTTGCATGCCTGACAGACCAGTAGAGAGCTGCTGCAAGTGCAGATACGGCGATGGCAGACTGTGCAAGGATGTCCACTTTGAAAGAAGAAAGAAGGCATTCAGAATCGACCGGCAGTTTGAGTGACTCCAAAGCATTGTCTGGTAGACCAAGCTGTTGCCAAATATACACAACCGAGTCATGGGCGGAGAATGTTGAGCGATCCATTGGCGCTGGTATAGGATTGAGGCGAGAAGAAGCGACAACGGAGGAAGAGTCTTGAGTCCCGAGGTGGTAATGTCTTCCCACTTTTATAGATATTCAACTGGATGAAACTGCTATATCAAGATAGGAAGAGTCAAATAAGAGTCACGATGCTCCGTGTGACTACAAACATCACTGGATTGGCGAGTGTCGTTATGTAAGCAACCAGTAGTGTATTTTCCCCAGTTTTCAGCACCAATTCCTTCTCTCATTTCACTTCATATAAGTCTAGTGTATTTGAATTTGCATTCATTGAAAATAGCTAGAGTTCCAAAATATTCCTTCGCATCATGGCAGTCGTCGCGCTTGGCTGAACCCATGTTCCGTCTAGGATGGCGTGACATCATCCTTGCGAGCGAGATACCGAGAGCCCGAAGAGCGGGTAGCCGAATCAACGAGTTCGATATGACTTTACTTAAATTCAGCCTCTCGACATGCCTCTTGCCTGCAATGAAAACAACTCCGTACGATGAGTCACATTTTGAATATGCTCGCATTTAGTGCATTTGGTGCAACCTCTTTAGTACATTTATCAAACTCCAAAAAACTATCTAAGCAGGGCGGACTGTTACTAACTGTTCACAGGTTCTGTTCAAGGTACTCTATAACATCTTCCTACATCCCCTCCGACACTACCCAGGACCAAAATGGTGGGCTGCCACTCGCCTCACCTGGTCCCATTCCTTGCAATCAGGGACGTACCACCTTAAGCTCGCCCAATTTCACAAGCAATATGGCCCAGTGGTGCGAGTTGCTCCCGATGAGCTGTCTTATATCGATCCCGAAGCCTGGAAGGACATCTACGGTAACCGCAACATTCCAAAGAACCGGGTGTGGGCTGGCCAAGAAGAAGAATATCGTCCTATTAGTATCGTCAGTACGGATGAAGCAACTCATTTGCGGAACCGCAGAGCACTTGCTGGAGCATTCACCGAGCATGCGATCACCGAACATGCACCTTTGCTCGAAGGACTTGTTGAGACCATGATGCAGAAGTTCGCCGAAGCAGCCAAGCAGGGCGACAGATCCGCTATTGTAGATTTCACAGATTGGTTCAACTGGCTGACCTTCGACATCTCGGGCGTCCTCTCCTTCGGCGAGTCCTTTGGAAGCGTAGCAGCCGGGCGTGCACACCCCTGGGTTGAAATCAGTTGCAGTTTCGGCAAAGGCATTGCGCTCATGGCTTCTATCAATTTCTTTCGCCCGCTGGATAAATTGCTGAAGCTCGCTATGCCAAGGGGGGTCATGGAAAAGATGAAATATCATAAGGAACTGGCTCATGCGAAGTTCATGCAGCGTCTCGCGATGGAGCATAAGGAGAAGGCGCAAGACTATGTGGGCTCGATCCTGGCGTATAATCAAGAGAAGGGTGAGACGAAGATTTCAGATGAGGAGATTGAAATGAACATGACTGTGCTTATTTTTGCGGGGAGCGAGACTACGAGCACTTCGCTGACGGCGATACTTACCCAGCTTCTGCAAAACCGAGCGGCCCTAACGAAAGTCGTAACAGAGGTTCGTGAGAATTTCACGAAAGAAGAAGACATCAACATTGCCAGTATGGGGAAGCTGGCATATCTCGATGCCGTGATCCAAGAGGGCATCCGAATGGGCCCTCCAGTAGCCGTGGGTTTACCTCGCATCACCCCGAAAGAAGGCGAAATCATCTATGGCCAATACGTACCAGGCAATGTGAGTTCCTCCAACAACACCACATGACATCTAATCACTGACACAGCGTAGACTTTCATCTCTGTGAACCAATACCCAACATTTCGGTCCGCCCTGAACTTCACCGACCCCGATCTATTCGTTCCAGAACGCTTTCTACCAAACTCGCCGTATCCCTCCGATCGCATCGATGCGTTCGTGCCGTTCCTGCTCGGACGGCATAAGTGCATGGGGCAAAAGCTCGCTTGGGCAATCATGCGGCTGACGTTGGCACAGCTGTTTTTCAAATTTGATCTAGAGGCAGCTGGGCAGGTTGATGATTTTGGGTTACAGAATAATTATATGTTCTGGGAGAAGAGAGCGCTCAAGGTGAAGATACGGCCCAGAGGAGGGCTAGAGTAGTTTGGTCGGTGGAAGTGGCTGGCTGAGGTGTTTATATTCTGCGGCGTGATGGTTTTCCGATATGGAATTAGGGTCCTGTGAGAATGCGTTCGAACTCTAATCTAGAAGCATCACATTTTATATCGTGGTAGGATAATATATCGTGCTCCAAGATATGAAGATGGGACCCGTAGTTGAGGGAGATGATTGCTGAAAAGTAAATGCAGAGGAGGAATCGATTAGGAGGGAAGTCTATCTGCGCCGCATAGCAACTCTGATTTCTATCCATAACCTGATTACTTGCTACTATACCACAATATAATATCGATCTTGGGTTGCGGTATGATGTTTTCATAGCCGATATCTTTTCTTCAGGATGAATTCGATCAATCACCGCCTTAGCAGCAGAATGGCTGATTCCAGACATTAACATCCCTCTAAATCACAGTCCAAAAATTGTATTTCTGTACTTATGTTGCATGATTTCCCAGCCGGGAGTCTGCAGCCAGCTGGACACGAGCAGGAAGTCCCAGAACCCGCAGGAAGGCTGCAACAGCTAGGAAAAGTCCGTCTATTGACTAGAGTGCCTTCTTCGTATCTGGTCAAGAATCTGTCTCCGTGTTGAATCAGGAGTGCGGTAGAAGTGGCATAGAGGACGGGAAGGATGACGAAGAGCTTTATGATGGGTGGTTGGGTAAGCGTCTGAGTAAGCGTTTGTTAAGGGAAGATGGGGTGTTGTTATGTGGTTTTGGAAAAGTTCGGGGCATGCGTCAATGTGTATATATGGGACATCGGTAGCTTGAGGGAATATTTCCGGGTGACAAAGAGAAAAATTCCGTGCAATACCGCCTCTGGCATGAGCGCAGTGTATGTATAGTCTCAGTGGATCACAAATAGGCGGTAAGGCACCGTAGCTATCAATCTTATCGGTGGATTGGACCGTGGACGTCTTAACAACTCCCTTGATACGCTAATTGGCCTAGCTAATTCTCCGATTAAAGTTGAGTTAATGTAATATCATTCTTGTCGGCACTTTGCACATGTAAGATCATTGCTGAGCTTACCCTTGGGTCTGTTGCACTGACATAGGTTACTTGACCCCATAATTTCCACAGACTAGATAGTTATCAAACAATTTTCTATCTGGAGTCTCTCAAGAAGTGTAGAAAGATTTCTCCTCACTTTAACACCTTTGTATCGCAGCGAAAAAGATAGATATACTTTTTAAGGCCTTGTGAAATAAAGGAATATTGGAATAGACTATCTAAACGAGATTAGATACGAGGCTAAAGTTATATTGCTGCACAAACATAAGAACTAGAGGCATTGTCAAATAACGCAAATCAACGGGGTCTAATAACATTTGCCTGTCGCATTATGTAGACGAATTCAATTTGTTCGGAACAGGATCGAGATGAGAAGCGGTAAGGCAGATTATCCAATGGGATCTATCAGCGATGTGAAAAGAAAACATACTTATGCTTCCATTTTCTTGCCTTCGATAAGTTTTGATGAATTTCCTTCACAACGCTACAAAGATTTGGTTTTTGGGCTGTGATCCAAAAACGACCCTAAGCCATGAAAAACGCGGCCCTGATGTGCCCAGACAACTCTCATTGATCTACAACCAGTAATATCGGGAGGAAAGGCGAGAAAAAGGGGATTTATAAATATACTCGATAATCAGATGGACTACGTGGTAGGCTGCCGATTCGAAACCTGGTACGGGGAAATGCCTGAACTAAGAAAAGCAGCGGAAACAGACATGTGGTCAAAACATATAACGATGGATCTGGTGGAGCTGCTGAGCAGCTGAGCAGAGTATAGGATGTCCGCCAAAGCTAACGAAACGCTGACATCGCCGGATGGAAAAAAGGACGAGCTTATACCTCAGAATCAAACGCTGTGTATCCCAATGGGATGTGAAATACCCTGCCGATAATGTTTTTGCAGCAAAATTTGCCGTTGGATCTATCGTTAACAATAAACATTTAGTGAAATTGTTGTACAGATGTCACAATAGATGCGATACTATACCTTCACCATCGCAACATCCATCCAGTGAAAATAGCTGTTTTGTTCTGAGATAATGGGCCCAGTAGCTGGTCATGTGGTCTGCTTGCGTGAACGTTAACGCTGTTTCAACATGCCCTATAGATAGGCTAGTGACATCCACTTCATTGAACAGCCAGCCCTTGCATACTACGCTTGTCTTTGCCCTCAGTATCACTGCCACACGAACGATTTCAAGCTCAGATCTGATCATTATAGGAATATGTAACGCCCATGTAAGCCATGCACGACATTGCAAGACTTTCAGCAACTTTGGAACCAAGACTGGTGTGCTGAACAGCTAATGCGATGTCTGGGATAGTATGTGAGAGTCGATCAGTGCGCCGATGGAATCGTTAACACCACGATCCGCAGTATTATCAGACTCGGACTTTCGAGGTCCCGGCTGTGTTCAAGGTAGAGGAAAATAGGTCCGGTAACGGTAATTCGGGCGACCTTGTCGCTATCAGAAAAAAAACGAGAAGCCCAGGTATGTGTACTGTGGACGCGAGGCTTTGGGCTCGATGGAGAAGGGTGAAAGAAGGCAAGCAATTGCTACGAGACACTCGCTAGGTATTAGTTAGGTGCGCGATAGTGAACTTGTGGGGTGGGGATATGGTATTTTATACTGTGTCTGGATCTATGGTGGGGTTCTGGTACGCCACCAGTTACGCCACCAGGCAATCAGGCAACAAAGCAGTAAAGTAGGCAAAGAAGGCAACCGAGGACCAGAAGAAGCACAGCCGAGCTGTGGGGGCTAACCGCCATATCCCATGCTATCGGTATTTGGACAATTTAAACTACTGGCTATTGGTCCGGGAAGTTTAAGAATTAGCAACAAGCTACCGTTCAGCGAAGATACCATTTCGATTGACCATTCACAAGTCCGAACTGATCGTTTGAGCCACGCGACAAGCCTTCCGAAGCATGTAGCTTTACTCAAATGTCTTCCACATCACCATGTTATAGTGGGTCCTTACACATTCTGTAGGGCATTCGCAGAGGTAGGCGCAGACCCCCATCGACGACACGGGAGGAAGATGTGGCTTGTAATCATCTCTCTTATGGTCTATGTCACGGATCTCAACGCGTGTCCAGTTTAGTCTCAGCCCACACGATGCCTGCTCTGGAGCCGTTATAAGTAGTCTGTCTTTCCTCTTGTTGAAATTGCACATGAGTTTAGAGCTCATACAAGCCTTGTTCACCTCCCGTTCTACCGTCCACGGAAAATTCTCGAGTCACATCTTTGAATCCAACCAAGATGGCGACACAAACCTTTCACGAAGACATCACCTATCCGTGAGTCTAGTCTTCCTTCCTACTCGTACCAGTATCGTCCAGTACTGCATACTATCTGTTCAACTTTGAATTACTTGAAAGGTGTCTTTGTTGAAAAGTGGTTGTGTTGAAAAAAGCAGATACGGTATACATATTTGGCCAGATTATGATAACATTTCTTGTAGTACTACACTGCACACGGACGATGACGAGGATGTCGTGGTAGTTCTGATGCAACCAATCACATATCAGCCCACAACGCCGGCCGCTCCCACCACTCCACCAAAGCCCCACCAGGCTGTTTCCCATCAGCTCACAAGCGACAACTTAGCAATGCAAGACAATGGCTTCGACACTATCTTGGATGCCGCCCAAAAGGCTGCTAAAGCATTGGATTTACAGCGAGCAGGCAATGAGCTGGGCTTCCATCTCCGGCTTCAACACTACGCTAACGATTGGGTTGATCTCAATGGTTGGACCACACAACAAGCGCGATGATTCTTGACTTCATTTCTCCAGTGCAGCTAGCTGCTCTTTATCGTACTTAGATACCAAATGCATTAAGTATACAGCGCCCTTGTAGGGTTTTACTCAGATCAATGATTGGACACGGAACTCTATGCACCGATGACGCGCACAGATGCTAGGCGCGCTGCTGCACCCAGAACCTGCCGAGATACTAACCAGGCCCAAATAATGTTGCCAATCCATAAACCAAGTTGTATTCCTGAATTGAAATTTTTTTCGTCTTTTTGAATAGCTCTACAAAAAGCTGCCAACTGGGCTAACACATGTATAACTAATACACACCGAAACTTGTAGCTAAGTTAATCTCTCTGATCTGTGCCGTGCTGTTCCGTGGTACTGTTCGGTACGTGTATTTGCGACGCGCTAAGAAAAACTCATCACTCCTTCTTTCCCATCTTCACAAGACTGTTCAAGCCAGACTTGGTGCAAATGGTACATCGTCCTTTCAACATTCTGACTAGTCTTAGAGGCTACGCACATCTATCAAAATGGTCCGGTTTGGAACCTGATCAGCGTTGATAACTGCTCTTGGGTGGGTCTCTGGTCACGCCATCAGGAGAGCTCCTCACGACCATGTTCTGCATGAAGAATGCGACGAGCACTTGGGTTTGAGCAAGAGAGATAGGTTGCATCAAGATACTCCCCTTTTGGTCAAAATTGCTCTCCAAAAATCCAACTTGAGCTGGGCTGAATTATGGCTTAATGAAGTCGCGTCTCCTCAGTTCCAAAATTTCGGCAGGGTTAGTTTTCAGTCGGGTAAAAATGCAGAAGTCAGCGAAGGGTTTAGCCACTAATACTTCTTACTCTGCAGTACTGGGCTGCGAAACAAGTCATTGAAGCATTCATGCCCCCTCAGCACGCAGTGGACTCTGCGATTGACTGGCTACAGTCTTCAGGAATTCATCGCGACAATGTGACACATTCCGACGACAAACAGTGGCTTGTTTTCCCTTACTCAACTCAACAGGCAGAAGACTTACTGCTAGATTCTCTCCGTCGGCGGCTCGATGATTGAGGCTAATCAAATTGAACTTGACGTCAAAGTCGCATGGCAAACTGGGCCCGCGGGGAACCAGATGTGGAAGGGCTCGTTTTCTAGTAGCTCAGGCTTTTCGCAGTTTTTTGAACTGCCAACGTTATCAACAGAATGCTGTAGATCACTACCTGGAGCACTATGACCCAGAGTATTCATTATGGTAGGGTCATAATTTCGATAATACGAAGCCAGGGCTGTACAATTGCGTGGGAAGGGCGCATCCTGACATAGCAGCTAACGCTGGTCCGGTACGTTGGAAAAACCCCCATCCATCTTCTCGCTCCACGGCAGAATACACGTTACTAACCGATCAACAGATTCCCGAATGGTTAGCCGGGCAACGAATTTAAGATGGCGGAATCAGCGTGTCCGTGATGCTCGTGGGTGTGATGCTCGTGGGTGTGATGCTCGCGCGTATCGTCGATGAGCGGAAGAAGCTTCGGAAGGAGCCTATTGGTGTTCTTCATTACGTGCTGTATAGTAACCTTCAGGTTTTTAAAGACGTTGTTAGCGGAGGTAATCCTGGGTGTGGGACGCAAGGGTTTCCGGCGGCACCGGGGTGGGATCTCCCGACAGGGCTGGGGGTTCTGGATTATCAGAAGCTGCTTGAGCTTTATTTGTCGTTGCCGTATGAGAGTGTGGCGAAGGGAGATAAATGCATTGTTACGACTAGATTTTGCCTTATGTTAATCATACTGTGTAAATAAGTAGGAGTAAGAGAGAAACGAATGATGGCGATAGGCAACACGGGAACTTGTGTGTAAAATTCCTTCGAATGTATGCGAATCGATATTAAGCTATTAATGAATCTTTTCCTTGATGGCACCAACAACACTCTTCAAGCCGCTCAGCCTCGCCTCCTTGGTCTCACCCAAGTAGAGACTAGCAACGGGCCATGCGTGTATCCCGCCTTTTTCTTCCCAAGTATCCACCTCCTTCCCCGTCTTCTCCAGTAGTGCGATTAGATTCCTTGTTTCTAGCCCGAGAACCTCCTCGCTACCGTACAAAAAGTACCAACCCTTCTCTGGTGAAGCTTCCGTCCACTTCTGGATGTCTTTACAATTTCCAGGCGAAGCCATGGCGTCGTCGGGAGAGACTTTGCCTCCAATGTACTGTCGGCCATATTTTTCCAGTGAGGAGCTATTGAGATAGTCTGACGCGGTATTTCTGTTCTCGGGCGATACAATTTTGACCCACGGGCTGATCATAATCGCAAGACCGGGCTTCTGATGTCGAAGCTCAGTGTGCTCAGACAAATAGAGCAGGAAGCTTAGCATCAAAGTTGCACCGGCCGAGTCTCCTCCAACGATAATATGAGTCGAGGACTGAGCTAAGGAAAGCACATATTCGTATCCGGCTAAGGTTTCATGAAGTTGGGTGGGATATGTGGCGTCTGGTACAAGAGTATATTCCAGTGCAAAGAGGGCGGGATTGCGGTACCCAGCGGCTTTGAGTAATGCAACCCAGGCAAGCAGGAATTCCATATAGAAGTAACTGCTTCCCATAGAGAAACCACCGCCATGACAGTAGTAAACAATCAAGTCGGGCTGTTCTTGCTGGTTGTGCACAATCCATACGCCCTTGAAGTTTGGCCGCTTGACGTCGGTCCACCGAATGGGACTGGTGACAACTCCGTGGCGCAACATACGGAATCTCAGGAAAGGCAATGAGACTTGCTTTGAGAAAAAGACCCTACCCAGGAAGGCCGGCATGTTGGCAAACGCATAGCGGACAAAGCGAATGACGAGGTCCTGGAATGGTGTTGCTTTTCTGACCCATGGTGTACGTTGTTCAAGAGGGACGAAAAATCTCTCATGAATGAATTGGATTGGTATGACAATAACTTTGAAAGCTATGAGAATCAGTACGTCGGACAACAAAGAGGATGTGTACTCACTGAGAAAAGGTAGCTGGGGGAGAAGCCATGTCAAAAGGGGGATGATGCCAATTTGGATTAGCAATTGAGGGGCAAGAAAGACGAGGAAAGCGATGCAGTCCAGGTAGGAGATCTGACCCAGAATCATCTTTGCAAGAAATACATAAAGATGAAGTCAGTAAGCTTCCTCTGTCTGTCTGCGCCATGTCGAGTGACAATGGCGATGACGCCGTCAAGGGTCTAGCTAAGCCACAACCGATTAGCGCCACAGCCGTTCAAACTCAATGCTCCTTCTCTGACCAGGACACGCGTCATGGTTGTATGAGAGGCCCTTCTAAGTCGGCTGGAATCTGAGCTGAAGGGCAAGACAGAGGGTGAAGACGGAATACCGTGCACGCACTCTTCCGTATGCGGACGACGGTGAGCACGTGACGACAGTTAGAGTTTGTGGGCACGGACCATGCGGTTGATCGCGACGCCCGGAAAACTTGCGCGCGGCACGCAGTTGTCACTCGGCAAACACCAACGACTGCGACTGCGACTGCGACTGCAATCCCCCTTGTCTGCTTGCCTGTGCCTGCACCGAGGAATCATCCTACTCTGTCTTTCTCCTCTCCTCTTTTCCCTCTTATCTTTTTAATGGAATAAAGCCCCGCGCCCGACGGCAGTCTCAGTTGTTTGCGCGGCAGCCTAAGCCAAAGTCGCGAACTTGCACAACCTCACCATGGCAAACTCAGCAGCAGACCCCAAGGTGGCGCCGCTCGCCGATGAGCTGAAAGATCTCGCTCTGTAAGCGCTTCTCTGCTGCTTTCTTCTTCAATGTTGCTAACATCCATAGCTCACTCCCCACGTCTGCCTTTCCCAAGAACTTCTTCTGCGCTCTATGCAATCAGCTAGCTTTTGACTCATACAAGCTGATTTGCTGCGCAAAATCAGTATGCTCATCATGTACGAATGCCTCCCCGCCAAGCTATAACAGAATCGCCGCCCACTAACATTTCCTAGGCCAGGCAAATCTCCAGTTTCCTACCACGTGTCCGTCGTGTGACCATTCGCCGCTCGAGGCAGATTCGTGTGCGATCAATAAGTCTCTCCGCAACACCATGCGCGTATGGCTGCAAAAACAGAAGAAGAAGGAAGAGGCCAAGGCTGCGGCACAGGCAGCTACCCCTCCTGTTGAGGCGACATCAGCCGCGCCCGAAGTGCAGCCAGTGAGCGAGAGCATAGAGAAGCCTGTAGACAGCATTGAGGAACCACCAAAGGCAGAGGATGGTGTCGCTGAAGAAGCCGCTGGCTCTGTGGGGAATGCGGAAGAGACTATACAGCGCGCCGGCTCGGCCTCTGCTCAACCGAACGAAGTAGGTAACCAATGTTCATCTTGTTGTTCGCGTGTTGGCATGTTGGGATCGTACAGTAAAGAAAGAGGAAAAGAAGAGAAAAAGGCGAAGAGCATCCATTTCTTGAAGAATGCAAAACCCGTTGCTGCACATGCAAATGAACATCAAGTGTCTTCAACTCAATCTGTCGCGGTTACTAACCAAAATCAGGCCAACTCTCCTACTGAGGCGACAGCATCGCAGAATGTATCGAAAAGCACGGAGCCCGCAGCAGCAGACGGCTCGACGGAAGAGCCAGGCAACACCCCCGGCGTCAATGGCATGACAGGCACCAATTCCATGATGAACAATATGCAAAGTCAAATGGGTTTCGGTTTTCCCGCTCAAGGTGGCTTCAACAGCGGCATGGGTTGGAACGGCATGCCTAACATGATGGCCAACGGCAATTGGAATGGTATGAATCCCATGGGTATGTTGCATCAGGGAAAACTCTAGCAAGCGAACAACTGCTAACTTTCATCCAGACTTCAATAGCATGAACGGCATGTACGGCAACTTTGGGGGAAACATGGGCATGAACGACATGTCTGCCATGAACATGATGCAGTATGGAGGCGGCTTTGGTAATGGTTGGAATGGAATGGGCGGTGGCTATGGAAACTTCAGCGGGCCCAATCAGATGGGTGGCTATAATCAATCTGGAGCATATCCCGAGATGATGAACCAGTTCCCCAAGAATAATTTCCCAAACCAGAACCAGAATCGTTTCCATGCCAATCAAGGGGGAGCACATGCCCAACGAAACAACAGGAATGGCAGCCAGGGAGGCTTTGGCCCTGGTTTCCAGGGCGCGAATACCCGTCCGACCAGCCACGGCGGCCCTTCGGAAAACGTACGTTCTTTCCACCAAAATTCTCGGCCAAACCCGAGTAATCGAGTTAGCAAATCTTGGAACACTCCGACTGACACAAATTTTTCTACGCAGCGTGACGGCCAGTCGCCTGATGGAAACGCCAACACTGCTACTGAGGCCAAGGCCGAAGGCGAGCAGGACAAGACTTCCACAGAGCCAACTGAAGAAGGTAAGGAAAATTGCGAATCTGCTGCAGTTTCTGTTGAGGCGGCGAATCATGGAGCTGGCTCCGGTCTTGATGCAAGTCAGGCCGCTGCCAACAATACTGATGATACAGGAGAGAGTGCCAAAGAGCAAGCGCAGGACGATGGGCTGAAACCAATCCAAACCGTCGACACGGGCGGTGCAGATATGCAGGATTATGATCAGTCAATGATGGGTAATGGCATGGGCATGCCATACGCAGCAGGAATGATGAACCAGTTCCCGGCTCAGCATATGAACGCACCGTTCGATCCTAGCATGAACATGAACATGAATATGAACATGGGGTACAACGGCAATTTCGGTCCTCGTGGCGGCTTCAACAGCGGTGCTTATGGTGCGGCGACAGTTTTGACAGGTCAACCCACGGAGCCTATTGGTGTCGGGGTCAAAGGCGCACCCACCGGACCACGTGCCATGCGAGAAGGTCGGCCCAACACTGGATTCTCAAGCCGTGTTAACAGCGGTCGATATGCTCAGGCACCTCCACCGCCGCCGCCGCCTAAGAGTGTTGCATCTACTCAAGAAGTTGCGCCGATTAGTCCGCAGCGCAGGGTTCGATCGTAAGTAACCATTCAACCAACATTGGGTTTTCCATGACTGACGATCATACAGCAAATCCCCTTTGCGAGATGAGAGTATGCGCGTCAAGGAGCGGTCACCCACACGGTCCCGGTCTAGATCTCGAGGGAGAGACGAAGACCGTGATGAGCATCGTGAGCGATCACGTTCTGCGGATCGCCATTCTAAACGTGACGACCGTGCTCGATCACTGACGCCGTCAGAGGATGACCACGACAGTCGTAAAGAGCGCAAGCACCACCGCTCCTCGCGCTACGACGACCGTGAGCAGGAGCATGATGACCGGCACCGTGACGAGAGGAGTAGCCGTGGTGACCGAACGCGGAGCGCTTCAGCAGACTCCAAGTATCGCAGCAGCCGTCGTGACAAGGATAAGCACCGCTCCTCACGGTCACATCGCGATCGAAGCAGAGAACATCGACGTCGCCACCGTTCTCGATCTCCTCGCAATGAGGATAAGTATGACGATGACGATGCGTATCTCAACGGTGAAAAAGACTCTGATGGCAACTCGCGACGCAGGCATAGGAGTCGCGATAAAGACAGGCATCGTGACCGATCACGCGACCGATCGCGCGACAAGGAACGCGAGCGAGATCGCAAGGATCGCAAAGAGCGCGAGCGTGACTATGACTACGATCGCGAGAAAGACCGCTTACGAGACAAGGACAAGGAACGCAGGCGTCGCCGTGACCGTGACGCTGAAGAAGAAGAGCGCGACTACGATGACGACAAGTACCGCTCCTCTCGCCGCAGCCGCAAAGACCGGGATCGCGAACGTCGCGACGATGACCGCGATCGAAAAGAGAAACCATCCGCAACTGAGAAAGAAGAAGATGTCGTTGGCCAAATGATGAAGAAGCGTGTCGTTTCGCCTCCTCTGAACGCCCCCACTGGTCCGTCAGCAAACGGCTTCAGCATCAAAGGCCGTTCGAAAAATGCCATGGCACCACCTACCCAACCACCTAGCGGCCCTCGAGCATTCCAGCCCCCGAAAGGTCCCGCTGCTGATCGTAACAAGGACCGCAGCAGCGACTCTCGAGACCACCGCCGAAGGAGTAGCGTAAGCTCTGTTTCCACACCACCAACTGGACCATCTGCAAAAGAAAAGGAAACCACACAGGACCACTACGCCGCTGAGAGGGAGCGCAACGCACGAGAGCGCGACAGCCGCGACCGCGTCGAAAAGCCCTCAAGCAAATCCCTCCACTCCCGCATCTCCTCCACATCTTCCCGCCCTACCCTCTCCACCAAGCGCTCCCGCGGTGACCTAGATGACGAACCTTCTGTCCCCAAAGGACCAAAAGCCGATGTCAAGCCTCCTACTGGACCCGCATCCCATCGTGACAAGCGACGCAAGAGTGGTGCCATAGGCGACGATAATATTGCAAACTTATTCACCGCTGGCCTAAGGAAAAACGCAAAAGCCAGACGTGGAGGCGTAAGGATAGAGGGTGATGTCGAGAGAGAAATGATGGAGAGAGAAAAAGAGAGGAGATAGCCTTGCACTTTACTGTGTCGCTATCTGCAGCATGGCAGGGAGTGAGAGAGAAAGATGGATTTGGGGATTGTGTTAATCAAGTCATGGGGAGAGGTGATCTGGGATGGCTACTCTGCTTTCTTTTTGTATTATACCCTTTTTCTGTCCTTGCTTCTTATGGGGGCGAGAAACTAAGAGGATGCGTGCGATGCTGTGATGAGGCGTCTGCATGTCATTTATTAGAACCTGAATAATGAAAATCTCTTCGAGAGAGAAAGACTTGCAAGTTGTGCTTTGGGGGGTCGTGGTATCATTTACTAAGTTGTGTGTCTATGGTATTGCATACATATTTACCGCCTGTGGTTTACGAATTCCTTCTGCTCGCCACCTAGTCTCGATGCTACGACAGTGGCTTCCCGGATGGCCTTTGCAACAGAGCCTCTGACACCGTCTTCCTCGAGCGACATCAGACCGCCGATCGTGCAGCCGCCTGGCGTCGACACCTTATCCTTAAGCACAGCCGGATGCTCACCATTCAGCACCAAGCCCGTGGTTCCCCTCATAGTCTGAGCAGCCATCATCTGCGCCTCCGCCCTCGGCAACCCCATTGCCACAGCACCATCCGCCGCCGCCTCGAGCATCAACGCAAAAAACGCAGGTCCCGATCCGCACAGCGCAGTCGCAACATCCATGTTTGCAGGTGGTAGTGTAGTAACGCGACCAATGGAGCTAAACACAAATTCCACAAGCTTAGCCTGCGCATCGCTGAGCGGCGGATCAGAAGTCTGAATCACGGACATAGATTCGCCGACAAAAGACGCCGTGTTGGGCATTACGCGAACGACTCTGCATGCGTTTTCTGCCTTTTCGGGGCCATCTGGGTACAAGAAGGCCTCGATTTGTTCGCGGGTCACACCTGCCAATATGCTGACTAGGACTTTGCCCTTGAGCGCATCCCTCATGCCTTCCTCACCTAGAATCGTCTTGAAGCCATGTGGCTTGCAGCTTAGCAGGACGATGTCTGCTTGTTGGACACCCTTGAGATTCTCGTCTGTGAGGGTTTGTAGTGGGAAGTTGTAGTGGCCGAGGGCTTTGCGGACGTTTTGTTCGGCGGGGGCCCATTGGTCGCAGGCGATGAAGTTGGAGAGGTTGGGGACGTCTTTTGGAGCCGAGGAGGGGTCTATGGTGGCTTTTGTGCGGGCGGAGGCGAGGGAGGACATTACGCCGCCCATGATTGCTATACCCATTGTTCCTGGGATGGTGGTTAGTCATTGGTCTTTGGTGGTGAGGTCGATGTGTTGGGTGGTTGGCAATGCTGAATTGTTTCTTGAAAAGTATGGAATGTTTGAGAGAAGTTTCCAGCAAAAAGATGGAAGAGTATCGTGTTGTGAGACCGTGGCTATAGCTTCTTGACACGGTAGTATTGCCAGTCATTTATCTTATAAGAGTGATGCGGGGCGAAGAAAGATTTATATGGTGAGATTACAGCGTACCTGAACCGAGAACGGTCAATGTCAAAGGCTTGGATTCCTGAGTGCTCGCCATCTTGAATTCCCTTGTTTGAATATGTTTCTTGGGTGGTGTTGAGTGAATACAAAAGGAAGTGCTGACTGAGGATTCAGCGCGAGATCGGCGACTTTTCCCCACGTTAAATGCACCTTAAGCTATGACCACCAAGCCGATGATATGCGCGTTGCTGTTGCGGAAACTCCACTTCAACGAACACTATACGATAGTTTACCGGCCTACTGTTGATTCACCGTCAACGCCACCCCCGGATTCCGCCCATAAACCCGATACCTAAATTCGCCTTCGGATACTCGTCAGTCAAACAGCCTGCCCACCATGGCCGATCCCTTCGAAGTCCGCCAACGCTTCACAACGCTACTCTCACACCTGAGCGCATCCCACACATCGCTCCAAAAAGCTGCTTTATACGCGCTGAAAAACCGCGAAATGGACGAAGACTTGCATTCCTGCATCCTGGAGCAGCTCGAGCGTAATAACATGAACATACGCGCAAACATCATGTTCTTCATCGAATGTCTCTGCGAATATGCGGTCAAGGAAAACAACGCGGGAGACAGCAGTGCAATGGGCTATGTGCGCATGCTACAGCGCGACATTCTCGCCGTCGTCGAGTGTGTTGTGGGCGAAGAAGGCGCAAACATCCGTGTTGTGCGCAAAGTCCTCAAGACGTTGGAGAATCTGAATATCCTCCTGCGAGAAACAGTACAGGAACTCGAAGCTGTGCTCAAGTCAAGAGAAGTGGCCCACCCGTTCATGGCGATGGATATTGGAGGTGAGGGCAAAGATAGCCCCGCGGCTGGCGCTGGCAAGAATGGAGGGCAACGCATGGATAAGCGCCAGATTGAGCAGAGGATTGAGGAGGATAGGGAACGGCATAAGAGACTGAGAGAGAGTATCTGGGCTGTTCCCGGAGATGGTTATGAAGAGTTCGAGAAGCTGTGGGAGGAGGCGAGTGATGTTAATGAGGATGATTATGTCACGGCGCGAGAAGACGCGGAGGAGAGGCGAAAAGTCATTGCATATGGGTAAGATCCAGACAGAGATGGGGAGAGTTCGTTCAAAAAAAGTGAGATACACTAGTGGAAATGACACGGAAGAGTAAGTACACGAAACCCCTGTGGATTGGAGTTGCAGTGCATAATCGGGTGAGTGGCTGGAAGGCGTTCACGGGACTTTATCACAGCATAGTACAGGCGTTATGGTGGAAAGATACCACGGGCTGTCTCATGACGCCCAATTGTTATTGGAGTTTTGAGGTATTCCGAATACATCTACGATCATTCCAAACATATCTGTACACGCCCGTTGTGCAATGCTATGATACAGTGTCCGTCTCTTGTCCCAAATCATCATCCCTTCCTTCCAGATGTATTCTTCTACTCCAGGACAACGGTGGCGCCGAGTGCCTTAAGCGTCTCAACAATCTTCTCTGCCTCCTCCTTGGGGACGCCCTCCTTCATCACCTTTGGTGCGCTCTCGACGAACTTCTTGCTGTCGACCAGACTGAGACCAAGCATGGCCTTGACTTCCTTGATCACCTTGGGTTTCGCGGCCGGGTCGAACTTCTCAAGCTTGAGGTTGAAGAGTGTCTTTTCTTGGGCAGCAGGGGCGGCTTCCTCCTCCTCCGCGGGGGCAGCTGCAGCGGCGGGTCCAGCACTTCCTGGGCCGGCAACAAAGCCACCCATGGGCATGTCGGGGATATTTAGGCGAGTCTGTGAGTGGTGTTAGTGTGGTGATACAGCAATTGTGATATTAAAGTGAGCAATTGAACAAGTAATTCCAGCTGTGTACAGTCTGGCCATCTCTTTCATGCAATATTTTTTCCGCTCTTCAAACGCCTGTGTTTATTTGAAGAAGAAATATGGTATTCCACAAGCCCTCAAATGCTATTCCCCGCCTGATTCGCCTCTTCTCCGTACCTTTAATGTTGACACGAGATCCGCAGTCTCCAACAGAGTCAATTGACTAATCTGGTCGACAATGGTCGCAATCTTGGGGTTTGTGTGCGCAGCCGCATCCGATTGCCATCTCCGCTGTATCCTCTGCTGTGTGGCTCCAATCGTCGGTCGTACATACGTGGTCTGCTTAGCGGTGCAGATACAGCGCCTGAGCGCGCGGGATGCCGGTGCTGCCATTGTGTGCTGCCTAGGAACGCAAGGATCGATGATAGGTGAACGTCGTACTGTAGTCGTCTCGCCATCATGAGATTTTGCGGAGCGGATTATGACGAATTGGGCTAGCGCCTTGGCGCGGTCAGAGACCCGCAAAAAAGTTAGAGAACTTCCAGACACACGCGTGCTACTTTCTCAACACCACCTTTTCTGTCCTATTGAAGCGTCAAAACTATGGGTAGGCGCCCCGAAAGTCTCTACAGACATGGATAGAACAAAATCATGCAACACTGGTAAAATGGTAAACATCACTGCGCTTGCCACGGAGGCGCTGAAGCCTGGTTCGACGGACGATATTCTCGTTCAACATGGTGGATTATTATTCACAGAGCTGTGTGCGCGCTGGATCCAGTCTGGCGCTGACACAGAGGCCAAAGTGGCGGCTTTTGGACGAATTCTAGCACTTGCGCCTCATCTTGCCGAGCACGTGGAACGTTTTTTGGACAATAATTCGAATTCGTCCATAATTGGCCCTCAGGCTGCAAATTCTTCAGAAGCGCAGACACTTACTTTGCGCGATTCGGATTTGGTCGAAGTGTTGCTTGGAACTTTTCGACTTCTCAGCTACGACTGCAAGACTTTCTCTCACTATGTACGGCCCCGTGTTGTGGAGAGTCTGTTTCGCCACCAAGATCGAGTTGTACGGTATTTGGCTGTACGAGTATTTTGCTTGTATGTTCATACAGCAGATTATGCAACACAAGAGAGGATCAAAAGAATAGTTGGAGGCGGAGATATTGACGGATTCTGGGAAGGACGTCAAATCGATTACCGGTTCCTATCATTATGGGAAGAAAAGAGATGGAAAGATTTGCAGGAGAACATGGATCGGCAGAATGAGAGCGCCACGGAGCGTTCTGTATCTATAGATCAAGAACTATCGCCTTACACGGTCAACGTCAGTGGCGTCCTTTTGCCCCGGTTAGATGGACATCCTTCGGAGGAGATGCCTTCTGAACTTGTATCCACAGCCACCACAGAAGCCAATCTAAAGAACATCGCCCATGGTCTCCTTCAATCGAGTCCAATTCTGCTCACTGGTCTTGCCGGGTCTGGAAAAACTTTCCTTACCCGTCACTTTGCCTGGCAGTTGAATAAGCTGGAAAAAATGGTTACTCTCCATCTTAACGAGCAAAGTGATGCGAAGCTTTTGATCGGAATGTACACTACTGGTACAAAACCAGGGACGTTCAGCTGGCGGGCAGGTGTTTTGACCACAGCTGTTCGAGAGGGGAGATGGATCTTCATCGAAGACTTGGATCGAGCACCAAACGAGGTTATCAGCACACTTTTGCCTCTAATAGAACGCGGTGAACTTCTCATTCCTAGCCGGGGAGAAACCATACGAGCGGCGCGAGGATTCCGCATCATTGCGACAATGCGGAGTACTCTCAATCCACGAGGCCAGGAGATCGTACCCCGTCAAAACATGATAGGCCATCGATTTTGGAACTGCATTACAGTTCGAATGTCCCAATTGGATGAGTTCAGACACATAATACACGAAAAGTACCCGATATTGCAGAAGCATCTGTCCAGTATTATGCAGGTCTATGCTCGACTTCTCAACCTCTACTCGGACGCAAAATTCTCATCTGAGAACGGAACTTCACTTCGTGCTTTGACTCCAAGAGACCTTCTGAAGTGGTGCGATCGGATATCCATACTACTCGCACAAGCCACGTTTAGTGACGCGCAGAAAGACGACATCTTCATGGAGGCCTTTGATTGCTTTGCAGGAAGCTTACGTAGCGAATTGGCCCGTCAGATGGTAATGGACTGTGTGGCCGAAGAGCTCCATATCGATCCACAGCGACGCGATCATCTACTGAGAAACCGGGAGGTAAAACTGCATTTACCATCGAAGACAACATCTTCCGGTACCATTCAGATAGGCCGCGCCAGATTATCTAAGCATAAGTCGTCGAAAAAAGCAGGCACCGGACGACCATTCTCCACCAACGACTACACGTTGCGTTTACTGGAAAAAGTTGCTGTAGCAGTTGATCGTCAAGAACCGCTTCTTCTCGTTGGTGAGACAGGTACTGGAAAGACAACCTGCATCCAGTATCTGGCAGAGCAGCTTGGTCGCAAGCTTGTAGCATTCAACTTGTCTCAGCAAAGTGAAAGTGGAGACTTGCTCGGTGGTTTCAAACCGGTCAATGTCCGCAGTCTCATCATCCCACTCAAAGATGAATTCGATGAGATTTTCGACACTACTTTTTCGAGGAAGAAGAACTTGCGGTTTCTCGAGATGCTGGGTAAGCGTGTAGCAAAGGGCGAGTGGAATCGCGTTTGTGCACTTTGGCGCGAGGCGTTGAAGATGGTTGATGCAGCCAGAAAAAAGCATGAGTCGCACACTTCATCCCCAGATCCTGAAGGTGGCCAGCCTAAGAAGAAGCGGAAAACTGACACTTTGCCGGCGAACTTCCCCACTGCACGATGGGAAAAGTTCGCATCTGATCTACAAAATCTCGAAGCTCAGCTCGCTAGTGGCTCAGAAGCATTCGCATTCTCTTTCCTCGAGGGTAACATTGTAAAAGCAGTGAGAAATGGCGACTGGGTACTTCTCGACGAAATCAATTTGGCATCTTCAGACACTCTAGAGGCGCTGACGGATCTCTTGGGCGGCGGCCCGGATGGTAATCCGTCCATTCTTTTGACCGAGACTGGCAATGTTGAGCGAGTAGTTGCGCATCCGAACTTCAGGGTATTCGCGGCTATGAACCCCGCAACAGACGTAGGCAAGAAAGACCTACCTCCAGGCATCCGGTCGAGATTCACTGAGCTATACGTTGAAAGTCCAGACAGTGACGAGAAGAGTTTACGCAATATTGTAGAGAAGTACCTAGGCGGTGATGGTACAGACCCGGCAATTGTTCGAGTAGCACGAGATGTTACCAGTCTCTACCTTGAGATCCAGAGGCATGCCAAAGCCAATATGCTCGTGGACGGTGCAGACCAAAAAGCTCATTTCAGTTTGCGAACTTTAACACGAACACTTTCATACGCCCGAGACATCTCACCACTATGCAGTATCCGACGAGCGCTGTACGAAGGATTCCATATGAGTTTCTTGACGTTCCTAGGCAAAGCTTCAGAAGATTTGGTTGCCCCTCTGATTACCAAGTATCTGTTCCCTCAGAAAGCATCAATGAAGGCTGAACTCGGCAAGCCACTCCAGCAGCCGTCAGATGGCCGAGGACATGTGAAACAGGGCCATTACTGGCTTCGTCAAGGTGCACATCAAGTCGAAGAGCAATCACATTACATCATCACACCGTTCGTGCAGCGAAACATGAACAATCTCATTCGAGCGGCCTCGACACGGAAGTATCCAGTACTCATACAAGGCCCTACCTCTTCAGGTAAAACAAGTATGATCGAGTACTTGGCCAAAAGATCTGGTAACAAGTTTGTTCGAATCAATAATCACGAACATACCGACCTCCAGGAATATCTCGGTTCTTACATTTCTGGCGCCGATGGTAAGCTCATCTTCCAGGAGGGTATCCTTGTACGAGCTTTGCGGGAGGGTCACTGGATAGTGCTTGACGAACTTAATCTGGCACCTACGGATGTTCTTGAGGCACTCAACCGTCTTCTTGATGACAATCGTGAGCTGTTAATTCCAGAAACGCAGGAAATCATTCGTCCCCACGAAGACTTCATGCTGTTCGCTACGCAAAACCCAGCAGGTCTTTACGGTGGACGCAAAGTGTTATCAAGAGCTTTCCGTAACCGTTTTCTGGAATTGCATTTCGACGACATACCTGTGGAAGAGCTTACTGAAATCTTGCATCGCCGTACCATGATTCCTGAGACATGGTGCAAACGCATTGTTAAAGTTTACCGAGAACTGTCTATTCTGCGGCAAGAGAATCGTATCTTTGAGCAAAAGAGTTTCGCCACACTTCGAGACTTGTTCAGATGGGCTCAGCGAAAAGCAGACACAATCCAAGACCTTGCGAATAACGGATACATGCTGCTTGCTGAACGCGTCCGTAAAGAAGAAGAACGTGTCGCAGTCAAGAAGATTTTGGAGACTGTGATGAGTGAGAGGGGCCCCAGAGTGACAATTGACGAGGACCAGCTATTCAGTGTGGATAGCCTGTCAAACATTGAGGGCCTTGGCAAGGGGGTCTCGACTGCCAACAGCAATGTGGTGTGGACTCGCGCGATGCGCAGGCTGTCCGTTCTTGTTGCTTATGCGCTTCGCAACAAGGAGCCTGTCTTGCTCATTGGAGAAACGGGATGTGGAAAGACGACAGTCTGCCAGCTACTTGCAGATCAGTTCAACAACCGGCTTCACGTTGTTAACGCTCACCAGAACACTGAGACGGGTGACTTGATTGGTGCCCAGCGACCTATCCGAAATCGAGCCGCCATTGAAGAATCGGTCAAGGAGAAAGTGTTGGAGAGCCTTGCGAACGTTCCCAGCGAGATCCTCCAACATGACCCACACTCAATGGGATACGAGGACCTGCTGTCGCTGTATGATAGTGTTGTCAAGAGTTTCCCTGATTCAATACCGGCTGAGACCCGAAACGATATACAAGTCCACCGAGTCAAAGCCGGAGCGTTGTTCGAATGGTCAGATGGTAGCTTAGTGCATGCGATGAAGCAAGGTCACTACTTCCTTCTCGATGAGATTTCGTTGGCTGATGATTCTGTTCTTGAACGCTTGAACAGTGTTTTGGAGCCATCTCGCACTATCCTACTTGCCGAAAAGGGGCCTATAGACTCCTTGATCACAGCAAACAAAGGCTTCCAATTCCTTGCAACCATGAATCCAGGTGGAGATTATGGCAAGAAAGAGCTCTCACCCGCGCTTCGCAACCGCTTTACTGAAATCTGGGTTCCGGCAATGTCTGACCTCGATGACATTTTGGAAATTGTACGATCAAAGCTGAAGCCGGAACTTGTCAACTATGCTGGTGTCGTTGTATCGTTTTCGCAATGGTTCAACGATAAGTACAATACCTCGGTCGCTTCCTCCATATCCATTCGTGATACTCTAGCATGGGTTTCGTTTGTGAATAACTCTGCCCATCACAACCCGATTTTTAGCATTGTGCATGGCGCTGCGATGGTTTTTATCGATACCCTTGGTGCTAATCCTGCAGGACTTTTGGCAATCTCTGCATCAACAATCAATGCGGAGAAAAAGGCATGCCTCGACCATCTTAGCCAGCTACTGGGGACGGATATCACGCCCATGTACTATGGTCCTATCGACATCGTGAACACGGACGAAGTCTTCCAACTAGGTGCCTTCTCAATTTCAAAGTTCTCGCTAGCATCGTCGCAAGCATCTACTTTTGCGCTTGAAGCTCCAACGACACAGTCCAATGCGATGCGCGTCGTCCGCGCACTCCAATTACCAAAGCCAATCTTACTGGAAGGAAATCCCGGTGTGGGTAAAACTACGCTCGTGACCGCTCTTGCGAAAGCCATTGGCAAGCCATTGACACGACTCAATCTGTCTGAGCAGACAGATTTGATGGATCTGTTTGGTTCTGACGTACCAGTGGAGGGTGGAGCTGCGGGAACATTCGCCTGGCGCGATGCATCTTTCCTCAAAGCCATGAAGAGTGGCGATTGGGTCTTACTTGATGAAATGAATCTGGCATCTCAGTCGGTACTTGAAGGTCTCAATGCTGTACTTGACCATCGTGGTGAGGTATATATCTCTGAGTTGGACCAGACATTCCACAAGCATCCGGATTTCAGGGTCTTCGCAGCACAGAACCCTCATCACCAAGGTGGCGGCCGCAAAGGTCTGCCTGCTTCTTTTGTCAACCGATTCACAGTGGTATACGCAGATGTCTTCCGACCAGAAGACTTGATCCTCATCTGCGAAAAGATCTTCCCATCCATCGAAAAGCAAGAAGTCACCAAACTAATCCGCTTCGTGGCTGAGTTGGACGAGCAAGTAGTCAATCGTCGCGCTTTTGGAAATCTTGGCGCCCCATGGGAGTTCAATTTACGAGATACGCTGCGCTGGCTTCAGCTCCTAGCCAGAACTGACTTTCCAGGGTCAGCAAGAGACTTTCTTGATGTTATCTTTGTGCAGAGATTCCGAGCCGAAAACGACCGCAATCGACTGCTCAAGTTGTTTGAAAGCCAATATGGTGCCCATGACTCTCGAATGAGCCTCTTCCACAACTTGAGTCCGAGCGCCATTCAAATAGGCCTTGGTCTGCTTCCTCGAGATGCCGCTGTCACCCGTTCAGATGCCGTGTCACCACTTCATGTTTCTCAGCTCGGACCCATGGAAGCTCTCGTAGTCAGTGTCAAGCAAAACTGGCCAGTCATTATCGTTGGTCCGCCGGGCTCAGGCAAAACTGCCGTGATTAACCAGCTAGCAAGTTATGTTGGCACTGACCTTGTCACTTTCTCCATGAATGCAGATGTAGATGCGATGGATCTTGTTGGTGGATATGAGCAGGTCGACCCTATGCGAGAAGTACATCAATGCCTCCAGAAGGTCGAGGCAATGGTCCGGAGATACATTGCAGCCTCTGAGCAGCCTCAGCCAGCCTACATCGAACTGTTGGAATTCATCCAAGCAGGTTCCGCCATGCGTATTACTGAAAATTTGCGCCCAATCCTTGACCTAATTTCAACTATCGATGTTGAAGGGGTTATGCTGGCTCAAAACTTACAAAGCTCACTTCAGGCTTCAAGTGAGCAGATTGATGGCGCTCGTTTCCAATGGGTTGATGGTATTCTCATTCGAGCGCTCGAGCAAGGCAAATGGCTGGTTCTTGACAACGCGAATCTCTGCTCAAGTGCTGTTCTTGATCGACTGAACTCTTTACTGGAACCGAACGGCTATCTTTCTATCAACGAACATTCGACTTCCGATGGGGAGGCGCGCATAGTGCGACCACATCCCAACTTTCGCATCTTCATGACCATGGACCCAAAATACGGCGAGCTTTCCAGAGCTATGCGCAACAGAGCAGTTGAGATATGTCTGCTTGAGTCAGATCAAGACAAGAAGGTGGTTCATAAACCGGTCGTACAATACGCCCTCGACTCAACTAGCTATCGCTTCCGCAGCTTTCAAAATCACCAGGAACACCTCTCCATGACTTTGCAGCAGCATTTCGAGAGCTTTACTATACAAGATAACGAATTGCTAAAGAGCTTCACAAACCAAGTTCGACAAGGGCTCGTGTCTAATGCATCAAGTCAAACGAATGGCGTTGCCAACAACAACGACATGCAATTGGACCTTGCTAAGCCGGCAGCTCTACTGGGGGATAAAGTTTCACATATTGTGCATTTCCTTACAGGTACATGGGGGCCGCGTTCACAGGCGCTATCAGGACGACTTGCGACTGGTACACTAGTGCAGCTACTTCCGTTCCATCCTTTGCTGAACGAGCTCTTTGTCAGTCAAACGGAAGCATCCAAGGACTTCAGCATAACTAGTGCATCGATTTATGAAGTCATGCTTGACCTATACAACATGCAGAAAGCTGTTCAAGAGCTACCATCTGCGCGATTTGAACGGCGAAAGGAAAAGCAAAAGCTGCCTGCTTTCCTGCATGCTTATTGCCAAGGGCTGATAAAACTCATCGATGGATTCTGGAAAGCACTCCAAGAAGACCAGCAAATTGGTATCGCATTCCTCAAGCCACTGAGGAGAATGTTTTGGGCCTTTCATGAGCTTGCCACTGCTCCAACCTTCGATCGCGCAACGTTCCAGACATATCTAAAGATGTTAGCGTCTGCGATTCCCAAATCCGACTCATCGCTCCCTGTTGTTCAGACACTCTCCGTAACTCTCTCCAAGCAGGTTGGTACCTTTGGGGCCGATGTCCAGTTGACAACGGGACTAGGCATGGAACGCATCTGGCGTGTGTTCAAGCCATCGACACCCAAGGATCAGCAACAGTTGGCAGCTATTCTTGAGCTAGAGGCTTTGGCTGATAGATTCGATGCTATTATGTGGCAGTCAATTCTTCGCGTAAATGAAATGATTCAGATACGCGAACGTATCGCCAGTTCCCTGGACCTAGTTCGAAGAGATCAAGTGGATGCTCGGGAGCTCGTCACCGCACTCAATGCCGCAATCCAAGAGCTTGAGAAAGGTATTGGAGAAGACAGCATGCTCATCACACCCTACTTTGAGGAAGAGTTCGAAGGTCTATGCCAGTTCTTGGATGTCGCGTGTCAAGACGAGTCTGCCGTGCAAAACATACTTCCCACAGCTGTTATTACAGCCACACGAGCCAAGTCATCTCTCTTTGCCCGGAGACCGACAAAATCCTCTCACGACATTCCTGTAGATTCTCAGAGTGCATCGGAGCAATTTGCGAAATTTTACCGCTACCTGGGCCTTACGCGCCAAACAGCGAATACGATGGTAATTCAGGACCGATTCCATACATCAGTGATTAGGAAACTCTATGGAGCAGACGATGTAAAGCTCGCGCAGCTTGACCGTTTTGAGATCGAACTCCAAGTGCTATCACAGCAGATGTCATTGGATGCGAATCTCATAACCAACGGCCAGAACAATGCCCTGAGGGATCTTTATACCAAAATCTACAACCAGCTTATCGCATCTCATTCGAATGAAGTCCTGCGAATTGTAGACCAAAGCCGGATAGAGTTCTTCCCCGACACAAACATTCACGAGACATATCGATCAACTCTGGAGCACGGTATAGAATCCTACTTTAAAGCTTCTACTTCTGTTATAGACGCTGCTGCTTGGGTACGGCTGGGTTTGTTCGGACTCCAGTTGTACGTACCTAATTACCCACATGACCCTGCCCTACGGCCGACGATCGAGCGAAACATGTTTAGCATCGAGAAGGACACTCTGTTGAACGCATTGAGTGCTTTGAGACAATTTCAAATCGATTTCACTGGTCAAGATACTAGCCTTCACATCCGGCAGATTGAGGAGACTATCAACAATATGGGTGAAGAACCACCAGTACCAGCAATTGTCCGCCCTGCTATATCCGAGCTTGACAGCCTGCAAGGCGAATTCACAAACCTTCTCAGTACTATACAGCCTCTCCTTAATCATTCCATTTCAATGGAAGAAGCTATTTGCGATCAAACGCTGCAACAAAATCTTATTCGAATTGTGCAGCGCCTGACTGAAGGTTATCGAGCGTATGACGACATCACAGACACTGCAGTCGGGTTCCTTGTATGCCTTCAGGTTGGTCTCATACTGGGCCAGATGGAAAAAGAGAGGACACTTCACAATGCTACCGGAAACAGCATTTCTTATATCACATCGAGAACCCCTTTCTTTGGGCAGTCGCAGCCTTTGGAAAAGCCAGAGTTGCTCTTGCGGACTATGGAGGCAGGTTTGGGTCAGTCGAACCACGTTGTAGACTTGAGGTGGCACACTCTACACTCCATGCTCTTCCTTAAAAGCACAGATCCTCAAACTTTGGCTCGCCCCGTAGCCAGGAATCTACTGCACGATCTGTTCGCTAGTCTGTACGGCGATTGGAAGACCAAACTTCTCCACGATCAAGAGAAAGAAGCTAAGAATTCGAGCTTATACACGTACCGAGGGCTAGACGATGACACAGATGAGAATGATCCAACCCTCTTTCCCGACTACGAGGCGGAACCAGAATCACAGGACAAGCAGCCCACGTTACCATCGAATTCTCGAGATTATGCCATTCGACTTGCTGATATTCATTCCGAACTTTTCATCAACGGTAGAAACGCTTCAGACTCTATAAAATTTTTGCTAGAGTGGTGCACCGCTGAACTCAACCGTATTTCGGACGGTAGAGGACACGGTAGTAAACACGAAGATGCGCTCCCGGCTATCTACCTCGCTTTGGATAAGAAGATCAATGCTTTATCCTCAAGTCATGCAGAAAGACATTATAACTTCTACTTCGATTCCAATCTTTCTGAGACCAAGCGGTTCATTGCGCTCATACATCGTATTCAATCTCGTTATCGTCAAATTCGGAATGTGTGGCCAGAGCATGCCACACTCTCAGACGTTCTACGCACGTGCGACGAAGCTCTTGAGTTCCGACACGTTGATCCAGTGGCCAAGTTCATTACCAAAGCCGAGAAACTCCATGCTTATATGCATGAATGGCAAACTGTCACCAGTAAAGAGTACAGTGCTGCTGGACTGTACGATGATCTGACCAAACTACTTGTCAGTTGGCGACAACTTGAGCTCACTACCTGGGCACGGCTGTTCGACATGGAAGAAGACAAGTATCGGAGTGATGCCAAGAGTTGGTTCTGCGTGGCATACGAAATGATCATTGCTGCTTCGGAAAGCACTGATGATGACAAGGGTCTTCAAGTTCATGCCAAAGAACTACTCAAGTCATTGGAGGGTTTCTTTGAGACAACGACCCTTGGCCAGTTTGAACAGCGCATCAAGCTCCTACAACAACTTCGTGAACACGCGTTCATGCGTATGCAAGATGTAGATGCATTCCGAACTGTGTATACGTCGCTAAGCAATTTCCTTGCCTACTACTCACGCCTCGAGAAGCCGGTGCACGAAATGATCGCCAAAGGTCGACAGAGTCTGGAAAAGCAGATTGTAGACGTGATCAAGCTTGCCAGCTGGAAAGACACGAACATTGAGGTGCTGAAACAGAGTGCGAAAACGAACCACAGGAAACTCACCAAGTTAGTCCGCAAATTCAGGGCGATACTTAGCCAACCCGTATCCAGCATCACAAGGGCGGGCTTCCCTGATGAAACCCACCTTTTGCAGGATGTTTCCTTGATGGCAGTCAGCACAGCCGTCAACCCTGCAGCACTTGAAATCTGCGAAAGTAGTATACCAGGATGGATGGAGCGGCCAGCGCGTTTCAAGAATTTGGGCATCACTGCGTCCATGATGCGCAATCTTGCTACACCAAAGGCAGATTCTGTGGATGGCGCTTCATACATTAGCGAGTTCATCAGTGAGCTCTCGACATCAATTGTTGAGCTTCAAAAGGCCACGCCAACCACACTTACAGAAGAAAACAAGGCATCTGTTCAGCATCTTAAGACACAAAAACGCAAACTCTATGCCGATACCATGAAGGAACTGCGGCAAATGGGTGTCAACTCTAATCTGAGTGTAGATACACTGGTCAAGCAGGATGAGCTTTCGACAATTCTTTCAACAATACCGCTAGTTAGGTGTGACCAGGATATCGGACGAGCAGCAGAGTACCATTTACACAAAGCTCTCAACATCATGCCGCAAGTCCGTTCAGTCACTAGGGAGCATTCTGGCGATCTAACTCCGAACGACGTAGCAAGAAGCATTGGCTATTTAGAGGGTTTGCTGCATGCATCTCTCAGACAGCGTATGATACTAAGCAGAGCTGCACAATGCCTTGAGCAGATCCGTATTCCGCTTTCCACAATTGCAGAGCTTAGTAATCCGGATCTTGGAAATATTGCTTGGGTGAACGAAGAACATCTCGAAGCTGCCACATTTACCCAAACTCAGCTTCGATGGCTCTCTGCTATGTTGACAACCGGTACAGAAATTGTCAACGCGCAGGCAAAGCTTGGAAAGACCAATGAAATTGACCGTCTGATCCACCAGATGCGAGAGAAGGCTGTCAAGACCTCTGAGCTTGCAGACTTGCGTGACCAACTCCCAAAGTTACCGCCTAATCTTCAATCTGAATCGCATGAAGCTTTGACCAAGTCCATCAATATTCACTTGGCGGATCTTCGGAACGCTTTCCAGGAATGGCATGCTGGTAGTGACATGATAAGACCAATCCTTCGGCATATCGAACCATTTTTGTTCGACTATCCTCGTACGGACCTTGCTCTACCTCGAGAGAACCCACACACCACACTCGATGCTCATGTAAAAGAAGTGTTCTCTTCTTTGGATCTTGTTCTGGGATCAATGCAGGATATCGAAGTAGCGATGCAGACCATCCCCGCTTCAACAGACGATGCTTCTTGGCTCGTCAAGGAAGAGCAAGCACTTTCTGGTGCTCTGAATTCCTTACATGCGCCACAGATTAGCGAAAGCTTAACGTCAATACTCGATAAGATTCAGCTACTCTACAAGGACGCCAATCTGAAATCTATGGCAGCTTTGCTCTCTTCTCTCAAGCCAATCCTTGAGCAGTATATGGCATGTCACAAATCTATCTTGAAGCGCTTCGATGCATTGCATGCATCGACAGCAAATCTGCTGCATCGTTTGTCAAAGTCTTTCATTCAGATTGGAACGCAAGGCTTCTGTCAACCTTCGGAAAAGTCTGACGACAACCAGAAGGGCAAAGATGACAAGCTCGAGTCGGGAACTGGTCTGGGTGAGGGCGAAGGTGCTGAAGATATTTCCAAAGACATTGAAGATGACGAAGATTTGGATGATCTAGCACAAGAGCAGAAAGGCGAAAGAGAGGGCAGTATCGAGGAACAAGAAGATGCCGTTGACATGGGAGACAAGGAAATGGAAGGTGAGAGCGAGCAGGTGGAGGAAAAAGAAGAGAAGGGCGATGAGTCTGGTGAAGAAGGGGACGACGATGCGCAGAGCGAAGTTGGTAGTGTTGATGATCTTGGCCCTAGCGCTGTCGACGAGAAGATGTGGGATGATGGCAGTAAAGAAGAGGACGCGAAAGACAAGGAGGGCAAAGAGGATGTAGGTACAGAGGATCAGAACGAGCAGGTTGCTTCTGATCAGAAAGAAAAAGAAAAGAGCGGCGAGGACGGCGAAGACGGCGAAGAGGAGGAGAAGGACGAAAAGAAAGATGGTCAAGAGGATGAAGAGATGGAAATGGAAGGTGAAGACCAGGAAGAGAATGTTGGAGCTGGTGAGACCGAGCAGATGGACCCGAATGCAAAAGAAGAAGAGACACTGGATCTCCCTGAAGATCTTAACATGGATGGGCAAGACAACCAAGACAAGAAAGACGACGACCTTGGCGATATGGATATGGATGATGATCTCCCTGACGATCAACCAGATCTTGAGGCCGAGCCCGATCTCCCTGATACCATGGATGAAGAAGTTCTTGCTGAACAAGAGGGTGAAGAAGAAAAAGAGACATCTGGTCACATCGAAGATGAAGAACAACCTGAAGGCGAACAAGAAGAGGAGATTGACGAGCCAATGGATGATGACGCCGCTCCACTGCCGGACGATAAAATTCCAGAAGACGAAAAGCGTGACAAAAAAGATACCGACCAGGCTGATTTGAATGCTGAGGCCGGCGCTGGTATCGAGGCAAATGAAGAGGCACACAAGAACAAAAACGAACAAGCTTCTGCTAGCGCTGCGAATCAAGATGAAGGCCAAGAAGGAGATTCTACCGAACAGCAACAAGCACCTACAACTGAAGAAGGCCAACTTGGAGAGACAACAGCCCCAGAAGCTGGTGGTCACGGCGAACAACCTGAAGAAACTCATGAGAAGCAGTCTTTCAAGAAGCTGGGTGATGTACTGGAAAAGTGGTACAATCAGCAAAAGCGGATCCAGGATGCCAAGGAAAAGGACGAAACTCAGACACAGCAGATTGACAAAGAGATCGATATGGCTGATGCGGACTTTGAGCATCTTGGAGACGAGGAGCAACAAGCCGATACTCAAGCTCTAGGCACCGCGAACGAGGATCAGGCTAAGGCTTTGGACCATGATATGGCAATGCCAATGAATGAGGAAGAGGAAAAGATGCCCATTCGGCCTGAAGACAACGATGATGAGTTGACTGGAGCTAATAAGGATGTTGATATGGAGGATGCCGAGCCGCAGGATGATCAGGGTCAGGATCAGGAGGCACAACAAACACAGTCCAATGCAATGGAAGGTCAGCCGCAAGCTTTTGTCGGAGAGCAGCGCCCACTGCCTGAGCACGATGATGAGGATATGGCTGATGATATCTCACTCGACGATGACATTGCATCAACCACTTCTTCTGCCGACAACATCGAGACTCAGCTATCTCTAACACATCTTGACCCGTCTTCCATGGACCCAACATCTGCTCGCGCCCTCTGGCTCGCTCATGAGGCGTCAACGCACTCGCTCTCTCAACAGCTTACCGAACATCTCCGTCTCATTCTTGCACCCACCCTTGCTACCAAGCTTCGCGGTGACTTCAGAACTGGAAAGCGCCTCAACCTCAAGCGCATCATTCCTTACATCGCATCAGGCTACAAACGAGACAAGATCTGGCTTCGACGCAGCATGCCAAGCAAGAGAAGTTACCAAGTCATGATTGCGCTTGACAACAGTGGCAGTATGGCTGATAGCGGAGCTAGCAATCTTGCGCTCAAAACCCTCACGCTTGTCACTCGCTCTCTTTCAATGTTGGAAGTTGGCGAAGTCAGCGTTATTGGCTTCGGTGATGAAGTTAATGTCGCCCATGATTTCGATAAGCCCTTTACGTCCGAAGCTGGAGTACGAGTTTTCGAGCAGTTCGGCTTTGATGCGAAGAAGACAAATGTAAGAGGCTTAGTCGACAAGAGTCTGGAGTTGTTTAAAGACGCCAGACAGAAGGGCAGTAGCTCTGCGGGCGAAGACCTCTGGCAATTGATGCTCATCGTCAGTGATGGTATTTGTGACAATCACGCCGAGATTCAACGTCTTATCCGCAAAGCCCAAGAAGAGCGCGTTATGATTGTCTTCATTGTCATCGATAGCTCGGCTACAGCTCCTTCTGTATCTGCACCAAAGCTGTCTGATGAACCCGCAGCGCAGCCGCCAGCGCCAGTCAAGGAGCAACCGAAGACATCTATCCTAGATCTGGAATCAGTCATTTTCACGCCTGAAGGCAAGATCGTGAGGCACAAGTATATGGAACAGTTTCCATTCAGGTATTACCTGGTCGTGAGGGATGTGAGGGAACTGCCGGGTGTACTTGCTGGGGCTTTGAGGCAGTGGTTTGGAGAGGTTGCAGGAAGTGCCTGAGTGCCATGACATCTATCGCAATACCTTGAATCTGAGGGTTGCGTTAAATCAAAGCACTTTCTGGAGAAGCAGTGGTAATTATTTAGGAGTATGGAGAATCATATGGGTGTGGGGTAACATGATTTTCACTTTCAGGCGTTATACAACAATTGTCTTACTGTCAACATTTTCCTTGCGAGGCGTAGTACTAGAACATGCATTCAGCATGATATTGAAATCACTTCAGCTTACAAAATTGGGGGCCATGCATGACCTGATGCATAGTTGACCCGAGCACTTTTCTGCTGTTATCAGGCTGATTCGCTCTTATCCCACCCAGTCGTGTAACCATCGGTCTATGTATATCGACGGGTGTTTGTGCCTGCAACAATCAATCAAGCTATGAAATCCTTACTTATGTCCTCCATTGTTTTTGTCAGCATTGCAACCTTTCACATCCTTGATTCTACTCCTACGATAAAAGCCTTTCAACCCATGTTCAGGAACACCGTGTATCACTAGTTATGCGCTACCTGCATTCAACTAAGACGCAACCGCCAACGAGGCCGTCCGGTATCCAGCATTTTGGCTGTGGTGGGTGCCTGAAATCAGGCTTGCATCAGCCTGACACAATGCCTCTCACGCATTTGTTGTTTTTCCTTCTGTCCTCTTGGCTTATTCCTCAAAAGATACAATCTGCTCCAGTCTTGTGATGCCATCTCGAGAATCATGTTAGCTCCGCAGAAATGGCCAAGCTAGCAACAATTGCTACTGTCGTTCAGCTGGCCGACTTGGCCCTGCGCATGAGCGGCGAAGTCTGCAAGTTTCTCGATGCTTACAAGGGTACGGACCGCGATGTGAAATTGCTATGGGATGGTATGATACCCACTCACCTATATTGATGACTGATTAATGGTAGCATTGTTACGTGATGTCGAAGCCAATGTGCGCAACTTGTGTGAATACGTCGTACGGTTTCGTAAATTCCACGACGCGTTTAAGGAGTTTGAGAATCTCTCTGAGACCATCATCGGGGCATTGGAAGACTACGATGTTGATATCCTCGCTGTGAAAAAGCTTCTACCTCCAAAGCTGCTAGAATATATCACAAAAAAGGTTCGCTGGGTACTGAAGAAGCGCGAGATGCAAGAGGTCGTGAATCGTATAAGCCGACGAAATTCCAGTCTCATTGTTGCTCTGGAGATCGTGGGAAGGTAGCAAGACTGTTCTTCTCATCTATATCTGCTGACTATGTACAGACAGCACAGCTTACGCATACGCCAGGATACGCAAAAGATTCTCGCAGACCAAAGCCACTCCGATATCGCCGCTTCGAACAATTTCGTGACAGTGAACTCGAACATGCAGAAGCTAGGTAAAAATCATGCCAAGTTGCCGTCGCATTCCAGGAATATCGTCACCAACATCCATGAAATGCAATCTTCTTCAGATCGCCTGCATAATGCTCTTACTTCAGTAGCTACGCAACAAGCTAGACTCACGACTCGTAGGCTGAAGCGTATGCACGCTGGGGGCTCGCTACTAGCCCGCAATACCGAGCAGGCTAATAACAAACTCAACAAACTCAGTTCATAAGTGCAACAGACTTCAATACGAACCGAGCAGAAGATTGATCACATGGCTGCTGAGATGAAAGCCGTCCATTCGAAAACCACCATCGTTGCCTCGAGTGTCGACACCATCGCAAAAATAGTCTGCGAAGAGATTACGAGGACCCACACACCTCTTGTTGAACAGGGACTCGATAATGTGGAAACGCGCAGGGAAACAGAGCTAATCCGACTCAGGGAGTTTCATGATATGATTACACACGACGTCAGCTTCGATACTTACGCTCAACGCACGTTTGGAGCGAATCAATCAGATGCACTGCACGACACATGCTCAGAGGGTCCTCTGATCAACACAGAAAATGATCCGTCATTGGAGAGGCAACATAAGCCCCACCTTGCAAGCCCACTTAATGCGAGATATGATGGTGAAAGTCTCCTCTGCACAACATCCACGTACAAGCGTAGATGGTACTACAAGTGCAGTTCAGGGAATCTCGAAATTCAAGTTATACAATACGAATCACCGTACCGGCGGATCACCTTGATCAGATAGTCATGCCTCTGTTGAGGTACACTTTTGGCCGACCCAGAAGTTCATAAGTCTCCCTGGACTTTCTCTTTTTTACAATACAGCACCAACATCGCAAGGGTACTATCAGCTAGCCCCCATGATGGCAGGTTTTCCTATAATCGGTGAAGATCACCCAGTTACCTTGGTCATCAAATCTGGGAGTCTTGTGACGCTTAAATCCATGCTGAGAGCTGGGCAAGTTCGTCCGAACAGCCGTCAAATCAACAGCTCGACCCTGTTACATGTACGTGTTTTTAGGTTTCACTGGCCATATCTCTCTCGTCTCAGACATGTCACAACCCCGATGTATGGTGTGGCTTACCATGGTGTAATGATCCGTTGGCTCGTACGAGTAAATGCTCTCGATCCTCTTGCATCGGGACGGTCGAACTGCCCTGCGAATAGGAAATTTACATTGGTACAAACTAAAAAGATTTGCTAATACTACAAGTACAGACCGCTGCATTCCACGGAAAATATGAGATATGTGAGTTCCTTACTGATCAAGGACTTTCTTGGTTCCAGGAAGCAAACAATGGGCTTAGTGTTCGAGGACTGTCTTGGTTTCAAAAATGAAACCATGGGTAAGTCATGACTTTGATCTGCTCCAATTGTCCATCATAATTAAGCAACATACTTATATCATATCAGTTTGTCAACAATATCTCACGGGCCAGCGGAGATACCTGCAACCCCACTCACTTACCTTTTTCGTACAATAGTCCAGATAGAGCTCATGGGCTTCCTAAATATCCGCGGAAAATACTAAACCATTGCGACACCATTGGTTGCAAGGTGGAATACATTTATGGATACATGCACTCTTATTTGTGTTTCATGGATTCATCTAAAATCTTTTTTGAGTGTTTGTATTTCGAATTGAAGCAAGATATTGAGAATCGATGGCCAGGTTATCAGGACGAGTATAGAAGTTTTGTTCTTAAGGGCCTCATTCTCAACCAACCAAGCAAGAATACCTTGAAAGCGATCTCCTGCATGCGTCGGAACCGAACAAAGCCAGACGCGATCTTTCGAGGTCATCGCGCCCCACTGGAGACTGCGTTGCGCCAACTTCGGATATAGTGTCAATTGCGTAATTCAAAAAATCTGTTCTCAGAGGTCGTACTAAACGTGGTGTTTTTGATAGTTTTGGGTGCGGACATTTACTTCACCAAACCGAGCAGCTTTGACCAGGCAGAACACTAGACAGATTTGGTAGAGTATTGCCAGAAAGCAATGGAATTTTAGTATTTCTATGAGTGGAAACTGGCACTGGAATAGAGCAGACTGAATCCCGACTACGTGGTGCAACTCGGTCAGGAATAGATGAATCAGTGTTGACCTCGCCATCCATCAACGGACTTCGCTGTCGCCGATGCAGTCAGAGATACTGCAACAACCACGATCGTTCGTTCTTCAAGGCAATTTAGACGTATGGAATAGAATGGGCCCCAGTAACCGATGAAGTTTCTGAATGATTCAAAACTGAACAAAGATTACGAGAGGGATATCACACGATTATCTCGTCCGTTGAGTTGCCAAGGCTCGCATTTAACGTGTTATCCCTCGACTTGTTCCAAACATAATATCTGATTCACAAGCGATTGACTGAATACCCTTATCGCACAATCAAAGATATAGCTATCGCAACACATTTCTCCCAGAATTTCCCATATTGTTCACTCATGTTTCGTTCGTGAACAAAGCCTGAAGGAAGACCAGTCCAAGATGAAGGATTTGAGGGGGGGGTGGCAGACTTTGAGCATCGTCAACTCAGTGTTTCCGAAAATACATTTCGAATCACGCATCCTCTTCAATTATCACAGTCGGTACAATAGTGGAATCTAAAAATCTCATTCGTATGAGCACAAGCAGCCAGCCATCTACATGTTACAGATAGACAATCGCTTCGACCGGTTCTTGCTTCATATCTATCAACACAGAAACAAAAGTTTATGAAGCAACTTTTATAACTGCTCGTCCAGCAAGCTTTCCCGCGCCCATATCTGCAAAAAACCTGTCGATATCCTCGAGCCCTCCGTACGTCATGATAGGATGCACAAGTCCCCTAACCGTAAAATCGAGAGCCTACAACACACATTAGCACTAATCATCCACGAAACTCTGGGTTAAATTTGGACATACCTCTTCAACCTCCTTCAGCGTCCCTGTCACACTACCTACGATATTCAACTTCTTCGCGCACAGCAGCAGCGGCGATGCACCCGCCACGAAATTGGGATCCTTTGGCAATCCCACACACACCATGGTACCACCGGGTCTGAGCAGATGCGGCGCAGATTCGTACGCAGCATTTGTTGCAGGAAAGACAAGAATGCCATGAGCACCATACTGTGTAATCCTCAAAACTTCGGACGTGATATCGGCGCACGTTGTAAAATCGATAAACTTCTCTGCACCCAGTTTGAGACAAAGATCGCGCTTGGCGTCGCCACCATCAATGGCGATGACACGCATGCCCATGTGCTTTGCGTATTGTATGCCAAAGTGGCCAAGGCCGCCTCCAGCACCTGGAACCACTACCCATTGTCCCGGACGGACATTGCTTCTCTTGCATGCCACGTACGCCGTCACACCACCGCACATGATTGGTCCTGCTTCTTCGTCTTTGACGCCGTCCGGAAGCTTGGTCGCGTACCGGCCGTCCGCAACACAATATTCCTGGAACGTTCCCGCAACATGGAAGCCACTATTCTGTAGCTTGGGGCAAGCACATTCGTCTTGTCCATTTGTGCAAAACTCGCATCTGCGACATACAGAAGCGACCCACTTGATACCCGCGCGATTACCAATCTGCCAGAGGTCCTTGACGTTGGAGCCCACGGCTACGACGGTGCCTGCGCCTTCGTGGCCGCAAATGCCATTTGTGGCTTCGGTCATCCTGATGGGCCATTCGTCGTATAAGAGAGATTTATCGGTCGCGCATAATCCAGTATAGTTGATCTTGACAAGAATTTCGTCAGGCGAGGGGGCAGGGACAGGGACGTCCTTGATAACAATGGTGGTTTTGTTACCAGAACCTTGCTTAACGGCCGCCTTTTGAGTAGTGGGAACTTCCATTTTGAATTCACACTCGTACGAAAGGCAAAAAGAAACGAAATGTGAAGAAGAAAAAAAAAGATCAAAGTCAGAAAAAGTAGGGGCTCTATTTCCTGGAACTGGGCTTCACTTTATCAAATCCTCCGACGCGCTTCCCCACAAGAGGCTCCATTAGCTCACCCCATGCTCGGCGCGTCAGGGCTGACTGTAATAGCGCTGGTGTACTGAACTAACGCCGGCTACCGTCTCGGCAGTGGAGAACAGATAAGCAAAAGTTACATATCCCACGTGTTTTCCTTTTGCCGTACCCAACATCCGGAAGCCCTCGTGACCGCGCGGCAGTGTGGAAATTCGGACTCATTTGGCCGATGCCAACATTTCGGACTGGCAGTTGTTCAATACTAACGCATTCCAATGGCTTGTGAAGAGGGAACTAGAGTTTTCAGGTACTAGTCAATTGGAGTTTGATACCTTGCAATACCCCGATACCGATTGAGCTCGAAATGACTATTGCAGAGACCCCTGATTGTGAACTGAGAAGCAAGGTCCGAGAAGGCTGGTAACGTCACGGGAAAAGTCGGAACTCTATATTTTCCCCTTAAGTAAATCAAAGGTGATAAAGATATATCATTTCATGTTCAATTGTCGTTGCTTTATATGCTTTTTGCAACGGTGGTATCTGACGAGGGGTTGAACCTCGGCTCTTCATCAAACAAAGAGCGCGTCATAATCATACAGGTTTCTTTCAAGCATATGCCGAAAACTGCACGCCAACCGATGCAGCAATCTAATTCCCCTATAAAAAACGCCTCGCTAAAACCAAATGATTGCGCTTCTTTTACCACGCCGTGATATCGTCGACTTCTGCCTCACCAAAGGTACTAGTTTTGGTGGCAACCATG